CTCGTGTTGAATCTGTGATCTGTAGCCTTCAAAATCGAAAGAAAATGGCATTTCGGGAAAATCGCCCGAAATCGGTGATGGTAACCCTTTTGGATCCGCCAAAAATGGAACCAGAAGATGCCCGCCCAAATCGCTGCTTAATGGTCTTAACTATCGTTGATGAATAGCCTCAGGCCGAATTCGTGATTTGTAGCCTTCAAAATCCAAGGAAAATGGCCTTTCGAAAAAAATCACCCAAAAAATTATGAAAATGCTATCCCAAAATTAATTCGCCCTAATTGGTGATTAATGGACTTAATAATTTACGTAGAATATGATCAATAGACTTCATTATCGGTGGAGAATAGCCTCGGGCTGAATCTGTGATATGTAGCCTCCAAAATCGAAAGAAAATGGCATTTGGGGAAAATCGCTCGAAATCGGTGATGCTACCACTTTGGGATCTGCAAAAAATGGACCCAGAAGATATCCGCCTAAATCGCTGCTTAATGGACTTAATTATCGTTGATGAATAGCCTCAGGCCGAATTCATGATCTGTAGACTTCAAAATCCATGGAAAATGGCTTTTAAAAAAGATCGCCCAATATTTACGAAAACGTCATCCCAAAATTAATTCGCCCAAATCGGTGCTTAATGGACATAATCATTTGCGTAGAATATGATCAATAGACTTCATTATCGGGGGAGAATAGCCTCGGGTTGAATCTGCTATCTGTAGCCTCCAAAATCGAAAGAAAATGGAATTTCGGGAAAATCGCCCGAAATCGGTTATGGTACCCCTTTGCGATCTGCCAAAAATGGACCCGGAAGATATCCGCCTAAATCGCTGCTTAATGGTTTTAATTATCGTTGATGAATAGCCTCAGGCCGAATTCGTGATCTATAGCCTTCAAAATCCAAGGAAAATGGCTTTTAAAAAAAATCGCCCAAAAATTATGAAAATGCAATCCCAAAATTTATTCGCTCAAATCGGTGCTTAATGGACTTAATCATTTGCGAAGAACATGATCAATAGACTTCATTATCGGTGGAGAATTGCCTCGGGTTGAATCTGTGATCTGTAGCCTCCAAAATCGAAAGAAAATGGAATTTCGGGAAAATCGCCCGAAATCGGTGATGGTACCCCTTTGGGATCTGCCAAAAATGGACCCGGAAGATATCCGCCTAAATCGCTGCTTAATGGACTTAATTATCGTTGATGAATAGCCTCAGGCCGAATTCGTGATCTGTAGCCTTCAATATCCAAGGAAAATGGCTATTAAAAAAATCGCCCAAAAATTATGAAAATGCAATCCCAAAATTAATTCGCCCAAATTGATGCTTAATGGACTTAATCATTTGCGTAGAATATGATCAATAGACTTCATTATCGGTGGAGAATAGCCTCGGGCTGAATTTGTGATATGTAGCCTCCAAAATCGAAATAAAATATCATTTCGGGAAAATCGGCCGAAATCGGTGATGGTACCCCTTTGGGATCTGCCAAAAATGGACCCAGAAGATATCCGCCCAAAACGCTGCTTAATGGACTTAATTATCGTTGATGAATAGCCTCAGGCCGAATTTGTGATCTGTAGACTTCAAAATCCAAGGAAAATGGCTTTTAAAAAAATCGCCCAAAATTTATGAAAATGTCATCCCAAAATTTATTCACTCAAATCGGTGCTTGATGGACTTGATCATTTGCGGAGAATATGATCAATTGACTTCATTATCGGTGGAGAATAGCCTCGGGTTGAATCTGTGATCCGTAGCCTCCAAAATCGAAAGAAAATGGCATTTCGGGAAAATCGCCCGAAATCGGTGATGGTACCACTTTGGGATCTGCAAAAAATGGAACCGGAAGATATCCGCCCAAATCGCTGCTTAATAGTCTTAATTATCGTTGATGAATAGCCTCATGCCGAATTCGTGATTTGTAGCCTTCAAAATCTAAGGTAAATGGCATTTGTAAAAAAATCACCCAAAAAATTATGAAAATATCATCCCAAAATTAATTCGCCCAAATTGGTGCTTAATGGACTTAATAATTTACGGAGAATATGATCAATAGACATCATTATCTGGTGAGAATAGCCTCAGGCTGAATCTGTGATCTGTAGCCTCCAAAATCGAAAGAAAATGGCATTTCGGGAAAATTGGCCGAAATCGGTGATGGTACCCCTTTGGGATCTGCCAAAAATGGACCCGGAAGATATCCAACCAAATCGATGCCTAATGGACATAATCGTCATTGAAGAATAGCCTCAGGCAGAATCCGTGATTTGTAGCCTTCAAAATCACAAAAAAATGACCTTTCGAAAAAAATCGCCCAAAATATTACGAAAATGTCTTCCCAAAATAATTCGCCCAAATCGGTGCTTAACGGACTTAATCATTTGCAGAGAATATGATAACTAGATTTCATTATCGGTGGAGAATAGCCTCGGGTTGAATCAGTGATTTGTAGCCTCCAAAATCGAAAAAAAAAATGGCATTTCGGGAAAATCGCAAGAAATCGGTGATGGTACCCCTTTGGGATCTGCCAAAAATGGACCCGGAAGATATCCGGCCAAATCACTACTTAATGGACTTTATTATCGTTGATGAATAGCCTCAGGCCGAATTCATGATCTAGAGCCTTCAAAATTCAAAGAAAATGGCTTTTAAAAAAAATCGCCCAAAAATTATGAAAATGCAATCCCAAAAGTAATTCGCACAAATTTGTGCTTAATGGACTTAATCATTTGCAGAGAATATGATCAATAGACTTCATTATCGGTGGAGAATAGCCTCGGTTTGAATATGTGGTCTGTAGCCTCCAAAATCGAAAGAAAATGGCATTTCGAGAATATCGCCCGAAATCAGTGATGGTACCCCGTTGGCCTTTGGGATCTGTAAAAAATGGACCCGGAAGATATCCACCCAAATCGTTGCTTAATGAACTTAATCATCATTGAAGAATAGCCTCAGGCCGAATCCGTGATCTGTAGCCTTCAAAATCCAAGGAAAATGGCCTTTCGAAAAAAATCACCCAAAAAATTATGAAAATGCCATCCCAAAATTAATTCGCACAAATTGGTGCTTAATGGACTTAATAATTTACGGAGAATATGATCAATAGACTTCATTATCGGTGGAGAATAGCCTCGGGCTAAATCTGTGATCTGTAGCCTCCAAAATCGAAAGAAAATGGCATTTCGGGATAATCGCCAGAAATCGGTGATGGTACCCCTTTGGGATCTGCCAAAAATGGACCCGGAAGATATACGCCCAAATCGCTGCTTAATGGTCTTAATTATCGTTGATGAATAGCCTCAGGCCGAATTCGTGATCTGTAGCCTTAATATTTCCAAGGAAAATGTCCTTTCGAAAAAAATCACCCAAAAAATTATGAAAATGTCATCCCACAATTAATTATTCGCCCAAATTGGTGGTTAATGGATTTAATAATTTACGGAGAATATGATCAATAGACTTCATTATCGGTGGAGAATAGCCTCAGGCTGAATCTGAGATCTGTAGCCTCCAAAATCGAAAGAAAATGGCATTTCGGGAAAATTGGCCGAAATCGGTTAGGTACCCCTTTGGGTTCTGCCAAAAATGGACCCGGAAGATATCCACCCAAATCGATGCCTAATGGATTTAATCATCTTTGAAGAATAGCCTCAGGCAGAATTCATGATTTGTAGCCTTCAAAATCCCAGAAAAATGGCCTTTCGAAAAAAATCGCCCAAAACATTATGAAAATGTCTTCCCAAAATAATTCGCCCAAATAGGTGCTTAATGGACTTAATCATTTGCGGAGAATATGATCAATAGACTTCATTATCGGTGAAAAATAGCCTCGGGCTGAATCTGTGATATGTAGCCTCCAAAATCGAAAGAAAATGGCATTTCGGGAAAATCGCCAGAAATCGGTGATGGTACCCCTTTGGGATCTGCCAAAAATGGACCCAGAAGATATCCACCCAAATCGCTGCTTAATGGTCTTAATTATCGTTGATGAATAGCCTCAGGCCGAATTCGTGATCTGTAGCCTTCAAAATCCAAGGAAAATGGCATTTCGAATAAATTCACCCAAAAAATTATGAAAATGTCATACCAAAATTAATTCGCCCAAATTGGTGCTTAATGGACTTAATAATTTACGGAGAATATGATCAATAGACTTCATTATCGGTGGAGAATAGCCTCGGGCTGAATCTGAGATCTGTAGCCTCCAAAATCGAAAGAAAATGGCATTTCGGAAATTTGGCCGAAATCGGTGATGGTACCCCATTGGGATCTGCCAAAAATGGACCCGGAAGATATCCACCCAAATCGATGCCTAATGGATTTAATCATCATTGAAGAATAGCCTCAGGCAGAATCCGTGATCTGTAGCCTTCAAAATCCCAGAAAAATGGCCTTTCGAAAAAAATCGCCCAAAACATTACGAAAATGTCTTCCCAAAATAATTCGCCCAAATCGGTGTTTAATGGACTTAATCATTTGCGGAGAATATGATCAATAGACTTCATTATCGGTAGAGAATAGCCTCGGGTTGAATCTGTGATCTGTAGCCTCCAAAATCGAAAGAAAATGGCATTTTGGGAAAATCGCCAGAAATCGGTGATGGTACCCTTTGGGATCTGGCAAAAATGGACCCGGAAGATATCCGCCCAAATAGTTGCTTAATGGACTTAATCATCGTTGAAGAATAGTCTCAGGCCAAATCTGTGATCTGCAGCCTCCAAAATCGAAAGAAAATGACATTTCGCAAAAATCGCCCGAAATCGGTGATGGTACCCATTTGGGATCTGCCAAAAATGGACCCGGAAGATATCCGCCCAAATAGCTGCTTAATGGTCTTAATTATGATTGATGAATAGCCTCAGGCCGAATTTGTGATCTGTAGGCCTTCAAAATCCAAGGAAAATGGCCTTTCGAAAAAAATCACCCAAAAAATTATGAAAATGTCATCCCAAAATTAATTCGCCCAAATTGGTGCTTAATGGACTTAATAATTTACGGAGAATATGATCAATAGACTTCATTATCGGTGGAGAATAGCCTCCGGCTGAATCTGAGATCTGTAGCCTCCAAAATCGAAAGAAAATGGCATTTCGGGAAAATTGGCCGAAATCGGTGATGGTACCCCTTTGGGATCTGCCAAAAATGGACCCGGAAAATATCCACCCAAATCGATGCCTAATGGACTTAATCATCATTGAAGAATAGTCTTAGACAGAATCCGTGATCTGTAGCCTTCAAAATCCCAGAAAAACGGCCTTTCGAAAAAAATCGCCCAAAACATTACGAAAATGTCTTCCCAAAATAATTCGCCCAAATCGGTGCTTAATGGACTTAATCATTTGCAGAGAATATGATCAATAGACTTCATTATCGGTGGAGAATAGCCTCGGGTTGAATCTGTGATCTGTAGCCTCCAAAATCGAAAGAAAATGGCATTTTAGGAAAATCGCCAGAAATCGGTGATGGTACCCCTTTGGGATCTAGCAAAAATGGACCCGGAAGATATCCGCCCAAATAGTTGCTTAATGGACTTAATCATCGTTGAAGAATAGTCTCAGGCCGAATCTGTGATCTGCAGCCTCCAAAATCGAAAGAAAATGACATTTCGCAAAAATCGCCTGAAATCGGTGATGGTACCCCTTTGGGATCTGGCAAAAATGGACCCGGAAGATATCCGCCCAAATCGCTGCTTAATGGTCTTAATTATCGTTGATGAATAGCCTCATACCGAATTTGTCATCTGTAGCCTTCAAAATCCAAGTAAAATGGCCTTTCGAAAAAAATCGCCTAGAAAATTATGAAAATGCCATCCCTAAATTAATTCACCCAAATTGGTGCTTAATGGACTTAATAATTTATGGAGAATATGATCAATAGACTTCATTATCGGTGGAAAATAGCCTCGGGTTGAATCTGTGATCTGTAGCCTCCAAAATCGAAAGAAAATAGCATTTCGGGAAAATTGCCTGAAATCGGTGATGGTACCCCTTTGGGATCTGCCAAAAATGGACCCGGAAGATATCCGCCCAAATCGCTGCTTAATGGATTTAATCATCGTTGAAGAATAGCCTCAGGCCGAATCCGTGATCTGTAGCCTTCTAAAACATCCAAAATGATATTAATTCACTAACTATTATCTCAAAATATGTCACGGATAACCTTCAAAATCGATGAAGTATAGTCTTCAAAATATTTTTCAAAAATCTGTGATGGATATTCTTCAGAATCAGTGAATAATAGCGTTCAAAAAAGTTGATTAATATCATTTATGAATAGCCTTCAAAATCAATGAATATTAGTCTTAAAAAATATGCAATAGATAGCCTTATACCTGCGAAGAACATATTTAAAAAAATTGGTCAAATTTGTGATGGATAGCATTGAAAATCAGTGACTAATAACATTAAAAATCGGATGAAATTTTTTAAATATAGCCATTAAATTTGGTGAATAATAGCCTTCGAAATCAGTAAATAATAGCAATCAAAATAACCGGTTAAAATATGTGATGGATAGCTATCAAAGTCGGTGAATAATAGTCTTCAAAAAAGCGACCAAAATATGTGTTGGATTACCTTCAAAATATGTGAAGAATAGATTTTTATGGTCAAAATATATATGATTGATAGCCTTCAAATCAATGAATTATAATCTTCAAAATATGTAATGGAAAGCTTTCAAAATTAATGAAGAATAAATTAGAACAAGGATATTAGTTTGTCGTATAAATATGTAGGCAGCAGAACTATCTGTTCCACGTAATCACTGCCTTGACCTCTTTGCCCCTACCAACCATCAAATGGGATTATAAATTATAATTAATCTCTCGTTAATTACCTTTTTTCAATCTTATTCATTTTTCTTAACAAAATAAATTAGTATTCCAATATCTTATTCTTGGGTGTTAATCAATCCGAGATCTTACAGTAGAGGCACGATTGATGTCCCTTTTACATTCGACACTGTTTGCCCTTCGCAATATATTATTAAATAGCACTGTTCAATTTGTCTCAACAATTAAATTAAATTAAATTTCTAGGGTGTATGCTAACGGGTCGGCAGTCTCTCTGGTCGACAAGAGAGGTAGTCTCTCTGGTGGAAGAATCGATGGGTGGGAAGGAATGGGGAGGGCATTAAACAGGGTTAATTGGGTAATTTTCAGGCTTATTTAACGGCGATTAAACAAAAATCACAACGGAAGGGCACGTTTGTTACGACGTAATAGTACAAGGGCATCTTTGTGCAAAAAAATAGTACAAGGGCACACGTTTGTTACATAGTCATAGTATAGAGGCAGAAAATGCTATTAACCCTTTTTTTTTTTCATTTCTCCTATCGGCGTTTACTTTGTTCTCTTTCTCTCTGCCCTAAAATAGTAGCTTTGTCGTTTTCTTCTTCTTCTTTATTAATTTCCAAACATAGGATGGTCACACCATTTATTTACTATATAATATTTCATGGAATGGAACACTTTTTTTTTTTAGTTTGACGTAGTGATCCGGTTGGATTCCATAGTTTTAGATGAATGTGTTATTCCAAGAGTATGTGTGTGGGATGTGAGTTTCCATGTTCGGAATACAATAATAGATCATCCATTAGTTCTGGATCTAAGTCTTTCGATAGAGTCTTGATATCCAGAGGAGAGTTCAAAATAAGGGTTCAAATACATACTCTATAATAAGGCTCTCAAGCATTACAAGAAAGAAGATATTCTCCTCTACTTGCTCGTAGCATACATATTATGATCTTATCTATAAACTCTTTTTGCTATGTCTGCATGACTATTACATTACCAATGAAATCGTTGGTTAAGGATCCGAGGCCATTCTTGGCTCAGATTTGTCCTTCCACACTAGTAAAGTTAACCGCAGTAAGGACAAAAAAAAATTGTTATATTTGTTCTCAAAATAGATGTATATTCTTAACCATCACACACATATTCCAAACTAGACCTTAGGATGGTTTTGTTGAGCATAAGGAATGTGGGGAGACATGCTTTTGTGTTTCAATGAGTGGGGGGGAAATGTTGTGAAATCTTTGAACATGGATTTGGCAATTTTCGTATTCTAGGCAATCAAATGATATGTGGTTTTATGTTGGGAACTTGGGATAGGTGCATGCACAAAGAGGGTTTATAATTTTATATATATTCTTCTCTTTAATTCAACCTAAGCCCATGTCCTAGCACACGACAAATTGCAGGAGAAACACTAGAATTTGAAGGAGCTATGTATGCTTAATTATTGATGTGGGTAGTAATAGTAGTAGTCCATGTTCTTTATAGGTATATTCATATTGGTCCTTGATTCTTTTTCTCTGTTTTAATTTTATAGCTAACTATTATAAGTAGGTCAAGATGTAATGGGCTAAATTAATTCATTTATGGCATCCGTAATATGATATGACCATAAAGAAAAACCCATCTTTTGATCAATTCTCCCCATACCCACCCCTAATTTGTTGCCTTCCCAACTGGACCCTTTTGAGCTTTAGATATCACTTCTTTTAACCCTAACACAACACATCAAATGGAAGCAACCTGTTACCTTCGGGGACATCCGATAAAATTGAAATGGAAGTAAGCTAAGAGAAGAGTATGTACTACTTAGATAGATCGAAAATCTGGATTCAATATGAAGGAAGAGAGGTTCATGTATTAGGTTTTGCAAAACAACATAGCTTGGCGGTTGGAAGATGGAATGTGATGCTCATTTGTTTGTTTCGAACTTTTTCTCCACGTTGCTACTGTAATCAAAGGAGAATCGAGAATAGAGGAAGTTCAGTGCACTCAAACCATCACATTAAAGTTCTAAAATTATCAAGATACATAAGACCTCTGCTGTCAAACTAATGTTGATAATGTAAGTGCATGTGATATGATCCACGGTTAGCTAGTAATATAACCGAATGGTTTTACTCTCCTGGTGTCCTTAGTGACGCAGTTAGGTTGAAGTCAAAAGTAAAATTATATCATAGCCCCCTTAGGGGTAAGAAAAGTTTTACTCCTTAGTATGTCTCTCTTTAGGTAACGTTCTTACCGACTACTCTATAGCCCTCTGCTCTCGTCAACTTTGAAATATAAATAAAATTACATGTAAAATTTATAACAAATTTAGAATATACGATAAGATACTAGCCCCTCACAAATTACCACAATTGAAATTAACTCCCCTCCTTCAAATTTCTAACTTCACCACTGCCTCTCTTTCAACAACTCAGAAATTGTTACACCCAAAGCCTTGAACTCATTTGTATTGTTATGGAGTACGATAGATTACTTTGGGCCACATAATAATTAGGGGAAAAGACGTGCTACATATTTCCAATCTATACCACACGAACGGAGGAAAAATACAGAAGACGTCAAAATCCACATACAAACATACCTTTCCATTGATCGCTAAAATGACACCGCAAAGGACGAAAGCAAATGCCTTCGTTTTCAACCCTTCATTTCTTTTCCTCCTTTCCAATTTCTTTCGCTTTCAATCACATTTTGGACTCATGAATAATGTTATTTCTATTACAAACCAGAAAGCATTGTTTCTTTTTTGCCACAATTTCTCTAATTTCTTTGCACATATAATATAATAGCTATTTATTTTTAATTTCTCTAATTTATTGGACTCAAGTTAGGCAATGGGGAATGTTCCTCCTTACCCCATTTTTAAGATCACAAAATTAAATATATTCATCAAATTAATAGTATTGTCACACCGTCTATAATAATATTCTTATATTAGATTGAAGTTTTTGTCTATTTTTGTATAAGTTGATTGAATTGTTGGATTAGTGCTCCTAACCATTATTGGGCTAGCTAGCTACTATACTGAAAAGATAAACTCTTTCCCCCATCATCTAGCTATCCTTTTGGTCTCAGTAAGATACAAATTGATAACGATAGATAATGGATTGGTACTGTGGATGAAGCAAATTATTGGTCTCTGGTTTTTAGATCATATGGTTGTCTCCTTGTCTCTCATAACTTTTTTTTACCCAAGGCATGCCGAACAATAAAATAATAAGAAAAACGATAATAAAAAACAGTAGTCCGTGTGCAACAGGACTCTCGATGAAAGAGTCTTGATTGTCACTAGGTGTGCATCTCTGTGAAAGCTCCGAGGAGCAAAAAGACATGAAACTGACTCATATAGAGAGAACGAGAATGGCACTTCCCCGTGAATACCCCGTTTGAGGGTGATAAACCATCGTGATTATGTCCAAATGCGAAAGCGAAGCAGAGATATCCTGCAAAACAATACAAACAAAATATATCATACATGGTAACACAAAACTCTATCAAAAGAGATAAAAGTGAGTTAATCGGAGTAACTAAATATGTTGTAGTGATCATTGAAATTTCAAATACAACACAATCACAATGAGCATTATAACATCAATGCATTTGTTATAACACGCATACACACTTTATAACATTCACAAGATCATTCCTTAATGAAATATTCCACAAACCCGTTTAGTTTACAAACAAAATCATAATGTACATAAGTTTTTCAAACTTCATAACACAACAATAGAGAAGATCATCTTCTCGCAAAACATTTATGAACATGTCATTTCGGAATTCGAGTTCACCGTCCCACCTCATTTATGCCGAGCCGAAATTTCCCTTCTAGTCCCAAAACTTCGGATCTGGGGAAAAATGGACCCTTAATATCATCGTTGGGCCTCAATGGAGACCTTATTGCAGCTGTACCCGCATACTCCAAAGGACAAACCTGGAAACGTAATTGGTAGATGGACCCGGCCCAAGCACATCTCTCAGAATCAGAAATTTGTTCTTGTGTTTCTGAAACAAATCGTGTAGATCTCGATAATAATGGAGAAAAGATGGGCCATAAAACCCAGCTTTACTAACGGCTCTATTTTCGGGCCCAAAACCATTATTTTGTCCCAAGTTGTAAGCTTGGGCTAGATTAAGAAAGAAGGCCCCAAAGGCCAAATCCCAATAAACAGATTTTGCATTCTCTTGTCTACCACCACAATTCTGGGTAGATGGTGAGGTTGAGCTTTATGGGTTTCCTATTCCATTCTTTTCTTTCCTAGAATCATCTAACGCCTCGAATTATTGGAAATTTTGGTTTTCAATGTACACAATCACAAACGATAGCGAAGTCGACCAACATAAGCTTTATAACGAGTTATTTTTCCTAAAAATAATGGCATCATGTTCATACTTATTCGATGATTATCGACAATGGATATCATTCTTTTTTTCTCACCACCACGTTGTTATATAGGTTTTCCTCATTGTTCGTGACGATGGACCTAGCTTGTTGATTATATTGGTTAAACAACATATCATACTTTAAATTTGAAAAGGTGGTGGAGGGGTCGAGTTTCGATGGCTTTCTTATTCCATTATTTTCTTTATCCTATCAAAGATTTACATTATGAGACAAATCTATTTATAAACTATTGGAAATGCTAGTTTTTTATTCATATAAATATAATCAATGACGACAATGGAATTGACCAACATAAATTTATAGCAAGCTAGTCCTCGCCCATTATTATCGATAATGAAAATTATTTTTCTTTCTTGCCACCAGATTGCCATATAGTTTTTCTCTCGATATTTGTGATTTTGCAAACAACTTGTCGATTAGATCATCTAGACAACATATCACACATTAGATTTGTCTGCTTTAATCGTGAAGTATGATTGTTGTATCAATCATAACAACTTTTATACACTCATATTGCCGAACTTATAACTCTCAGTATCATCAAAATGATTTTAGTACGATAGTTCTCGATAGTATATTTCTCAAATCAACATGGTTTCTTTTGACCTCTTCTAAGTTTTACTTGGCATACTGTTTTCCCTCCCCTCTATACCCTAGTAACTCTTTTCTTTTACCCTTCTTACTTAGCTTTTGATTTCACCATCACAACCGAATGTCGCCATGAATTCACCATCCACAGTTAAAAAAGTGCTTTCCTTTTCTACCATCAGAAAGAGACGGTTGATCCAACTGACAAAGACAAAACCCTAAACAGCAGCAGCTGCAGCAGCAGCAGAAGGGCAATTATTAACCCGTGTCCCGGTCCCAAAATCCTCATCCAAATGGCAAATCAAATATTTTCATGTTACCATCTCAACAAAAGGGCATCAAGAGATGGATTTTGCCTTTGTTATTTATTCAAGCTTTTGGTGGTTTAACAAACTGCAACCACTAACGCAAGAACATTTGGGAACTGCCCCTTTCCTTTTCCTTCTTGATTTTCTTTTGAGAGGGGAAGGAGACAAACAAATAAATGGTAGAGTTGGTTGCTTAGCTGTTGGTGTTTGGGACAGCGTCATGTTTAATTGTTGGGGAGATGGGATGGATCTGCTTGGAATTGTAGCTATCAAATCTGTCTACTATGTTGTTTTTGTAGTGTTTGATGTTCGAATTCGGGGCTTCTGTTGGTGTTACTTGGGAATCATCTAGTGTCGAACCAATAATAATTTCAAATGAGATTATGTTTTGGGTACCGGGAATGCGGTTACAGATTCGCGGTTAAATCGCCAACCGTATAAAAAATGTAGGATTTGCAGTACAACAAATATAAAAAAATGGTTTTTTTGAAGTTGCAATTAACGTATAAGCTATTTTACGATTAGCAGCTGAACTGCAACCACAACCAAATAAGTAACAAATATCAGTTTGTCGTTGTCAAAGGTGATAGGTATATATGCCCACAAGCAATTATAGTGACAATGACCATACTCAATGCAACTCCCACAACCTTAAATTCACTCTCTCCCTAGTCCCAACCCCAAGCAATTGGGTACTAGACTTTAACAATTTTATGCCCCAATGTATGGTATAGTCTTTAGTTCCACCATTTTGTGGATCCACGGACAAAATATAATCAGAACTCGATGAGGTGTACTAGAATCGGACAAATTTAATTGGCCAGTTCGAGTAAGATAATAACAAATCCATGTTCAGAAACTACCATTAATGTTCGGATTCGAAATTTTATCCAATCTCATTTTCTTTTAATTTGTATCTAATCTAACCGGATCATATTTGTACGACCAACTATCGAGTAAGTATTTGTGTGATGCCAACCATAAAGGCCAACACCCACAACCATGTTCATGCTTAAAGTTTGTGTCACACATCTTTTATTGTTTTGAGAAATTTCATTGCTAAGGAAACTGCACCACTTTTGTGTTGGCTGCTATTGCATGGATGGTTAGGTGATTGTGGAATGTGGATTGCCAAAGAGTAAAGACAGACCCATGTCACTAATAAAGCCTTTTTCTTCTTTTGGCACCGAGCAGAATCAATGGCTTTATTAACGGCTTGATATAGCTTTTTGGATAACGTTTCCTTTACTACCTTCCACTTTTTTCTTAGGTTTCCCCTCCTGAACTGACGGAAGCTATAAAGGACACGACCTAACTTGCTCATTAGCAGAACTGCAGAAGAATGCTTATATCATCTGCTTCCAAGCTCTCAGAACCGTGCCCAAACTCGACAATGGCGGTTCGTGCACAAGGTAGAATGGATTGAGTGTAAAACTGTACTGCACCCAAGCCGAGGAAACCCTCTCCCTCGACAGGGTAGCCTGGCGCCCGGTAACAAGGCTTCGATGTTGCAGGTGAACCTGATTCGGCCTACTGATCGTAGATTCGTGGCAAGGTGATCTAGTAATCACATTGATTTGACTGCCATGGAAGTTTACAAACATTCCACCACCTTAATCTGACTTTAGGAGATCTTATAGAGATGGATCAAAATGTCAACAGAAGTAGTTAGCATTTTAAGGGACTGACAACGGCCCTTCTTTTGTAGGAGCATTTCCCAAGGTCCTAGACTCAACATGACTCGAGTCAACCATTCGCATGGTTCACTCACAAACTCATGGGACTGAAGTTTGCATTGATTTCAGCAAGAGAGTAATTCTCTTCATGAAAACTAGCCAGCAAAACCGTGAGTTCAGGGCACGAAATGGGAAATTATCAATATACTGCAATAAAGAGAGATAGACCCCTGTACCAAACTCAGATTCTTCCTTCCAGAACAAACAACAGAGAAAAACTACTAAAGAAAAAACAATTAAGAAGTTGAGGACAACCAAAATAAACACTTTCTAGTTACAAACCTGTCCATTATAAGGTGTTTCACCTCCTAAAAAGCCACCTACTAAGGAAACTCCATTAAAATTTTGCTAAGAGAAACAAACAAAAGATATAGAATTACACCAAACCCCCATTGAAAAGAAGAAAAAACAAAAGAAAAAGCACCCTGATATGAATATAAATAAGGTCAACTTAAATACAACCACCACCATCTTTATCACCATCAGCAGCAAGCAGCAACACTTAAACAAAGAACCCTAAAATCAGTCATCAACCCACCCCAAAGAGAGGGAGGGAGAGGCATTGGATCCATCGAATCAGCGTACTGTATCTATGCTCTTACTCAGCTCGTCGAGCTTCTTCAACCTTAGTCTCTCGCTTTCGCTCACCAGCTGTTCAAACTCAAAAGAGACGAACAAAGAATCCAGGCCGCGAGTTAGATGCATGAACAACAACAAATTCTTCATTTCAAATGAAACCAAGTAAAAGAAAGCATGAGTCTCACCTCCATTAGTTTGGTAATGAGCTGTACTTTCTCCTTGTTCTTGTCACTAAAAGCCTCAAGAGCATCCTTGTACTCTTTCTCCTGTGAACCCCCAAAAACAACAACCCACAAAGTTATCACACAACTGTTTCTTTGTCTGGATTTGGCATGTGATGATGAACAGCAAATGGAGACCACATGTATGTAGAAGACAAACTAAACAATAATCCATAAAAGGGGGTTCCATAAAAAAGAAGTTATCTGCTGTTTGTTATTATATCTTACCTTCTTCTGGACTGATTGTCCTAGTGGCTTCAATTCCTTGTTCACTGAATCAATCTTCTTCCTCACAAGAGATACTTCTTTCCTCATGGGATCTGCCAAACCTTCCAGCTCCTGTAGCAACAAAACGATTCATAAGGCTTAGATTCAGGAAGGCAGAGGACAAAACAGAGCCCTCCCATGTCATTCTCACCCAAATCCAGAACGAATTAGGTGTTCCTTCATCGATGTTATCACTAAGCCAACTCTCGAGTTAGAATTCTCCACCATGTTTAATCTGTTCTTACTACAAGCTCCAATTTCAGATAAATGGTTTCTAGGGTTTGGGGAAAGGTTGAAAATTTCAGAAAATCAACCAAGATTTACTCAAGAATCTCGACATAAAACGGTCAAATTTTCTTCCTAGGGAAAGGAAAAAACAAAATTCCAACAAATATTTATAAAAAAATATGCTGTTTTTTTTTTCTCTTTCCTTCTTCAATCTGACAAAACAAACGGTCATATGGTGGATTTCTTCCCCAATTCCCCCTAACCCTAAATAGAAACAGTAAAAACGAACTAAAACCCTGAAAGAATTCCACCCAGAAAACACGAAATCTAGAGCAACCCCCCCCCCCCCCCCCCCCCCCCCCCCCCCCCCAAAAGAAAAAAAAAGGGAGAAACGATTGATCTTCTTGGATTTAAGTTTTTACCTCACGAATCATGGCGAGGCGCTTGGTCTCTTCCTCGACGCGACCCAGCTGAGCCTGGACCCGCTCCCTCACTTCCATCTTCTTCCTCTCGATCTCTTCCTCCTTAGCCCTGAAATTGGACAGCGCCGACCTCGACATCTCCTCGTCTTCCTTCGACATCTGGCTGCTGAAGCTCAGGCTCCCCGAGTTCTGCTGCACCATGAGCTGATTCAGCGGCTGCTGCTGAGGCTGTGGCTGCGCGGTCTCCATTTTCGCACTGTTACTATCCTGCCTGCTGTAGCTGCTATTCCCTCCGCAGCACCCTATCTTGAAAACCCTTTTCTCTCCTCCTCCTCCTTCAACTTGGGTGGGATTTGATTTCTCTCTTCTCCTCTCCTTTCAGCTGCTTTCTCTCGCTCTGTTTTGCTTTCTTTCTCTCTCTCTTGCTTTTGCTTTGGGGTGGGTATTTGATGGATTTTTTGCTCTGTTTTTCTCTCTCTTTCTCTTTCTTTTGCTGGGTTGGGAGTGCCCTTATAAACAAGGCTGGCTGGGCCTTTGGAAAAAGTCCTTCAAAGTATCATGCCAGCTTAGCACGCTCTCTCTCTCTACTCTCTCTCTCTAACTTTATTTTATCAAATTGAATTTGGAAAATGGGGGAAATAGAGAATGGAATGAGTAATTATTGCTTTGATGGAGAAAAAGAGTGGTTATAGTTATACAATACAAAATGGGAAGTGAAAGGAAAAAAATGAAATTCCCAAATGACAAAAAGAAAAGCCGTGTGAAATGACCCCTCTGGCCAAACTTGCTCTCATTGGGGTTTCCAAAAGATGGGTGTGGTGTGGATTTGATTGATCCCTACAATTTTTCATCTTGGTAGTTTTGGTACATAAGATTTTACAATTAGGTTGGTGTGGTATATATATTTCTAGTTATGGATCGTCCCGATTAGGATTGGTTGATGTGGTAAAAAGCTAATTAGTTTCACGTTATTAGTTCTTATTAAGAATCATTAGATCACATCATAATGATTCGGCAACTCTGACAAGGATATTGAAGATCCATATTAAAGTTGTATATAGATTAGTTTGGTTACTTAGGGTTTTTTGGAGTTTTTTTTACGTTTCTTGTATGTTGGAGATGTCATAGAGGCCATTTCATCCCTAAACAGGGAAAATCAGTATAAACGAGACGATGATGCTAACTTGAGTCACATATAACATAAGGGGTCACGAAGTATGATTGTAGACTTGGATGTGTTGCAATGTAAAGTTCCTTAAAGCAATTTGAGAACCAATTCACGATGAACTTAAATTTAGAACATAGAGTTGTCATGTGAACACGTTATCATGTCACAACGATTCTACTTAGGATGATCAGTATATAGATAGTTAATGCATCAATGATAATAAATAACGAGTGTCGGTATGTATCATCGAGGATTGAACTTCAATCTTTTGAATTGAATTCGTCGATATAAGAAAGTTTAAATACCGAATTGGTCTTCCTACCTTCGTTTGTTGAAGAGTATATAAAACTCGGGAGTTTTCATCAAAATGATTATGGTGTAGGATATAAAATGTTTGGACAGAGCCCACAAAAAATCATAAACCTCACTTTAAGAAATTCAATTGTTTCCCCCTTTTCATGCTTTTATGATATCGGGTTTGAAGTTTTTGCACCTTAGGGAACCACCAGGAATAAAACCAATAAGTGATGGCTAAGTGATAAGGCAATTGGCTCATAAGATGTACTCTTCGAATGGCTTAGGTTGCGATTGTTTTTCTGAGATTGTTATCATACTTGTATATTTAGAATACATTATTTCTTATTTATGTATACAATATGTGAGTTATTTTTGTGATGTGATAGAAAACATCATTTAAAATGAGTGATTGTTATATCTTAACTTTTATACGGAATTGTTGAAATAGTTAAGTTGAGATGGTTGCATCTCAATTTTTAGCTGATGTGACATACACAATCACGCATACTAAACACAACATTTTACAATGTACCAAATTTATCAATACTTGTTTAATATTATACATGTATTCACCACAATAGATCTATTTAGCAATCACAATTTCCCAACAACCCTTCAATTCTGTTTGGAGAAGATTTATAGATGGTAAAATAATTTATCTAAACAACATGTTACATAAAATTTTATGAAAGTTTAAATATCTAATGCACATATGCATCAAAATCTCTCATCATAAAACAAAATAAGAAAATACAAAGAATAAAGAAAGGATAATATTATACATTAATAAAATCAATTAGCTAAAACTTTTTTTTTTTTTTTGTAATTGACACCAATTTGTGTTCTAGTTATTGTTGGTTGGTTATGGGTTTTATTACTATATTCGACAAATGGAAGTTTTGTGTGGATGTAGTTGACCTGTCCAAGCTTACAGATATTTCTGCGTATATATTTTTGTCCTCTGGAGTTTCTCTAATTCCCAATTTCGATAATAAAAATGACAAATTGGCCATCCTCGAGTTGGTGGTAGACAAGCAACTCCAACCAAACCAACTCCCCCACAAAAAAATTAGTTGCTTCATCGACATGAGATGACTGACGCAAGCCACATAACAACAATACAAACCATCACAGTTTGCTCACAGTTTTCAGTTTTCACCCATGGTGATGGGAGTAACTTTGTTGTGTTCCCTTCAGCATTATGTTTTGGAAAAAGAATGAAAATTATCTTCATCATCCACAAAAGATATCGTATGCCGAATCGGTTACTTGGTTTGGTTACGAATAGTAATTACTCATGATCAAGAACCAATACCTTGATTGTTAAAAAATCATATTGTCGAACGAAGAGAGGCTCTGGATATATAAGAAAATTTTATTTTCGTTGATGACATCTAAGTTGCAAAGGGACAACCCGTTAAATAAAGAAACTGGTGCAAAGGAGAGGACACTCCTCAATGAGGTAGTAAAAAACTTATCTCGTGTGACATAGATATCAAACTGAACTAGGCAATAAAAAACATAGTCACTATTCATTCAATTGGTCTTTGCATATGAAACTCTTACATCGATTCTCCCTATACAACACTACTCAAGCCGACAAATCTCTCACTACAAGAACGACTAACATACGTTGATAGCATTGATTCAAGGCGTTTCGGCATTCCAAATCTAAAACCATCAGGGATCATTTCGTTGTTGGATATCTCCATAAACATTTTGAAGAAAGGATATCACAATAAAAAGAATCCATTAAGTAACCAAATAAAGGAATTGTCTGGTTAAATTTTTATGGGGTGCTTCTTTGCTTTCACAGACACCACATCCCATGTAAGTGCAACTGACTAGGTTGGTTATAAAATCGCTTTCAAAACCGTGAATCACATATCACTCAAATCATGTACACTATTATATCCTGAAAGTGAGATCCCAAACTTAACCTACAAGAATGGCAATGGAATCCAACTTTTGCCCTTTATCTTCTTCTTCTTCTTCTTGTTTTTTTTTTTTTTTTTGTTCTTTGGCTTGTCAAATTACAACAAATATTTCTGTTGGTAATGTTGTTTTCAAGGTTCATGTTCACGAAATAAACCTTGAGATGGAAACCGTTGCAAATCCATCAGTCACTTCTCTAGCCATATAAATCATATTAATTAGTATGAGTGTGACACCCTAAAATCAAGTTTGAAATCGTGGATTTGTTTCCTAACTTTACAAAAATGAAAGTTATTCTCATGACATGCACTTCGAATAACCTACTACGAAGACAAAGTTAAGAAAAAATACAAGTATGTTTTGCGATGAAAATTGGTATAGTATATAGTTTTGTCTTACACATCAACTATATAAATGGTATGTCTGGACTCGATTACTCAAATATGTATTTGTCTCGTGGATGCCAATATATAACACTTTCATTCTCTTAGTTTAATTTATTTGTTTCCGTTTTGTTTGGTAATTATTTGTTTCTTTTTTTTTTTTTTTTTTTTGAATTTGTTTCCAATTTCATTCTTACATTTGGGATGTCTAGCTTTGTGCGATATTGAAAAGGGGATGTATAGAACGATTGAAAGGCAAAAGAACAAAATCTGACGGATGCTTTTGATCAGTGCCAATGTCATGGCCAAGAACATGGAGTTGCAGGTTTATGAAGTTTTTTTATTATTATTCTTTTCTGGAAGAATTTTATGGCCATGGCCGGCTGAAGGACGGCACAGAAGACATGTGGAGTTAATTACCAAAACGGTCACTGAACTTTAGTGTCATTAACAAATCAACCATATAGCTTAACGAACATGTCATAGAAGTATGAGATAACTAACCCTTAAACTGCTCTCGATTCAGCTTGGATGGTTAGCCTCCATCGAAAATAGAACGCAAACCCTATAATTAGCTTTGATGGTTAGCCTCAATCGAAACCCCACAGAAAAGACGATATGAGTTAAATTCGTATGACCTAAGTTAACCTAGTCTCGTGAGTCTGTGATTTGAACAAATTGGAGAGTAAATCCAATAGATGTCTACAAAGTGTCCATGCTAGACGATTCATTTTCATGACCCGATCGTTAAATATCAAAATTGGATGGTGAGTTTGTTAGCGACTCAAAACTTCGGTGATTGTTTTTGCAATTGGGCATATATATGTTTGAAGGTAGTTGATATGAACGTTTGAGGCGTGAAGTGGAAAGGAAGTGTGACCCATTCCCCTTGAATTAATGGAGGAACCGTAAGAGCAAAGGCAACCCTCCATAAAGGAAACGAACATCAGCAAATAAAACATTGCATAGGAACAAAAATAGGCGGCAAGTTTAACCTTTGGAGCTAAATATTGTTTAAGGACGATCGAGAGTCGAGACCAAACCTTAAACTTTGAGAATTTCCCCAACTAAGTTTGTTGGTAAGCCTAACTCAAAAACAAATGTGGATTACCCCTAGGTAAGGGCCTTGATCATAGGTAAGTTGGACTTCTTTTCTGGCAAAATTGGCTGACATAATTAAGGGTCGAAGGTCCACATCTAGTGGCAAGTCATCGAACTCGACAAGAAGAATAGATCGATAAAAATTTTATGTTTATCTTTGAATGACATCATGTACAATACATAATTATGTTAATGTACAACAATTTAAACGAAATATCTCGACTCAACTACTCAGGTATCTATTGCACCTCGACCAATGAGGTCTCTCGAGCCTAACATTAGGATTAAATTGTTGGAAAATCATAATACGGTGGAAACTGTTGTATCTTATTACTGAAACCACATAGGATTTATATAGAGTATATAGACTGGTTCTATATAACCCTAACACTATGAAATTGCCTAACTTCTATGACTCTAACAAGAAATATAACTCTGCTAAATTACATAACAGTACTCGTGGTATAACATAATACTACACATACTCTAATATAAATCTCATTATCTTCCACGGATACATTTCTTGATGATATGGCATGTATGCAGTCTTGTCCTGGAATTTTTCATTTGACTTTTGGACTCATATAGTCCCTCTCACTCTCTCTTTCTTCACCCTTCGGGTTGGAACTGACAACAAATCTCAAGCTCCAATGCAACTAGATCGAAGTAAGTCAATTTCATCTGAGAATGATTTCAGTCCAAACCTTTATTGTGGAGTTAATCTCTGTTTCTTAAGAACTTCTTAGAGTTTATTTGGATGGACTCACTAGCTTACTCGCTGGGTTGGTGTATCCAAGGTAGCCTCAGCAACAAGCATAAGGATTACTACGTATGTGCATTCGAGGTTCGAGATGGCTTATTGGGTTGCATTATCCTCTTCGAAATTGAAAGATAATTGGCATTTGAAGTTTGGTGGAGGGTTATATAATAGAGCAAATTACTTTTTTAACTAATTAACTAGAAATAATTATTTGTTTTAACATGCGTGTCCTCTTTTTCTTTAATTGCTATGATTGAGTCAAGGGGCACTTTCAATTACTATCACAATGAGGGACCATTTCAGCATTTTTTTTTTTTTACATTTTCAATACATCAAAGACAAATATATAATATTCCAGGGAAAAGTATCTAGAAAATAAAAAAGGAAATATCAACAAAAAAGAAAACGATCCAACGGTCAATCACCGGGATGCAACTAATCCAATGGCCCGCAGGAATCTCAACGCTGGCCCTATCCAACGGTAGGCCGCTCTGCCGTTTGGAAGTCGACATGGGCTTTAAATTGAAAAATAACAATTTGAAAAGGAATTTAAGTATTTTTTAAAAAAAGATTTTCCACTAATTGAAGATATTTTGTATATAGGATATTATAATCAGTCTTAATTTTCAGTATCATCATTTCTACGTAGTATGTATCATCAAAGATGAATACTTAGTTACTTACCAAAAGGACCATCTAGTGGTGCAAGGATCAAGACGACTATTGTGAATTTGTGATATAATTGATCTCACACAATTCCAATATGTTATTTATTTCATTAAAAATATATAATAAAATTACCACTTAATTAGTTGGGTGAGTCTTACATCCTTGGTTTTGAGCGCATACAATACTAATTAGACTAAAATTATAAATACAATCAATATACGCATTTGTACTTTCAATTTATCATTATAATGGTCACTCGATGAATCTTTTGAAACTGTACAGAGATAGTTTCGGGGAAAAAAATTCCAAAGTAAGTTCTAAATGATTTATGGGTAAATTCACATATTTTTATTTTTTCTTGTTTATTATTATCCGAATGAAAGTTGAGATCATTTTGAGACAAACCGATTTATCATATAGGGATATTCCTTTTATTTATTTATAAAGACTAGTCACAATGTGCTACGAGAGGGCTGGGGAGAGGGAGAAAAGGAGAGTCATCCCCTAAAATTCAAACCTATGAGCTCCAAACTGAAAAACAAAGGTATGATCACTCGACCACGACCTAGGAGATTCAGTGCCACAGAAAAGATGAGTAAATTAATTTAGGGTAAAGAAGAACATGAGGCATCTGGCCACAGTCTTCGCCCTTAATTTCTTTCTTGTGCCATTGTGGGTAATTAATTAAGTAACAACCACAAATGATTTGCGCTGTCAGGGCCACCTCATACTCAGATTCCAACCGTTTGGATGTTTGCGACAGACATTATTATTTATTTATTATCGTACTTTTTTCTTTATATAATAAATAAATAAATTACACTAATTATGTTTCTTTGTCAAAGATATTGGGAAAAAGGAAAATCTGGGGAAACACCAATGTCATCTTTTGCATATCTGTCTGGGCTCTGGCCCTTGTATTCGTCGAAAGAGATCAAGAAAAACTAAGAATCTTGGGACGGCCGTTGCTTTCTGGTTCTCCCAATTGTGCATCTTTCGGAATCTTGCGGCTTAGATTATTGTCTATGGCTTCTTGTGGGTTCATAAAAATTAATTACTTCACATCCCTTTCAAGTCTCTTATATATATATTGAGACTATGATTTGTGAAATCTTGCTTAAAAACCTCCATTAAATAGTTGGGCATTAGGGTGAAGAATGTGTTTAACTTCGTTTTGGAGTCGAGTATTTATGGATCATAGTGCGATAGATGCTACAGAATTTGAGATAGAGATGATCACCAAAGTGGTTCACATGTATGAATACTCGTTCATATTTGACATTATCTAATTACGAGGGAATGCTATACATTTATCATTCGGCCTCATTTAATAAGACTAGTAATTGTGAGGTGACCAACTCATTTTTCAACATGATATTAGAGCTTTTTAACTTGGAGGTGTTTTGTAATTTGATCTCAAATGGTGTACGATGCAACCTTCGTTCTCATGCGTTGCGACTGAAGAAATGAAGATTGCCGCACATCAAGAAATGAATAATGCAAGGGAAGTGAACGCATGAGCATACCAATGGCTCTCGGAACATCCTTAAAATTTTGAAAAAAATTATAAGCTCCTGGTATTAGTTTGAGTTTGGGGTAGAAGCGAACCAATTGTCTTTTATGAGTGTCTCGAAACTCTTCTAAAAATTTGGAAATAGTTATCGACCTCCGATAATAGTTCGAGTTTGGGGGAAAAGAAATCGTAAGTGTTAATCTTTGTGATTTAAACACATAACCTATAAATATTACAACAAATGTTATCTTTTACCCTACAAATCATATGTTGTTATGTTTAAAACATGAATATAATTATAATCTAAAATAAAATAAAGTCCAAATAAACTCAAAATTTTCCATTTTCCTCCAAAACCTAAAGATTAAATTTCTCATTACTCCATCTTCTCATATTGACGAAGCTTGCATCACTATAAGGTTGAATTGTTTTACTCGGTTCTCAATTTTCCAATTTAACCTTATATTGGCGAAACTTACATCACTATAGATTAAATTGTTTTCTTCAATACTAGTACAACCCTATACTAACTTGGACTCTAACAAGAGATTTTTCGGGTCTTACCGTTATGTTGTATGGTTTAGCAATAAATGCTTAATAAGCACATTGTGTGTAGACATTTTGCAAATTTCAAACCCTATGGTTAAATTTCATTTCAAGGAGACGCATAAGGAATAATATACACAACCAAGCCCTCGATATTTTTTTTGCCTAACAACTCAACTTATTGAGGACAACTGTTTCTCGAAACTATCCTATCCAATAACATAAAATTTAGCATGTGATTTTATAGTTTAACTACTCTCTAAACGCGGCAAAAGAAATGAATTGGGGGAGCATATGTAACTGATGAGTAGGGGTGGCTATACGGTCCGGTCCGGTTAAATTGGACCAAATTGATCAGGTCTCAGTCCGATCTTTTCGGGAATATAAGGACCAAAGATTGGATTAGAGTGGATACAATCCGGTCTTGATCCGGTCCGGTCCCAATTTGATCTTGATTTTAGATTGAGCTTGTGGGGATTTTAGTGTTGGGGTCTCTTATCCGGTCTTTATCCGAGTTTTTTACCTCAAATCTAAGCCCGAATATGAGATTGGATTGTTTGTTATCCGATCCCAGTCCGGTCCGGGTCCGAATTATACGGTCCGATTTCGGGTAAAACCAAACAGTCCGGACCAAATAGCCAGCCCTACTGATGAGTGTGCTCCCCATTGTTGTAGTTGTTGGGATTTGGAGCTGTAGGCCTGTTAGCAGCTGTAATCCAGCCAGCCCTAATCTTATTAAACTGGGTTAATTACGTACCCAGGCTTTTAAGGCACTAATGGCTTTGCTTTAAGGAGGTTAATTATAATATTAAACGGTACAGCTTGAAAGGGCAGCGTACTTTGTTGGCAGTTGGTCACAGTTGAACCGTTCTTCCTCTCTGACAGCTCGTTCCAGAAGGATAATGAATTTTGGGTTACTACGATTATCTAGATACAGATTCTTCTTTCTTTCTTCTTCCCTAGCGCCTCTCTCTTTATGATATAATATACACAAATTGATAGATCAGTAGGCATAGATTTTCTGTTGTAAACTTAATCTATACACAAATACTAGGTGTGATATTCGATTAGCGGTTACATCATCAAGTGAGTTAGAAACCGAAAGCTATGCATGACTTTATAGAGAGGGAAGTGTATAACTAACGAGGAGTAATATCCCGAACAAAATTTCAATCACAAATATCTTATAAAAACGGTTGTGTGCAGGAGCGAAGTAGTATATAGGGGTCGTTTGCTCGTGGGATTTGGTGTTGTATTTGGCACCCAAATACCAAACATTATGGATTTGATAAAAGAACATTGTTTGTTGAGGTATCCAAATTCGTGGAGCCTACGGATTTGAATCTTTTTTAGCTTCGAATCCCTGGACTCCACGTATTTGCAAATACCACATTTCATTTGGTATGTGCAAATACCACATTATGAAAGACAAATTTTTGAGACCCAAATACCACATTCAAAGGTTTTCAAAACTCAAATCCATCATTTTCAAATCCAATAAGCAAACGAGCCTATGTTGCAATCAATTTTCAAGCCCCTAGAGGTTCTAACCGCTTCATCCTAGCCATCTGAATGTTGAGGTAGTTATAAGAACGACCCTTTTTTATGTTGATACACATGTTCTCTCCTCAGTCAAAAATTCTTTAGGGTTTGACATATTCACATTCTCGCACACCTCATATACAAATAAAACTTTGTTAATTAAAATGCATTTGAGTTGCATCGAGTTTGAAGTTTGCACACATATTTAAATCGGACCTTGTTTATCATAGATTAATATTCCAATACCAATATCAATAACCCATTCACCGAATAAACGGAATCTTTGAAAGCTGAGGATATTCATCATACACAGGAGTTGTGGGGAAGTCAAACTGCCATGTTTGGAGTAGAGGGGCCAATTAAGTTGACATTTATAAATGGTGAAGGATTGAAACAAGACCAAGGTAGGTAGCTATAGGTACCAAGTTGTCTTGTTCTATTTTTATCTTGGGGATTCTCGAGAGAATTCGGTTGGGAATATAACTTGGGGTAAGGGGAATGTTGACCCTCTCTTCTCTCTCAACGTTAATATTCTCTCTTCTGCAAGCTTCAGCTTGACTGCTGTGTTTGGTTGGTATTCCTCGTCAAAAGAAGCTTGGTTGTTTCTTCTTTATTGTCTATATGCAGGCTTATCCAGAACATTCCCCTATTTCTTTCCTTTCAATTGCACTTTTTATCGGTGTGTCTGTGAAATCGTACCGTATTGATGGTTTGACCGAAAAATTATCCCATCAAAATTGGTAAGCGGATTTTATTGGTATAAAATGGTTGAACCAAAATTTCAATAGAAAATAACCTACAATTAACTTGTCCAGTACAACCTTTAATACATACGTACGATTTTATAATTTTTACCTTCAGGAGCTTAGCTACATAGATTTGGGGTGATTTGGGTGTGAATGCCGAGAGAGGGATGAAATCTTTGAGGGGTAGACGATTCAACGAGTGAAAATCATGAAATTAGAAGTTGATTATAAAAAAATAAATGCCTCTCGAATGTGTATTGACGCTTATATTGTGTTTAAATGATTGGTCTCTTATTTTCCAACATTATTGTCATTTTTTAGCCTTCATATTCTAGTACTAGAGTAAAATAAATAACATTGATTTTGAATAGTATGTTTTCAATAAGTTTACTAAAATTGGGAATACCTGTTGTAATTACCCTTCAAATGACACATCTGAGTCGAACTTTGAACTCATATGATAAAGATGGAAGTGTGGTGGCCTAATCAACCATCTATAGGTTGACCGACCTCCCCCTATATCCATGTCGGATATTGCAAGACCTACCCCTTCGGGCGCTCCCTTCGAGAGTAATTCAAAATGAAATGAAGCTTATGTAGACCTGTATTTAGACTCTTGAATTAACAAAAAAAAAAAAAAGACTTAAACCCCAAATCCTCGCCAATGGATACTAAACGTGATTAATTCTTAGCTTCATCCAACAAGCTTTAGACCTCGGGATTGCCGTCTAAATTTCTACACGAATCGAAACATAATTACATCTCAAAACTCAACACCTATATATATTTATAAATAAGTGAAGCTCATTATAGTAAATCGTACTATAGTGTCCGTACAATGGGTGATTTATTACGAAGATTTGACTTCTTAAGGCTGCTACTAATTATTGAATTAGTATCTGACACTAATGAAAGAGGTTTAACTATTTGATTCCATAATCCATGTACAATCAATTTGAAAATTGCAAAAAACTCTCTTCGGATCTCCTTTGTTCTTATTCCTATCCTAGGGCAAAGATGCAGAGAAAATATAAGCCAAGAGAAATTGTCTTTTCGATGAGGACAATATATTAGACACCTCGTAATGAAATAAATAAAAATACTTTGGTTGTTGTTTCCTTGTCACACTTGTCAATAAACCAAAATATCACCAACTATGTGATATCCCACAAACCACACAAAAATTAAAATTATGGGATTGTTAGGCCGTCATCCCATCAAATCAAATTGCAATCAATTTAACTAATTTGGGTACTAAGACTTTGATATCATCATTGCATCATGATAGCCACACGCCCAGCCTGAATATATATCACTAAAATCAATAGTTTATTTGTTTGTATTCTTGGTATATACAGAAGTTTACATTTTTGAATATCGAAGAACAATTTGATCTTATATCTCCATCGATAATGCCTTGAGAAATAACTGGTAACCACCGCAGAATGGTGGTAACGATAAATGCGGATATATGATTCAACCAAATATAGGCATAAATCTAGGGACCGACATGGTTATTGTGCTAGTTTAACCACTCTCAAAGGCTTGTCAGGTGTTCATGAGAAATCAGATTTGCCGCCTATAATGAATTTCTTCGAACCCGTGAATTAGTGTGTTCTCAAATGCCAATGACTTGAGTTATTGTGTGGTTGGTGCGATGCATAAATGTGAGCAATGACTACATGTTTAGCACTATCAAACCCAACTTCATGAGATATAACACTTCAAACGCATTTAAAGTATATGGCTTATAACTTAAATAGCAAGCAAGTTTTTTTTTTTTTTTTTTGTCCCTTCGGGGGCATCTAATAAAATTTGGAGAAACAAGCAAGTTTATCAGAACATGATCGATGCAATACTGATCTGTGATTTGGGCCATGAGGATTATGTTTTGAGAAGCAGGCCAGGAAGCTTATTGAACGAGAGATGATTGAGGATCCAAAGCCCAAAATAAGATGGGCTTAGTTAAATGCCGAATTATCTAATTGCCAAAAATCTCGAATTTGGGGGTATGTTGTCCTTGTCCAAAGTTGTTAACAAAAAGGGGCTCTACAAGAAACAACTAGCATTTCGGCAAACTCGATAGGTCCATGGAGAACAAAACAAGCCCATAAAATCAGAGCTTCCCCAATTGTTTTTGTCAAAAACAAAAAGCCCGTGTAGTCATTGGGCCTGTGCTCCAGCAGAGAAGCAAGGGAATAAAAAAAAGAGGGTCAATACGTGCCACTCTAAAAAATGTGGTATGGGTGCCGCTTCTTCTGATTGGTCCACACAAGCTATGATGTGGTATTGGCTGCGTTAATCAAGCCCAAATCCAAACCCGTTGAGCATTAGTTGGCCAAACCCACCCAAACTGACGGAAAAGTTGTCGTCCGTCTTCTCATCAGCGTTTTTGTCATTGCTTAATAAATTTTAACATTAATTCGACAAAACAACACACTGAGAACCAAAAACCAGACAGCAGAGGTAGATCAACACGGAGGAGGAGAAGGAGAGTCGCTTCTACTCTCAACCGGGGGAGGCACCACCTGCAGCAGCTACTCACGTGATGGTAAAACTCGTCTATTGAGTTACGCATCATGAACACAAACTCAAGAAACTCACATAGTGGCCATGATTCACTTCAGAATTTGCTCCACAAGTTTCTTTAATCCTTACTAAAGAAAGCCCCCAAGGCACAAAAACTAGTAAAATGCACAATGATGGAGGTGGTAATGAACGAGGAGTTTGGAGGAGGATGTGGTATTCATTCACCTGGAAAATTAGTTGGGGATCGACAAAATCAACTAGTAGTTTCTGCAATTTCCCCCGGACGAGAAACAGCCTGGTAAAGAACAAAAACGAGATTCAGTTCCATTTCCTTCACCCCAATAAGATAAACGGATGAACACAATCATAAAGAAAACACACACACACACACACCTCTTAGAAGACGAATCAACCATGATTTCAGTAGCGATTTCTCACATTTGGTTTGATTTCACATTTAGCTCCACATAATGACTTATGAGTGTTTGATATTATTGGAACCATCACCTGAGCTCCCTTTTTTTCCCTATAATACCCGCCAGAAGTTGACGATATCACTCACTAGATGCAGAAGGGGCATTCAGTGGATGCTTCCTTTTTTCGATGTTCGATATTCTTTCCCGTAGGCAGAATGTTGTGGATGAGTTTCCAAAGGAAGATCTTGATCTTAGGTGGAATTACCAACCTCCATAACCGCTTCCAATCCATCGGATCGTAGGTCTCAATATTTCCCCCGAGTCTTCTAGTTCTTCCTCATCAAGCTCCACCAAACCTTATGTATCAGTTGGAAAACCAGTCTGTTTTGAAGAGAAAAGCATGTATGTCGTTTTGACTGTATACTGTCCTGACTTTTCATAAGCCCAAACCTCAGTATCAGATGATGGCTGGCGAGGAATTGGAATTCCTTCAATCATCGCTCTCTCTGTTGGGTTAAAGTGGAGCTGCAGTAGAGATTTCCTCCATTGTCTTAGATCATAATCAATAGATCACTCACCCCGTTCTAAATTGGTAGTGACTTTCCGGGTACTTGTAACTTTGAATCCTGCTTCTTCAACTCCTGCCACCCATCTATCATCCCAAATATTCACTCTGGAACCATTCTAGATCCTCCACCTGACTCCTTTTTTTACAAATTGTTGAGCCGCCATAATACTTCTCCAGGGATAACTTGGATTTGCTCCAAGACTAGCATGCAGGACATCGTGATTCGGGTAGTACTTAGCTTTTAGGACCCTTGCTGCTAGAGATTCTAGAGTGGTTAAAAGGTTCCAGATATGCTTTTCTAGCATAACAAGGTTAAAGATATGAAGGTCCTTAAACCCCATACCACCCTCCTCTTTTGGTTTACACACTTTCTTCCAAGCTCTCCATGATATCTTTTTTCTTCCTTCTGCTATCCCCACGAAAAGCTTGATGGCCTTTCTAATCTCCGCAATCTCCCCTTGTGGGATTAAAAGAAAACTGAGATCACCTAGGTAACTTAAGCTTGGGCTAGAGCCTTAAGTTTTGTGTTTTCTTTTTTCACATAAATTTCCCAATTTCCCCCCTCATTTTCTTCCATTGGCTTCCCTCAACTATCTTGTCAGCCCTCTAACCAAACTTTTGCAGACCCAAGAAAAGAGAAAAATAGAAAAGAGAAAAACTTTCCTTCTCCCCTTCACAAACCCAACAAAATCCATCGCTGGAAATTTAATACGCTAACTTGAAAATTCGTTAGCGGATACTAACTGATATCCAAAATACATGAACTAATATCCAAGTACTAAAGTATTTAAAGAGCACAGACTAGCATTCATAGTTTGCTAACTGATATCCACCAATAATTAACTATTATCCCAAATTCACAAACTAATATATAGACAACACAAAATAGTATCCAAACAACACATAATTAGTATCTAGATAACACATAAGAGTATTCATATTGAATACTAGTTGGTTGATTGTGCATATTAGTTGGTATATACTATCTGGATATTAGTTTGTGATGTTTTGAATACTGGTTTGTGTTATGTAGATACTTAACAAACTTGAATATTAATTCATACATTTTGGATATAAGTTAGTAAATATTAACGAATTTTAAAGTTAGCGGGATAACTAGGCGGGTTAGGAACAGGCAGTGGCACTAGCAGATGCAGAATGCAAAGCCCGTCGCCGTTGCAGCAGAGGCTGTGGCTGCTGCAGCAACCGCGCCACATCTATCCGAGGCCGTTCCTTTCCGCTTCTCCTCCAAGGAACAACCGATTCCCCTTCTCCCCTCTTTACCTTTCCTTCCCGGCCCGAGCCCGAGCCCTCCCCGGCGGCGGCGAAGACAGTAGTAAGCAAACAGAACCATCAACACGCCTTGGCAAGGACAGCAATTTCAGCGATGTCAGCATCGATACACGAGTGGTCCTGTCGTCCTGCCTCGTCGGCCTCCTCACCGGCATCGCCGTCGTCCTCTTCAACAACGCCGTGCACGAACTCCGCGACCTCTTGTGGGACGGAATTCCTCACCGAGGCGCTTCCTGGCTGCGAGAGGAGCCGCTCCACTCCAATTGGGCCCGGGTCGTCTTGGTCCCCGCCGCCGGCGGATTGGCAGTCGCCGCCTTGAACCAGCTGCGCTCTTCTCTCCCCGATTCCTCCGCCCTCCTCCGCCCTGTTCTCAAGGCGCTGTCGGCTTCCTTCACCCTCGGCACCGGCAATTCCCTCGGCCCCGAAGGCCCTAGCGTCGAAATTGGGGCTTCCATCGCCAAGGCAATTGGGGCATCGCAACCAGACTCCAACACCAAGCTCTCCCTCCTCGCTGCCGGATCCGCCGCGGGCCTCTCCTCTGGTTTCAATGCCGCTGTCGCTGGCTGCTTCTTCGCCGTGGAGTCGGTCTTGTGGCCGTCTCCCTCCGATTCATCATCCGTGTCGCTAACCAACACCACCTCCATGGTTATACTCAGCGCAGTAATCGCTTCGGTTGTATCACAAGTCGGTCTGGGCTCCGAACCTGCCTTCAAAGTCCCAGATTACGACTTCCGCTCTCCGAGTGAGCTACCTCTGTATCTGTTGCTGGGTATACTCTGCGGCTTGGTTTCACTAGCCTTATCTAGATGCACCTCATTTATGATCTTTGCTGCAAACAAGCTACACGAAGATGCCGGGATGCCAAGAGCTGCATATCCTGTAATCGGTTCCTTGGCGACTGGGGTAATAGCCCTGGCATACCCGGAAATCCTTTACTGGGGGTTTGAGAATGTCGATGTTTTGCTCGAATCCCGGCCATTTGTGAAAGGGCTATCAGCTGATCTGTTGGTTCAGCTGGTGGGAGTCAAGATTGTAGCGACGTCTTTGTGTCGTGCATCTGGGTTGGTAGGAGGCTACTATGCTCCTTCTCTGTTTATTGGTGCGGCAACAGGAATGGCATATGGCAAGCTCATTGCGCTTGCAGTTGCTCAGTCTCATATTACGGATCAACTTTCCATCTTGGAATTGGAAGTGGCTTCACCGCAAGCTTATGGCCTGGTATGTTTTCTAAGACATTGTAATAGCCAAGCTGCAGTTCTCTGTATCAGAATTATGCTAAATTGCTTAGGGTGTGGTGTTTCTTTAGCTGATTTGTAGGAGTGGGAAAATGGTTAGATTGAGGGGGAAGTCTGAACTGGCGAGCTGTTTCCCATGTATATATACAGCCAGATTAGCCGTAAAAACTGGCTAAGCTGATAGTATACTAAAGGCAGTCAGCAAAATCAGCTTGTGAAACTATAGGCAACAATTGTGGGGGGGTTTTGCATTCTGTGATTTACAGTTGAAGATGGTTTTCAGATGACTGTCTTCATCACTGAGCTAACTTTCTGTAGGCACAAAATATTTTGTTTCTCGTAATGGAAATGAATCTTCCAATTTTCAGGTTGGAATGGCTGCAACTCTAGCAGGAGTGTGCCAAGTGCCTCTTACTGCAGTTCTACTAATGTTTGAGCTTACGCATGACTACCGAATAGTTCTCCCACTACTTGGAGCCGTCGGATTATCTTCATGGGTAACCTCGGGTCAAATGAAAAGAGATGGTAGAGACGTCATGAAAAAACAAGAGTCGACAAATCCTACTACTCGGACTCGAAATAATAAGGGAACATCATCCTCAGATGCAAGACTCCCTCCCACCACCGCAAGCGACCTTTGTGAAATTGAAGCTTCCCTTTGCATGGATGATTCCGTTTTTACAAGTCCAGCATCTAGCAAACCAATCCTCGTTTCTCAAGCCATGAGAACCAGATACGTAGCTATTTCTATGAACACTTTACTTGGTGAAGCGGTGAGACTTATGCTTGAAGAGAAGCAGTCTTGTGCTGTAATTCTTGATCATGATGGTGCCCTGATTGGGTTACTTACACTTGAAGATATCGAAAACTTCATCAAAACTGTGAAATCGGGAAGCTGGAAATTAGAGGTAAAAAGGGTGATCTCTCATTCCGTGATGCAAGACTGTAGTACCATCTTGACTGGTCGTTTTTTTATTATCCATTTCAGGAGTTCCCTGTATCGGAACTATGTTCATCAGGTGCCCGAGCCTGTGAGGTGCCTTGGACCGTGAATCCCAGCATGGATCTCCTTTCAGCACAGCAAATGATGGATAGGCACGGTTTTGATCAGGTGCCAGTCGTCTCGGAGAGTTTGAGAGGCGGAAGAGACTATCTAGTTGGCCTTTTGGACAGAGAATGTATCGATTTTACGCGCAGGTTTCTCAGCAGCAACATACTCAGTTGAATTATTTCGTGACTCGTCATGTGCTCAATTACCCATTTGTAAATGCAAGGGGATTAATCCCATGACATGGTTTTGTGATCAGTTTTGCTGTAAAATTCATTTGTAAATGCAAGTGATTAATTAATCCCATGACAGGGCTTTTGTGATCGTTTTTGCTGTAAAGTTCATTTGCATATTTTGTATGCAATGTAAATCCACAGAAAGCTAGATATATATAAGCAATACCGTATCGCATATGAACTACCGCGTGTGTATAGAGTCGGTCTTGTAAGTTAGTCTGTTGGTTACCCTCTTCTTGGTGTATCTTGAGGGGGAAAAAAATGATGAATCTAATTGCCTAAAATCTCGAATTTGGGGGTATGTTGTCCAAAGTTGTAACAAAAATGGGCTCTACAATCCCTCAAAAAAACAAATGGGCTCTACAATAAAAACAGCTAGCATCTCGCAATTGGGCCCATGGAGAACAAAACAGGCCCATAAAAACAAAGCTCCCCAATAGTTTTTGTCAAAAACTAAAAGCCCGTGTAGTCATTGGGCCTGGACTTCATAAGAAAGGGCATAGGGAATAAAAAAGAGACGTGACCCATAAGAAAACAAAATAGAGGAAAGAAAGAGAGTAAGGGCATAGGGGAAATAAATAAATAAAAAAGTCACGTGTGCGCACGTGAGAATAATGGTGGTGGCCTCGCGTGCCGGCGTGCATTACTTTTTTTAATTTATTCGAATGTGGGGCCCCCACGTGAGCAGGCAGCTGTGCCTTTCCTTACTCTTTCTCCATCTGGCAGCTGACTGACAATTTCCTCTTTCCTCCCTAATTTCTTTGTTGTTTTCTAATTAAAACCCATGAGTTCTTTTTTGACCAGTCTGACACGTCAGTGGTGTCAGTCCCACCATTTTTGGTTCTTTCTTCTACTACTCTACTCTCTCCCTGTCCTTAGTCCTCTCTAGTCATGTGTGAACCATAGATAATTAGGCATACCGACAAAACAATAAAAAGAGTATGGAGAAGAAGAAAAAAACCCAAGTAGGAAAATGATATTACCACAAAATGACAAATTTCATTTCATTGTAGGTGATTAGAATTGTACATTTATCCTATTGACTCTGTAATGGTTGTACTGGGTGGTGGATAATTCGCTGTTTGATTTTGACTATCAACAAATAACTCAAATTTTAAAGATTGAGTAACTGGAGTTGGTAGATTGTGGATCGATAAATTCTCTACCCGCATTTAGTTGGGTGGGGTTGCTAGTCATTTGAATAGCTCGCTATTCCATTTTCACATGACAATGAGTTGTTTCTTGCTTATGTTATCTTATATTCATCATATTTACTATCGCATTACACACTGACCCTCTACTTTCAAAAGAGGAAACATATAATTTTTGGAATATTACTACAAGTTACGAAGTTAATGTCTGTTAGCTATTGGGATGGATATGATACCTTATTAGTTGTATGAAAATTGCATACGGCGTCAATTTTCTCTGCGTAATTGGTTGATAGAGTAATGTAAGATCTCGTACCAGTAAAAAATGGAACCACATGAGACAACGTGAGAGATATCTAACTTGATACAACCCAACTAATTTGTGAGTAATTTATTAGAAATATTAGTCAATTTACATAATAATTAGTCAGAAAATTATTATTGCGGATTAACCTTCAACCCATCAACGCCAATTAACTTGCCAATCCACCCAACCCAAATTAAAAAAGAACGTGAATATACAGCAGGTCACAATTTTATGAATTCATCAATAAATATATGAGTAAATTTAAGATTGAAACCCACACAACCAATCCATAATACATATTAAATTATCACTGATATCCCAACCCTCACCTCTAATTTCTTTCTCCCTAAATTTCGTCTATATCAATTCCTCTTGGCCCCCGGCCACCCTACCTCCCTCTCTTCTCAAAATCTTCCCATAATCCTCCCTAAAGTTTGCCACTAATCTTTATTTCTGCCCTCTGTCCCTATTATTTAGGGTTGGAGGTTGGTCGGTTTCGATTTAATCAAAAACAGAATTTTCGGTTAACGATTAACCGAACCATCTCCCAAACGACTGACCACCGATTGAAAGAGGGCTTAAGACTTCGATTATCTCTATTTACGGTTAAACGAACCACCTTCTAAGACAAAATCATCTCGCCCAGCCTCCGAACACCGACCGACCTTTGGTTATCTCGGTTTTCGATTAGTGGATAACCGACCAATTTCGGTTGTAACCGATCGGTTAACCGTTAAACGATAACCGATTGTCCAACCCTACTTATCCGCGGTTCATACACATTATTGGTTATCAATTTATCATGATCAAGGGCTACTAGCTTGACCAAAGATCTTGATTCTGATTTTGACCAGCGGGGAAAGGAAGATCTGATTTTTATCAGTTATTATATATATATGCAGCAATCTGTACGCATTTTATATCTCAGAAGAGCATTTTGTCACATGCATGATCAACAAGGCTTTGTTATGTCATTCGATGTTCTCCTAAAGCGTCGTATTACTTAGTTTGGAGTCTAACTCCCGATCTCCTTTTCTTGGCGTTTGATGCTGTTCAACGTTGTTGAGTGTTGAACGTTCAAAACTCAAATCCCTCACTATATAGAAAAAGGCATGGAATAGAATATGGCGCAAAAGAAAACCATGAAGAACCCAAGGGAGAGAGGGACAGATGAAGACAAATCGACGAGGTTGGGGGAATATCTCGGGACGCACTATACAATTTTGGGAGTATTACATGTGTAATTTGTTGTTGTGATTACATTATCTCTATGTGAATGTGCTTGCAACGTTTTTTGTTTTGTCGGATTCGAGAGCGTACGCTTTTCAGTGTTTGATTTTGTTCATTGTGCGCGGACCTTATCCAACGAATTCAGGAGATTGTGTGTACGTTCACAGAGACGCCCTACAAATGTTTTGCTTACTCGTGTCGTGTGCAATGTTGTTTGATGATTGTGTGACATACGTAAATCGCAAAAGAATGAGTGTGGTGGATTCGCGTTCTATGCATTTTGCGCTTTATTTCGATTACGATTTGGATAATTGATGAGAAGGTATAGTTTCGTCTATCTTTGAGAACTAATGTGCATGGACGACAAAAAGGTACAAATCGACACTACAAGGGTAGTTCGACGATCTGCACCATTTGTGATTTAGTGTGGTTCAGTTTGGCGGGGTTAAAGTTGGAAATTGAAATGTGATAATGGGCTGGGCTTCACAAAAGGTCGTCGTCCGACCTAATGGCTTGCCGAATTACATTGGCCCAGTTCTCAGGGTTAAGATCCGGGCCCAGAAAGAATCAAACTGCTCATAGAAGTATCCCCCTAATGACTTAATAGATTCACTTGTGTTTGAATTGGTTTTCATAAGAGGTTAATGCAAAAACCAATTTTTTAATTTGATGATTTTTCTTAAGTGCTTATAAGAAGTGTGTTTGATTGGTTGCTATTTGTAATCTCTTCTTCTGAACAAATAAGGTTGTTGTTGTTGGTTCGAGATTTGAACCCTTTTATCTATTTTAATAAAATTTCTTGAAAGCATGGATCAGGACCAATCTGCCATAAATATCAAATTGTAAACCAAATATTGAGCACAACCATAGTTGACTCTGCTGCATGTTCGAATTTTTTTTTTTTTTACCTTAAACTTGAGAGCTGAGCCAGACAAGGATCTTCTTGTCTCTGGTCACAATTTTTTTTTGGTTAGTATTGTAACTTGTGCTGGGGCTGAAGAAGAGGCTTTAGCACCCAAAGTTGATAGTCAAAACCCCTATCCCCTTCTTAATAAAAAATCTACCGCAGGAGAGAGAGAGAGAGAGAGAGAGAGAGAGAGAGAGAGAGAGAGATAAGAAGAGAAAGGAAGGAATATGAGGACAGTTTTGACTCTCTCTGTGTCAAGAACTGTTTTGTGGGCAGCAAATTAATATTTGAAGCCTTCAATTCAACGGGTGGAGGCTTGGGTTGGGGAAGAGGAAAAAAAACAGTGGAAAAGGAAATCATCTTCACTGCAAAAATCTTCCCAGCCCAGCCTTACAAAATACAAATCTCTGGATCTGTTGAGAGGAGAGAGAGAGAGAGAGAGAGAGAGAGTTGGCCAGTTGGGGATTGGCAAATGGCTCTGGGCTCGGCTGTGAACCAACTACATTGTCGGCTCTCATTACCACCTTGTTCATCATTTTTCACCTATGGAGGTGACTTAGGTGAGCTGACCTTTCTTAGAGCTAGTTGTTGGGTTTGAACTTTGGAGCTAATACGACATAACACAATCTTAGTATTGATAATCGTTGAAGTTGACATGAATTTTCGATGATTTATCATTATTTTTATCGTTTTCATTTCATTAATTCGTTTATCTTAGAAAGATAGAATGATGATCAAGACATTTACTATTATGTTAGGCTCTAATCGTTACACAACAACGTTATTCTATTAACAATCTATATCATTGTCAAAATGTTTAGCCAATTATCAGCAGGCAAATCAACTTCTCATCATTTTTTTTTACACAAATGACCAAAATTTTCATTTGGAATCCTGCATATAGTTGAAAGAAAATGTATAGTTGAGTCACCAATCAACAAAAACACAACTTGGGAAATGAACTGCATAGTAGTCATTTTACTTATTGAGACACATTAAGCAGAGCACTTATGTAAGGAGCTAGGTTAAAGATATAAAAGTTTATATTAGGGGTGAAAGTTTGACCCGAAAGACCCACTGACCCGTCCCGTCCATAAGGGTCAGGACAAGTCAGTTTGTCTACAGGGTCAGATTAGGGACGGGTCATGTGTTGACTTTGTAAGGGTCTGGACGGGTAGGGACAACTTAGGGACGGCTCAGGTTTTGACCCTGTGATCCTTAGCAACAATAAATATCTCACACCACATTGGACCTTTTCGTAAAGTTTTTAAAGTTTAGGTACTAACTTGTAAAAATAACAAATTTTGGGTACCAAAACGTAATTTGTAAAAAAGTAGTGTGTTGATTAGGTTCGACCCACTGACCCGACCCGTCCCGTCCCGTCTCAATCCTTGAGAGTTAGACAAGGTCAAGAAGGAGACAGGGACGGGACGGGTCAGTTTTACATCTTGACCCTTCAGGGACGGGACAAGCAAATTTTCAGCCCTAGTTTATAGCACCAATAAATTTTGAAATATAGATAAAAGTACAAGTGAATCCTTAGCATTTCTCGTCTCTAACTCTAATTACAACCATTCAATGAACTCCCTGTTTTAATTTCTAACTCCGCCATCAGTTAAACCAATAAATATGTGAATTAGATGCAAGCCATCGTTAGCACAGAAAGGTCCATAGAGTTGGCTACTAACTTGGCTGACTATGAGATCTATTCCCATTTCCCATCCATAAACAAACAAATATGAAGACCTATTCCCAAAGCAAAATGCAGAGATAGAGAGAGAGAAGAAGAGAGACATGCACGCATACACATCACATAATGACTGCAGGTTTAGACATTTCTCATCTCTTTTCTCTACAAAACCACAATCCCATAATTATCTTTTCTTCAAGTTTTGTATTTTCTTTGTCACATAAATTTCCCAAATTCTCCCCCCCCCCCTCATCATCTTCCATTGGCTTCCCTGAACTGTCTTGTCAGCCTCACTGTCTTTTTTCTCAACTTGTCCACTGCTCCCTAACCAAACTTTTGCAGACCTCCCCCTTTGTCAGAACTCTCCCCAAGATGAGAGAAAAAAATAAAACGAAAAGAAAAAAGAAACAAACTTTCCTTCTCACCTTCACAAACCCAACAAAACCCATTAATAAAAACCCCAACCAAACCCTGCAGAAAAGCTTACTCACTTCACCAAAGTTAAGAGAGAACAAAACCCAAACTCTCTCTCTCTCTCTGTCAATGGACTTCCATCTGAAGCAATGGAGAAACCGACATGAGTCAGAAGTGGAAGAAGAGGAACAACAACAGCCATCCTCCAAGATTCCAAAACACCTCTTGGATCCCTCTCCTCCTTCCTCTGGTTCTTCTGACCAGCATCATCCTCATACTCCTTCTACCACTACTCCTCTCCCTTTGTTTGTACCTTCAGCTGATTCATTACCAACTAAGCTCACCAGCAGCCTCAACTACAGCAATCTTTCAGCTGTTCCCACAAGTAATAAAGAAAACCCCAACTCTCCACTATTCATTTTCCCTGTTTGGTCTAATTTGAGCTGAGAAAAGATTCCACCTTTACCTCAAAACCCACTTCCTTTCTTTTCACCCTTCATTCCCCTCCCCTTTGTTTGGCCTAGTTTTGTGATAAAGTTTGGACCTTTACTTCCACCCCACTTCATTATTTTCTCCCATCTATTCCTCTGTTTTTGTTGTTGTTGTTGTTGTTGTTCACCCTCTGTTTTTTGTTATTTGAATAGGGATGGGAAGTTACTTCAGCTTGGCGCAGTGGCAGGAGCTGGAGCTACAAGCTTTGATCTACAGATACATGTTGGCTGGAGCTGCTATCCCTACTGAACTCCTCAACCCAATCAAGAAGAGCCTTATCCTTCACTCTTCCTCTGCTTCCCCTGCTTCCTTTTTCCTTCAGCATTACTCCAATCCTTATCAGCCTTCTGCTTGTAAGTTGTTGGGATCTTTTACCTTTTCAACACATGTTGTTATGGCATTGCTTCTGATTCATTTTTCCAACATAGGTGGGTAGTTAATTCTTGAGAGAGTAAAAATGACGTCTTCGATTGGTTCTAGACTGTCTGTTCCTCATAGATATTTGGACCCTTTTTCTTTGTGCTTCCCAAGCTCTTGAGATGCTACTCTTTTTGGGAAGAAAAAAGTTGTGTTTTTTAACGCATCAGAATTTAAATCTTGAGAGCTATCTATCATGATATATATCTTACATCAAGACTGGAGCTTTTTTTAACGGAATGGATCTGTTTTTTTGGTTTTGGTAGTGTTGCAGGGAGGGTATTGGGGAAGGGCAGCCATGGATCCGGAGCCGGGGCGGTGCCGAAGAACCGACGGCAAGAAATGGCGGTGCTCGAGAGACGTGGTGGCCGGCCAGAAGTACTGCGAGCGCCACGTCCACCGCGGCCGCAACCGTTCAAGAAAGCCTGTGGAAGTTACCACCGCCGCCGCCCCCTCTGTTATTGGTGGTACTGGTTTCAACAACTGCTCCACCGCCGCGCCATACGGCGGTAGCTCTGCTCGGCCGCCGCTGTCGATACCTCTAGCTAGTGGGATTGGCCGAGGCGGCGGCGGATCGTTCCCTTCTGCTGATCTGCTTCATCTAAGCCAACGGTAAATAAAAATTTCATCTTTTCGAGTAACCGATTATTGGGTTTTGGTGGGTTTAATTCGGCGATTAAAGGGTCTTGTCTTGTCTCCTTTTCTCAAGCAATGGGGGAAGTTGTTTCCCCAAGTTGGGGATTTTATGAGACGTCACTGTTTTTCAGTTCTTTAGAGTGAGCACTAAGTTGAAGAAGAGAGAGTCAGAGTGTTGTTGCTGCCCCACCATTTTTTTTGGTTGGTTGCTGGTGGGCAAAGTTACAAAGTAGGACCTGTTCCATTTATGTCTCAAATCTGGGGAGAATTTTCGGATCTCTGATGAAATGGACAAAACAATGGCCTCTTTTTCTTTGCCCTTATCTTCAAAACCTTTTCAGGAAGGAATGGAATATGGGTAGTTGTTCTCCATTGTCATTAAAAATCTGAAATGCTCTGTTTTTGTTTTTTGTTTTGCTCTGTTCAGATCGGGGACGGAGGCTTGCAACAACAGATCGGACGGCGGACATGTCCTGAGACACTTCTTCGACGACTGGCCGAGAGAGTCGGAGGACAGTGCCGCCGGACATTCCTCTACCTGCCTGACGATATCGATGCCGGCGACGGCTTCCGACGTGTCGTTGAAGCTGGCCACTGGCAACGACGGCGGGGAAGAGGAGGGTGGAGGGAGCGAAAGGGCCCAAGCCCAAATCAACTGGGCCACGGGGTGGGCCGGGAACCATATGGGTGGGCCGCTGGCCGAGGCCTTAAGATCGTCTTCCTCCGCTTCGAATTCGTCTCCTACAAGCGTTCTAAGCCAGCTGCCTCGGGTCACTGCTTCTGCTGAGACCAGCTTCGTCAGCGCTTAGAGAAACACCCTCATTTGATTTCTCTCCCGCTTTGGAAATCTGTGTATACGACATCGTTTAATAATCGCCTGGGTTCTTTGTTCTTCGTGCTTCTGTTTGTGGTTTGTTTGTATGAGATGTAAGTTGATTCATAACATTTTGTTCCTCAAAGCGTGCCTCTAGTGTTCTAGAGATGATTGCAGTTAATCGTTCCAATTTTATCTGATGTCCGTTGAAGGAATCGAGCCTGTACGTAATGTTATCAGACAAGAAATCGATACAACGTATACCTTATTATTATTTGGGAAGGAAGGTGATAGAATGAGATATTATTATGATCGACTACATGGCAAGGCGCAGTATTATGATTTTATGAGGCATTCTCTGTACAATAGACTAGTGATAATAAATTAGATTATTGCTAATACGATTTTAGAGTTGAGCTAACATCATTAATTACGCCTCTACGTTACTAGACTAGGCCAATTGAAGCAGAGTGACGGCTTCACCAATGCCATGAAGCCTAAGTTGTCCACCCCTCCCTCTCTGCTTCTTCGCCTTGTCACGTCGTCTCCGGATGAACTGCTTGCAGAGCTAGATTGCCATGAGAATTGGAATCTAGAGAGCTGAAGTAGTAAGCATCATTTTGCAGCTGCGACTGTATCTGTGGCCTTTCCATGCAGCTGTAGAGCCAACGAGATCTGAGTGCCGATTATTCTTAGCTCTGGATGAGCTCTGATGCAGCATCCAGCTCTGCTGCTGCCTTGGGTGCTTCGGGTTCTGGCTCGTCCTCTTTGATGGAAGCAGCAGCTGATTCGATCTCGAGGGGAGCAGATTGAGGTTTATCCTCCACCAAAGCGTAGACTACTGCTGTTCTTGCTGGGGCGTAAACCATGATGGATCGAGGCCTGTCGTCGTACCAACCGTCCTGTCAAAGAAACAGTAACAGTATTTCGTGAGTAGATAAATACACACAAGTTTGACGTTGCTGTAGAGGGAGGAGAGAAGGAGGTTTTCGTACGAAGGTGAAGTATTCGGCATTGTGATCAAGTCTGTCGAAGCCTCCGAAGAGTGCATCATCCGAGTCCAAAACAATCTGTGGAGAGGAAGAAAGAAAGCGTGACGTGTTTGATACGGAGATGAAGGAAGTTGAAGAAGCGGGAAGAGAGAGTGAGAGGGCGCGTGTACCTTGTACTTTCCAGTCTTGTGGCAGCCGATTCTGTAGTCGGAGTAGCTTTTGTTCCAGTGGAAGTTGAAGACGAACACAAGGTTCCCTCTCTCAAACACGATCACCCTATCACCTTCGTCTTTTCTCGATATGTACTGGTGAATGTCAGTCATGAACTGTACGAGAAACCAGAACCAACAGCTCAATCGTCATTTTCCATATCGGAAACAAATACTAAGGCAATATCCAAGCATGTAAATGGAAGGAACAAGCAGATGAACAGGGCATCGTCGACTCACGCCATAGGTTCCTTCAAGGTGATGCATTGCCCGATCGAATTCTTGCAACCCATGGTACCTTAGATATTCTGCGTCCCCCTGCGCAAACATAACCAAACAGAAGGGTGACTATTGTTGTGAGAAAAAAGAAGCTAAACCGCATACAGTCTCAATGAGGTGAGTTTAATTTTGTCCAACAGAGGTGACTAAATGATGAGTGCTGTGCCACAATATTCATGGCTAACTTACCAGATCAAATCTACGTCGGCATTTATCAAAACTGTTGTTGTTCCCTGGAACAACTTTGCCATTAGGAAGATGCTGCTCGCCTCTTGGGAAATCAATCCACTCTGCATAAACACGAAGTAACAGGCACCATTATCATCTACGAATATGGTGATCGTTCTTGTCCAATGAACATTCATGAAGAAAAGAAGAGGTAAGAGTGTTTACCAGGATGTCCGAATTCATTTCCCATGAAATTCAAATATCCTTCACCGCCCAATGCCATGGTGATAAGTCTGATCATTTTGTGCAATGCTATGCCTCGATCAATGAGAGGAGTGGCTGGCCGGTCAAGAGCCATGAAGTCGTACATATCCTAAGAAAAATGAACACATTTGAGATGGATATTCTGACACAAGCCATACGAGGTAATAAGTTCTCAATGATACTACCAACAGAACAAATAAATGACACTCAAATGTCAGGAATATGAAGAGTACTGGCTCTATTTGTTCACAGCCTGATGTATGTAGCATCTAAAATGGTCACCATATAAAGTCAATAAAGAAGTAGGACCTTGTCCATCAACCAGAAGGCAATAGTCTTGTCGCCAACAAGAGCTTGATCATGACTTTCTGCGTATGAGACACATTTCTCCAACCACCTTCTGTTAGTCAAGGTGTGAATTATATCGCCCATTCTCCAGTCTTCATCTCTCTTCCTACAGAAAGCATGGACACGTTAAATATATAGTTCAAAGCATGGACACATCAAGCAGGCTAAAGAATAAAATAGATCCAGATTCCAGACCAAATAATTTATTTATTCTATTATTGGTATCAACATACTGTAGAAGCTCAATCCATTTATCAGCAACGGCCATATGGAGACGGTAATCGAATCCCACACCACCATCTTCGATAGGAACGCAAAATGTAGGCATTCCACTAACCTGTGAAACAAAATGTGAAAAGCACGCAATGAATCTAGAGATTAGGTTATGTTCTAATCCGTAGAGGAATTATAATGTCAATTTCCAGGAGGAGACAGCAAACATACATCTTCACCAATGGAGACGGCCTCGGGGAAAAGGCCATGAATCAAATCATTAACAAGCATCAGATAGACGACAGCATCTACATCAGTTGCAAATCCAAAGTACTCGTTGTAGTTTCCTGTAAAAGTCATCTATAAGAAGATTTTAATTAGCTGATAGATAAGCAGTTTTGGAGCACAGATAACAGAACATTTCAGTGAGATAGGCAGAAAACTTAATATCTTAACAAAGATGGTTATCTAGTAATTGCATGAATGAAAGAGCAGTTAATTCAGTCTATGCTATAAAATCACAGCTCAATACCTGCAATCCATGATGAGTGTACATCATTGAAGTAACACCATCAAATCTGAACCCATCAAATTTATACTCGTCCAACCACCATCTTGCATTTGATAGAAGGTATCTAACAACCTGAATTAACCAACACGGTCAATAAGTAGGAAGGAGGAAGCAGAGCATAGGTATTGACATGTTTGCAAGATTCTACCTCCCAGCTTCCGTAGTTGAAAAGGCGAGAGTCCCACATCCAATGATGTCCCCGCGATCCAGAGTGGAAGTAGTGGGAATCAGTCCCATCAAACATGTTCAGCCCATCCAACGTGTTATTTGATGCATGGCTGGATCCAAGAGAAGCATATGATATGAAATCCATTTTATAGTAATGAGTGTGTTCAAATCTATTTGGGGAACAACATAGGCATGGTTGCATTGTATTGAACACAGGAAACCAAATTTTGATTACTACCTAAAAACCAAAGCCTGATTAATGGCTAGAAACAGTTCAGTCAATATAAGCCCTAGTTTTATCTTACATTCTCACCTGTGAACAATATCCATGAGAACAAGTAGACCTAGCTCGTGAGCTTTATCAATCAGAGACTTCAAGTCATCTGGTGTCCCAAAACGACTGCTAGGCGCAAAAAAGTTCGTGACATGGTAGCTGCAGCACAGAAAGACATTTTGAGTTAACAGTTCAACATCCTCGAAATCCGCCACACAATTTAAACCCTTTGACAAAATGAAAAGAGAAAGGCGCTCTCAATGTTAAAACTATTGAGGTACCCGAAGCTGGCATAATATGAGTGCTCCTGAATAGCCATGATTTGAACAGCATTATAGCCGAGCTTCTTGATGCGGGGCAGCACTTCATCTCTGAAGTTAGCATATGTGTTGATCTTTGGTTCCTGTGTTCAATTGCACACATTAGAAGGGATGATATATACAGCAGAATGTAAAAGAGTAGAAGTATGGAACCTGTTTTTATTGTGTTTATAATACTGAAGAACAAGAGACTAGCAACAAGTTTAACCATCAACACTATGTCCAGAAACTATATGGCAGAGAGTGGAGAAAATTACCGTACTGCTCATTCCAACATGTGACTCGTAAATCCTCAGCGATTTTGGTTTTTTGGGTTGTGGATGCTTAAATACATGCTTCTCCTGTAACAAAGAAACACAAGATCACCATCAGATAAGTTTTAAATATCCATACTTAAAGACCAACGGGTGCACTCAGCACATTAAACTTGTATACAAGTAGGCAGCAACAAGAATTTAACTACCAATAATTTTGAAAAAGAAAAAGAGAAGAATTGTTTCGCTGGCTGAAACTTGGTATCAACAGAGTGGCTTCCAAACACTCTCGATAGTGGGTACTTGCTGAGGCACGATTAAGAATTTGTACACAAACTAACATATGCCTTGTTGCAACTAAAAGCAGAAACTTATCACTTTCAAGCTTAAGCTCAGTCTGAAATACTGCGCTAATCAGATACTATTGGTTGCACCTACTACAAGAGGTCATAATGTTTCTGTAGAACATAAATTCTATCAGAAAGTTTGTGTTTTCCATAAAAGATACAAATGAAAGGCAGAGCAAAACCTCTTCTGGTGGGTCATAGTAGATGCCATTGTATGGGATTTCTCCAGGAGCTTGTACAGCAAACTTAATCCAAGCAGGAATAGAATCCTTCAAGCCAGATGGAGTATCCATACGTATCTGCAAATTTTTGGACAAGCTAATTCCTTATTCTCCATCAAAACGGTTAACAAGTGGCTGTGTAACAATTGATTCATCAGGCCAAGCAGTTACTCTAGATTCAGAGAGCTTCAAGAGGTGTATTACCTTCACCCTTGAACCATGGGGAATTGGCGGTGAACCATCTGCATTGTTGGGCAAAAAGATCTCCCACACACCAAACTCATTCTGCCCAGAAAAAAAAAAAAAAAAAGAAAAAGAAAAGGGGGGCTTAAGCGGATTTTGAATCCAAGAGACAAAGTTGATCTTTGTACACAGACATGGTTTTGCATTCAGATGCACTTACTAAAAGAACCGGATTTTGAGTTGGAATTAACCAAGAAATGAGGAAGGTCACATACCCTAGCCATGACATCTGCATTGGGATTCCAGTTGTTGAAATCTCCTATTAATGCTGCGCTCTGAAAAGAGGAAAGGGCCATTTTGTTACTACAATTCGATCATCATTCATCAATAACAGCAGTCAACAACACCCACTATCACAAAGTTTCATCCTTTTATAAAGTCAAAGGGAAAGTCACTATCACTAGGTCCTACTTCGTGGCCACAAACAAATCTTCATTGCTACAATGTAATTCATTATATTGTACCCCAGAAAATGTAAGTGCTATGAACATATTTTCAATGACAGTCTAATAATGTATGGAAAAAATGCAGAATGAATGAAAGGGTACTTACTGTTGCTCCAGGTGCCCATTCTCTATATGTTATCCCTGTCTCACTGAGAAAAACAGTTGAGATTAGAATTAGAGCAAGAGAAAATGATCTGCTAATTAACTCATGGAATTGAACTTCCTTACTAGAGCAATTAGAAAAATAAAATGGCGGCTACAGCTGCAAATTTCCCGTTCCACTAGATCCTAGACTTGTAAATAAATGCTAAGATATGAAATTAGGAAATAGGCTTGGAGAGGTGAACAAATACTTCTCCTTGGAAGAAGTAAAACCAGTTTCATAGGCATCAGATATGATATATCAAATAAAAGCACAGTACCTGCGTATAAATCCAAACTTTTCATAGCCTCGTGAAAATTGCTCCAATCCACCTTCACACTTGTCAATTTCTGCACGTATTCTTTTGTACTGCGAATATCTGTAGATGAGCAGAACGGGGGGTTAAGAGGTTTATTGCATGAATGACCGTCAAACAATCTCCATATTCTACGAAAGCATAACGGTGTCATAACAATTCCCCTTAACTGGGGATGTTTTAGTAAAGTTTTTAGCCCCCAAGCATCCAGACAAATGAAGGAAATGTTGAATATCGCACCTGTAATCAAGATGCTGGCGGAAACCAGACAAAACTGGATCTATGTCATATATTCTCTGCCCAGCACCAGGTGGAGGAACTGTTCTCTTGTCAGTTTTATCTCTTGTGCCTGGCAACACAGCAATTTTCTCCTGTTCGTTCAAGACTTCCATACCCGTAACACCTACCTTTGTTGAGCTTTCTGGTACCTCATGAATGACCTACAAAAACAAGACCATGAAAAGAGCCATGAAAACCCATAATTGAGTAAAAATGTAAGAGTTTCCTTGGAAAAAAATGGGAATGCACAACAGTTCTCAAACCTTGGAATCCTCCGAAACAATGTCTGAAGTCTCTAATTGATCTATAGAGGAAGGGGGTTTGGCTCCCGGAACAAGAACATTCGTCGTGGAAGAGGATCCACCACCGGGAACAAGAACCTTTCCGGATTTGGTTGTCGTCAACTTCGAAGCCTCAGAGTCATATGAAGAACTTCCAGCAACAATCTTCCCTACAAACAAGCACCAGATTAGCCTTCTAACACCAAGAACCAACCCCGCCAACAACAAACAAAGATCACTACTCACTCACAAACCAAAATGCCAAGACAGGCGCGATATCTCCTCCATTTCTAAACTTAGTCCTCTACCATTCTAACTCAACTCATTTCCAGTAAACCCCTACGAGATCATTCATTCAATCAATCAAATACTACTGTTACATCGGAGTCACTCAAAATGCAAATCGATTAATGCATTTATGAAAGAAAAAAAATACCTAAATCGTTTCATATACTAAGAATCGAGATCACATAATATCGATTAGCGAAGAAGCTCACAGCACTTCGACTCACTAAAACCTTCAAAATCCATCCAAACAACAATCAAAATAGAAGCCGCCAGAAACGCAATTTCATCATAATCAGCAAGTAAACACAGCGAAAAACAAAATCAATCCCGCGCTCACAATTCATTCATCAAAACCTGAAATGATCAAACAAGGCAAAGGGAGCGAAGCAAAAGAAAAACAGAGGAGTAGAGAGTACTCGAGCGCGAGTGGTTCCTCAAGGGGAAAGACAGCGCGGTGGCGGCGTTCCCGGCGACGGAGGACGAATTCCTGTGAGAGCTGTGATGGACGGACGGGACGCAAGGGAGGCGGATTCCTGAAATGGTGTAGTACACCATTTTCGTTCGGGGTTTTCCGCTGTTTGATTCTCTAGCTTTCTCTCTGCAGCAGAGGAGAGAAAAGAGAGATCGCAGAAGTAACAGCGGGGGACAGAGAGGAGCAGGTGGAGGGGGATATGAGAGGGTTTGGGAGGCAGATCTAGTGAGCGGGTTTCAGTGGAGAAGCCATGGGCGCAGGCGAGAGAAGCGGGAAGTGAGAGAAAGAAGAGGAGAGGGAGGTTAGAGATATTTCTGCGCGGAATTTTTTCTATTTTCTTCTAGGGAAGAAAATTTGAATGTCTTTACTATTATTATTATTATTATTATTTTCTTCTAGACTAAGATATTTTTAACTATTTAAATAAAACCATAAATAAATAAAACCATAAATAAATAAAAACATGTATAAGAAAATTAGCTAGAGCCTAGAAGCAATAATAAAATTAGAAAATAATCATTATCCGAAATAGTATGTAAAAATGGTAAAAGGCTGTTAGGGAAATTTCAGTTGGCCGTAATAATTCAATTTGGCTTTGCTTTGCCAGTAAACGGAAAACGATAAAAAAGGGAACGAACGAGCGAAGGAGAGCGGTACGTGTGCCGTGGGGAAATGCATGGGGATAGGGGGTAATGTGGGCCAGGCCAGGCCCGTTTGTAGCCCATTCACTCCTCACCGTCAATTCTTTTGCTTTATTTTAATCATCTGTATAAAAATAATAATATCCGAAACGTGGTCGTTTTGTATGGCGGGTGGCTTTCTGGTAGTCCGGTACTGGTCCCTTCGAGCTTTCGCGCTTTTTTTCTTTTCGCGGGAAAAAAATAGAGAGCCTTTTTCGAGATTTTCTTTTCTGTTAGACCTTTTTTTTATATATGAACTGTAGAGCCCTCTGAGATCTTTAGTAACGTGAAAGTTGAATTCCGGTTTCCTTTTTGTCTTTTGCAATTTCCCATCAAGCCGGACAGGAATATGCCAGAGTACAATGTCAACTGATTCCAAATCCCAAATCCACAGCCTGTGTAATGAAGTTCTTAAGTCAAATATAACTCTCTTCAACCAGATGTTGTTAGTATAATTTGTCAACTTCATTGCAGCCACGGGATTATTTGGTAGGCCGCCACCTTCGTCGATGATCAATCGAAGGCCTTCGATGGGAAGCTTGCCATGAACGTCCTCCTGCAAGCAGGACTAGGATACACATCTAACCAAGGAGTGTTACTAAATGGGTCGTCACACAGTCACCTGAATATTGGGACCCCGTGGACGATAATTACGCTATCTGGAAATCAAACTTGGGACCTTGGATCGTTCACATTAATGGTGTTACAGTTAGCCTATCCCATGTTTAGGTCAATTTGTTCTTTGTTCTAGCCACGAAGGCAACCTTGTTTCTAATTTAGACTGCAGTTAGAAACCAGTACCAAAATTTACTATAACGTATATATAATAATGTCATGAATTCGTATGCTTATTTGTGGACATTCGTGAAACTCGATATATCTTCCATAAAAGTATAACTACGCATTTTGTCTACTATTCAGCCGCACATGAGAACAAAAATACTTGTGACATGACAATGAATAACTCATGCTCGCAACAGATCGTACTAATTATCATCCCTAAACTCTCGTACTAATTATCATCCCTAAATATGATTGCTGTTTAAAGTACGAAGATACAAAGTTCATTTCCAAATCCATTTCAACTATAGAAACTGAAACGGTTCCATCAAAACCACCAACATGGTGGCCATCAGAACTCTAGGCCAGACCACCATGTTCAATCGAGTTAACCTTAGAAACAATTTACCATATACCCAAAACTAATCCTTTTTTCATATATTTCACAAGTAAAAAAAAAAAGAGATAAATTACACAGTTGGTTAATTATCTGCATCATCAAGATTGGTTCTTCTCCTCTTCTCCTACCTCCTCTGTATTTCCTTTGAGGTAATATTTTTTTTCTTTTACCTTTAAAAGCCTTTTGGTCCCTCTTTCTATCGTCTCTGGAAGTTAAGGTACTTGATACCGAAAGCAAACACAAAGAAGAACAAACAAACGAACCCCAAATGTGCCACGGCGACGGCCGGAAGGAAGCTGTGCTTGTATCCCAACCCTTCTTCCAGTACTTGCTTCACCGTTAGACTCTCCGACCCAGGAATCTCCACCAGGTTGTCCTTGTCGCCGACCTGGCTCGTCACCATGCCGTACAGCGTCCAAGCCACCGGCGACGCCCAGTAGTACCACCTCCACCATATCGGGATTTGCTGGAAAGAGGAAATGAAATCGGACTTGTCAAATTTCGGAACCGTAAACTCGTCGGCGCCCGGGGAGAAGACTCAGAAGAGTGAGTTTTTTCGAAAAGCTTACCGTCCGGGGGATAAGGAAGCCGGCGAACAAGTTCCAGAATGACAAGAAGAAGGACATGCAGATGGCGGCGATCTGGTGCCCCGGCGTGAGGGCGACGATCATCATCCCGTATAGCGTGAAGTAGACGAACGCCATGTAGATGTAGTAGAAGAAGAGCAGGAACTTGCCGACTTTCCACTCGAACCCGATCATGGAGTAGAGGACGATGTGGTAGATGGCTGTTTGGACGAAGACGTAGATCGCTTCTATAGACACCTGTCAGAAACAAATTCAATCAGTTTTTTACGGATTGTAAAAAAAGTACTGGAGGTTGTATACCAAAAAGTAAGCGGTAGCGGATTTTATGTTGAAATCGTGGTTAGTTAGCTTAGTTACCTGGGCGAATGCGTAAGGCAATGCAGAGTACATTCCGGCTGCTCGTTCGCGGTAGAAGACCGTTCTCTCGACCGAGACGACGGGCTGGACGGAGGAAGCATTCGTCGCTCCGAGGAAGAACACCGCGGCGTACATGGCTCCCAAGATGTTCATCAGGTCTTGCTGTTTCTCCCTGTTGGTAGGAAATCAAGTGTATGGCTGAATTGATCATTGCAGTTAAAAAGCTGACACTGCATCTGTATGTGAGAAATGTAGGAGATAGCAGGACTTACATCTTCTGGCCTTTCTTCCAGAAGATGAGGCCAAAGAGGAGGCCTATGAGAAACGTCAGGGCGAATCGAACGGCGTTGTACTGAGGGTTCCTCCAGTAAGACCAGTTCTGTTTCCAGAAACAAGCCTTGTACTGGGTATTGAAGGACTGTGAGTACTGCGTCGGGAAGTAGAGATCCTTGGACCCTGGTGCTGGTGTGTTGAGCTCCTTGATTAGTTCTTGATTCCGCCTGCAAATTTGGTTTTGAAAGATGAACATGTCTGACATAATTCGTCGCAAGTTATCATGGATGAGTTTGTTGGATGATGTGCTTACTGATATAGGGAGGAATTTGCATAAATCTGGGCGAAGTCCACATCTAGCTGCAGTTCCATTGATGGTGAACTCACTTCGAGCATCCATGTGGCAGGGTTATATCCATCTTTGATACGAGGAACTCCCGGGACAGCCTTTTCGTACAACATATAAGATTCATCAGAAATTGAGTAGATTGTTGACATTCAAGCAGGGATGGACAACAATTCATTACTTTATGACTCAGGGTAGATGAGCTAATGAGAAGTAAAGAGTGTGTTTACCTCGAAATACTCGACAAGCTTATGAGAATGGCGTCCCAGAGATCCAGCGTAGATGACTTGACCACCTCTTTTCATCAGCATTAGCTGCAAGAAGCAATGACCATTATGAGGATGAGTGCAAGAAGAACAAGGAACATGTAATATACAGAAAATTCAGAAGAGGCTAACCTCATCGAATGCTTCAAAAATGTCGATACTCGGTTGGTGAATCGTGCAGACGACGGTTCTCCCAGTGTCGACTGTGTTTCTCACGGTACGCATAACAATGGCAGCAGCTCTAGCATCGAGGCCAGAGGTGGGCTCGTCCATGAATATGATGGAGGGATTAGCAACCAATTCCACAGCTATTGTCAACCTCTTCCTCTGTTCCGTGGATAGACCATCTACCCCCGGAAGTCCAACTAAGGCATCTCTTATTGGATTCAACTCGACCAAATCCATCACTTCTTCAACAAACATCTGCAGGACAAAGAGTAGAAATTTGATCAACTCGAAATTCCCAACAGCAACTTCTCCTGATCAATGACTCGTGCCAAGCGAGTGCACAGAGAGACTACATACCTGTCTAGTTTTAGAGTCAATATCTTGAGGAAGTCGAAGCCAAGCCGAGTACACGAGAGACTCGTACACAGTGACATAAGGAGAATGGATGTCATTCTGTTCACAGTAGCCACTGACACGAGCAAATGTCGCTTGGTTTTTGGGGTAGCCTGAAATGTTGATACTTCCTTCTACATACCCACCGGTCTTCCTTCCAGCCAAGACATCCATTAACGTGGTCTTACCTGCTCCACTTACACCTACCAATGCTGTTAGTATTCCTGGACGAAAAGCTCCGCTGACATCTCGTAACAGTTGGAGCCGAGTTTCTGGAACTCCCTGTGTCTTCATTTCCTGATTGTGGTAAGAAGAGACCAATGTGTTACTTGTCTGAAATTAAGTATATTGCTTGACATGACTTGCAAATTCAGGAAACTACAAGGATGACTTACAGCAGGCATATCTACGTAGTAGTTCACATGGTTGAATGCTAGCGAAAGGGGTCGGAAGGGCAAAACCATTCCTCTTTTAGTCGAGTTAGAACCACCATTTGCTGATAAACTTCTCATGGCCATGTCAATACCTGTCAACATTTAAGCGTACGTAAGGCATTTGAACTAGCTCATGTATGTCTCCTTTATGTTATCTTTTACTTGTTTGCACTGGAAGAAAGCTGGAGGAAGCAGATCAGGAGAAAATGAAGGGCAAAGGAGTGGGATGTTCATTAAACCTTTTGTCCTCTCTTCCTTCTCTGCATCTTCATCTTGAATAACAGCTTTCGAGTCAGCAAATGCTGAAAATCGTCGGTGAGGAGAAATCAGCTTTGAATCCCATGCAAGAAAACACAGAACAGCTCAAGGGATGATGAAATAACTTACGGTTCAAGTAACTCAGTGCTGCAATGAAACAAACATTGAACAGCACAGAAAACCCGAAGAGTGCTGCAATGCAAATCCAGTACCAACTTTCATCGGTAAAGAAGCCTCTAGATTTGAGAATTGCTTTCCCAACCGTAGTTTCGTTAATCCTAGGGTCCAAATTAGGCTGCATCACCAGAAGAAGAAGAAAAAAGTGATTAGATGTGTACCTTACTCGCAAGCAAAACCCAACATGAGACTAACGAAGTGGAAGAAAACTTACCATACTCCATCTATCATCAAGAAATTCACTTATGACGACCGCATTTTGACCGTACATCATAGGAGAAATGTAGTATCCCCAGATCATCCAAGATTGAATGTCATCTGCACTCACATGACAAATAATACTGTAAGCATTGTAAAACTGAAGGAATACATAAGAGCAAGAAGTTTATTGGCCACTTACCTTTGGCAATAATGAATCCTCCCAGAACAAAAATGATAAGCAATGAGAAGGTTCCAAACGTGTTTGACACAACTGGTGTTCTTCCAACAGCAGCAATGAAGCGGAAAAGGGAGAGAGCCATCTGATGTATACCGAAGAACGCCAGAAACTGTTTGAAAAGCCTGAATCATCACAGTAAAGTTTCAATCAAGTGGAAGACTGAACCAAAGGTGAAAGAATAAAATACTGAAACAGCTCTAAATCCTAAGTTACCTGCTAGCAGATGGAGCAAAACCAATAGTGTAGTAAGTTAGAGCAATCCATATAGCAGACTCCAAGAAAGAGATAGGAATTCTGAGGATCCATATGGGAAGTCCAAAAGCCCATGCAGGATAAAATAAGAAGTCCCTCTGTTTGAAAAACACAGGAAGCCTGAAAACAGTCATGGCAAGCTCAGCCATTCCATTAAACATCATGTTAATGAGACTGAAGAACAGCGCCCCGAGGAACTTGTTCCCATCCGATACAGTCCCAACTTTCATCGTTGTCCTCAGAAATACCGTGAAGGCAATTATCGACATGATTGTTATCTGGGTGGTCTTGAATATATACACGAAGTTGTTCCGCTTCATCAGAAGCAATTCTCTCGAGAAGCATGCCCTGAAGAGCTCCCAATTCGAGATCCCGTACTTGCTTTTCACGAGCGCAGCATCATGTACCTTGGACCTATCGTATGGAACACTAAGATCTGATGCAATCTGCTGGCCGACATGGAAAGAGTGGAAGCCTTCAACGAACTCAGTGACTGAGACATATCGATAAGGCTCGTTCCTCTTGTACCAGTACTGCTCTTGATCCTTCTTGGAAGTCACCTCTTGTAGAAAGTCTGCAACTCCTTTCCTATCTGGGCATTTGAACCCCATATACTCAAAGAACTCGAGCACATTCTCTCGTGGACCTTGGTACACTATCCTTCCTTCCGAGAGCAAGATGACTTCATCGAAGAGTTCAAATGTCTCAGGTGCTGGTTGTAGAAGAGAAATGATCATGGTTACTTCCATAATGTGGACCATCTGTCTCATGAACTTGCAAATCTGGAAAGTGGTTGAACTGTCCAACCCGGTTGATATTTCATCCATCAGAAGGACCTTTGCTGGTCCACACAACATTTCTCCTGCATTCATGAGCAGCCCTTGTTAGAATAGCTCTCTCATTTCACATGCTTTCCCCCCAATTCAAGAAACTCGTACCAGTTGTAACACGCTTCTTCTGCCCTCCAGAGATCCCTCTCTGCATCTCATTCCCAACAATGATATCGGCGCAAATGTCCAATCCGAGAATCTGATAACAAGTGCCACACACCAAAAAATCAGCAAACTAAATAGAGTACGAAATCAAATAAGTCTATGACTAGAATTGTAGAAAAGACTAAGACCTTGAGAATGTAATCAGTGACCAAGCTAGTCTTCTGGCCAGAAACTGCAGTGGCCTTCATGAACGCATCAATCTCAGGATCAGGCTTAATCCCGGCTTGTTTCTCCCGCCTGGAGAGCTCCACCAGCATCTCATATCTCGTCCCCACCCCCAAGCATCGCCCCGAGAAGTCGAATGTCTCCCTCACCGTCATCTCGCCATGGTGGAGATCGTGCTGACTGATGTAAGCGCACGTCCTCTGTGGGACAAACTCGTTGAACTCATGGCCGCAGTAGGTTATCTTTCCCGAAGACTGCTCCACATAAAAAAATTCATTACCCTCTATCCATAAAATGATCAAACAGATGTACAGAAATAAGATAGTTTACCTTGAGATCATGATCGAGCTTGCCAGCAAGAGCAAGCAGCATTGTAGTCTTCCCTGCCCCTGGAGGACCCAGAAGAAGCGTCATCCTGAAGAAACATAGTCAGAAAAAGGGGAAATTAAGAATCAATCGATTGAGAAATGAGAACTCCTCAATGGCAGCCGCTCAACGCCATTAGATAAACAAAGACCTTGATGGTTTCACGATTCCACTGATATCTTGAAGAATCTGTATCTTCCTCTTCTTCGATGGAGCCAACCGAATCCATCCAAGAACGTTCTGTTCAAAAAAACGGAAATTATGAGCTAGTCAAACTGAAGAAGAAATGAAGTTCATTCCAAGTCAAGCAGTTTTCCCAAAGTAGCTGGTTTTTCTAAATTCGGAATTTGCGAAAAAGACGAACGAATTGGGGGAAATAAAATGAAATAAAGAAACCTCGACGGTGTTAATGGCGGTGTTGAACAGAGTGGGAAGAGCTCTGCTGCCGACGTGAACCTCGCCGTCGACCGATAAATGCTCGTACCTCACTTCAATCTTCGGAACTTCAATCCCTACTCTGTATCAACAAGCCAAACAGAAAATAAACCGGAAAATCAAAATCGAAAACAGGATCAGAAACCTAGAAGAGAGAAAAATCAAAAAATCAAATTCGAATTCTAGCGGTTCGAATTCCAGACCGATCGGTTCGATCTCTGAGGCGCCGGAGGAAGTTCTCGTTGTCGTTCTCAACGACCTTCAGTATATTCTCCATCAGCTGCTTCCTGTCCTGCATCCCGAGCTTCGTGACGTCGACCTCGCTCCGGACGACGGCGCCGTCGTCGAGCACCGTCTTCAGCACGCCCTTCCTCATCCTGTCGAACGTCGGCAGCCGCTCGATAGCCGCCCACTGGAGCTCCTCCTCGTCGTCCTCCTGCTCCCTCCCGCCTGCGCGGGTGAACGCGTCCGTCGCCGGCGCCGAGGTGAACACGTCGCGGAAGCTCGCCGTCGCCATCCAGCTCCGGTGGCTCGTAGAGCCGAAGCTCCGCCTGCTGCTCGTCGATCCCACGAGATCGTCCCCCGTCAGTGCCGCCGCCATTTCCGCTAGGCTCGGTAATCGAAGGGGGAGGAGGAAATGGGGGGAAAGCGGTTACTGAACAGTCGCGGTCAAATGAATTCGCAATAAATGTGAGTTGCAGTGGTGGAGCACGATTGGGAACCCAGGCCACCGGAGCTAAGTTGTCGGCATTGTCTGCATGCCGATCTCCGGCCGACGGAGGGGGAGAAAAGTCAAAGCGGTTGATGGAGAGGGAGAAAAGAGAGGGCGGTGGCGGAGGTTTGAATCATGGCAGCAGCAGCAGCAGCAGACTGGTAATGTTGTTTTATGGGAGTGGATTTTATAGCAAATTAGCGCGGCCATGTGATAATCTGCCTGTCGTACGGCTATTTTTCTGCGGGGAAAAAATGCCCGTTTTGTCTAATCCGAAGTTAATTAATTAATGGATTAACTTCTTCTAGGTGGTTAATCATTTGATTGTGGTTATGAGTTATGACTGAGATTTGTTTTTTTTTTTTTTTTTACAGAGAGTTATGGCTGAGATTTGGAATCTTCATTGTAATGGCAAGTGATAATAGCTAGTGCTTCTAGAAAGATTGGAAGGATTAATTACTTGGCAAATGCTGTGAATTTTTTGGGTAAACATTTCCATACTTTAATAAACATTACATTTATTATATGCTGTGAACCAAGAAAACCGTTAGAAACCAAAAAATTCATTTGTCCAAAACTAGAAACCAAAATTGAAATCAATAAGGATTTATGGATTTTCTCATGTTAATGAAAATGATAAGTTTTTTGAACCGGTTTAATTTTGGTTAAAAACCTAAAAACCAAATACGAACCGCCACCCAAAATATAAAGTAGAAATTTCAACTTATCTCTAATTATTGAAGGACAGAGCGATTAAGAGGCAACGATTTGATCTGTATCATACTGAATCGATATGTGTAATATATTTCAGTTCAATTTTGCGCTCTCGTAATTATTCTAAATATGAAGAAAAAATTAACCGAAATAGACTTAAGAAAGAATCGAATCAAACCAAATATAAATTTGATCTTACTCAAATTCGTGTAAAATTTTAGACTTAATCAGTTGTTACCGCCTCTTACTAGCAATACCTTGATGGTAGAAGGCCATGAGTTTCGTGTTTGAATTCTAACTGTTAGTGTGTGGTATATGATCCGCGATAGAACCTCTCCCAACAACTCGAGTTATTGGGATCAACTGGTTCTTGACATGGTATCAGAGTCTTCTGTGACCGAGAGGTCTTGTGTTCGAATCCTGATAACCCCCATTTGTTAAGCACATGGTATTGGGACCTGTGCAAACTTCAAGCCCTTATGAGTGGCTTAAGTTTGAGGGGCGCGTGTTAGTGTGTGGCATATGATCCGCGATAGAATCTCTCCCAACAACTCGAATTATTGGGATCAACTTGTTCTTGACACTAATGACTCCTAAACTAGTAAAGTCGACTAAAACATATAAAAGGACTAGTGGACTACCAACGGAAACAACACATATTTTGCAAAATAGGCAGCCTTAAATGGCTTCTTTCTTCTTCCCTCACGACCGCCCATTCAGTTTCCGGACCATCGGATTTCCGCCCAAGCGTCGCCGCCGACGTACTTTTCACTGCATCCTTTCTTTAAAGCTTTCCCATAGTTGCATGGCGCTCTTCTTCTTGTTATAGAATTATGGCACCGCCAGTTTCGAGCATTATTAAAGACCGAATAAATGAATAAAATCAGAGGAACGATCCATTTTAGGGGGAAAAAACAAAACAAGAAAGAACACAGACACTGTAGACTGTAGTTACTAGTTTTATGAATCGTTTATCCGTTCGTTAAAAAAAATTACGATTAAAAATGGTTTATCCATCCGCCAGCTACTTCTTCGACGTACAGCGTACTTACTATCTGCAATGAATACTTCGGCGACGACTACGGTGGCATTTATCATTTATGCCTCCGTCGCGCATGGGCTTTTCGTTTATGTTCATTCCTCTCATGAGTACTTAAACATGTGACCTCAATTACGATATTATCATATAGGATCAGACTGGTGTACTCCTAGAGTATCCTATACTCCATGTACTTTTAGCGAGATATCACTACCTAGACTATGAATTAAACCGAGTTTGGGGCATAATACTATACCCTAACCTCTAATGGATAAACCCCAGACCCCGATTCGCTAAATTCAAACCCGAAGTTCAATTTAATAGAAAATACTAAATGACCGTTGAGATTGGTCGGAGCTCAAAAAAAGAAATCTAACGATCATATCACATGGAGTATGGTATACTACTGGAGTATACCAGTCATTACCATGTAGGGGTTATATATTAACCATTAGTACTTTCAAGACCGTTTAAACTGTTTTACAATAGCTCAAATTCCTTCCAATTCGTACGTCCAAGACTGTTTCAACGTCTCTTATATTTTCGCTGATGGATGAAACTATATCCACTCTTCTTCTTTTCTACATAATACTTATATTGTGTTTTTTTTTTAATAAAAAATCTGAATGCTCGACTCGTATAATCGATTTGTATGATCAAAGGATGTTTTAGCTATATTTATACATGATTAACTCTTTGGAAGTTGGCCATTGAAACTTGGAGCCATTTTCCCCACCATATACGATTACAATTAACTAACATTGCTCGTTATGTGGGTTTCACATTCCAGGTCGATTTCACATGTTTTGTTCGTTTGAATACAATTAAACTAGCTAACAAAAATGAGCTCTTCTTGGCACTAACCTTGCCTAGCTATAACAATTTTGCATGATATGCATCCATCGATCGTCTATCTATAACTGAGCTTGCTTTCGAGATTTGCCCACTTTGTGAGTTGTGATTAGCTAGCTAGGCCATGACAGTTTAGTTGCTTTCGGCTCTATACTCTTCCAAAAGAGCATTGCATGTTGTCACAAGGCATTCACACAACTAGTTAGCATGATCCTTCCACATAAATGCAACCGGTCGCTTTTCTTATCAGCCGCTTATACTCAGTTTGTTTCAATCGATTTGAGCTATTGTGGTATCAGCAGCTTATACTACATATTGCAAATACTTTTTTTAGATAAAGGCGAATACTATTGGCCAAGTTTTTTTGGAAAATAATTTATTAACTGGCATATTATGATGGATCAAGGTCGGTCCCTGGTGGACCTCGACCTATATAGGGAGTGTTCACTTTCGGGCGCCTCTAAAATTTGGTAGTAAAATTATCGATCCTTCGGTAATAGCTAGTATGAGTTTGAGGGAAAATGAAAAAAATAATAATGTAGTGATCTATGTAATTCAAATATGAGATACTACAATTACAAAGGAACTTGTTATCATTACATTACAAATGATTTGTTCTTATGTTAACACATAAATGTAATTATAAGCTTAAACTGAAGTCTAGTTAAATCCCAATTTCTCAAAAAATTTAATCCAAATACTAAAACTAAAATTCAACTCTTCACAATTCTGATATTGACGAAACAAAGTATGAACCAACCCCCATAGTCCAATGGTTAACCTCCACTCTAATATTGTTGTAGATTGTAGACGTCTTCTATTTTTTTCCTATATTTTTTAATTTTCATAATATGAAAACACGCCTTGATATTTTATTATAATTTGCATAAGTCGGATATTTATATTTATTAAATTATTTATTTTATGTAATTTTTGTCACATGACACCTCTACATAAAATTTCTGGTTCTAGTAATCAAAATCTCTTATATGCGACCAAGGGTTTATGCCCCGAATCTCTCGTATGATCGGGTCGTATCATCGACACAAAACCCTAGTAAATTGATCGCGCCATGTGCTCAATTATCGAATGGTGTATGTCATGTGATAGTTTTCCTTATATAGATGGCCAATGCGTTACATCAAGCAGTTGCCCTGATTGAGAGAAGACGTGGGAAAGAAGTAAATAAAATCACATTTTAAGTCTCTATGATTGATTATGACAATTTGATTACTGCTATTGTTTTGACCTTTGAGGATAATAATTAATAATACAGCGGTAGCGGCTAGGCTTTCCATTGTGGCGTACGACTTTCTTTGTATTTATATAAACTGCATGCCTAACGAACAAGCAAACAACATGCAGTACTGTTGCCGAATTTATTTCCGGCCGACCATATTCATGGCTTCAATTTATATATATTCTCCTTTCTTCCTTCGTTTATTTCCAGTTCACGTTCTCTTTTTGGACAGATTTTTACAGGTCATGTTGACGCTAATAGAAAACTCATAAAATATCTGATCTGAGCAAATATATTTTCCACAGACCACAGTTATATTTCATAAATAGATATTTTGTGACAAAAAGAACTGGTAGAATGATAACTCGTCGGTAAAACACGTCATAACAGTCATTTCCTCGAGTGGTATTACTTACACCAGTGGAGCATGATTTAATAACTAGTTATAACAAGTCTACAAGTGACATATTCATCCTAGTTTGGAGAGCCATTCAATCGGCGAGCGAGTTGACACGTCGATGTATAAACTCGACCCTATTTTATGTTGCTAATTGGAGAATGGAAATCATTATTTGTGCAATAGTAGCAGGGATGAAAACGAGTTCGGGTGGGGTTGGCATTCATATATATCATCTCCAAATCATGGTTTTAAAATCGTAACCAACCTCATAAGTAATTAGTATACCGTTCGGAGAAAATTAACACGCACCATCCCCGAACAATCATACATAAATTTTTTTATATACTAAAATATTTCTTCGAATCAGGGGCGCAGCTAGGATTCAAGTTTCGGGGGGGCCGAAATTTTTTTGTTCATATTATCGAAATAGCTAAACAAACTAAAAAAACAATTTATCAAAGTTAAGAAAACTAATTATTTTGATCATTATAATTTTCCTAGCTACATGCTTGAGACAATTATATTTACTTAAAATATTATTTAAGATAAAAAAATATATAATGTCATTCTGACTATGAACGAGTTAATTATCCACAAAATTAATAATGTATTCCACTGATAACATGTTTTGTTATCTTTATAGCTGAAAATCAATGTGCACTATCCGCTACAAGAAATTTTTTTACTCATAATATATTAAAAAGAGTCCTTAAACTTGCAAATACAAAGTTTTCACTGTTTTTAGAGCTGAAAATGAATCCTTACCTTAAGCTAACAGCAAAAGTAAACTAAAATATGAAAACCAGATGATTATATGCGATTATCATGCCAAGTACAACTAAAAGCGAAAAATGAACAAAATATTCTTTATGGAGCATCGAACCTAGACCACCTCTAAACACCTTCTAATGCAAGTATGGTAATCCGTTAGACTACAACAACAATTGTGACATAATTTTCAACCTATGTCATATATTATATAATTTATTTATACGTAATTTTCCCAAATCGTGAACAACTTATACGTCAATTCCAAAATTCTCGGGGGGGCCGAGGCCCCCCCGAGCCATAGTGTAGCTCCGCCCCTGTTCGAATGTCAATTTAAAATGAAGCTTTTTGTCACATTAGTTGTAAAAGGAGAGAAAATGAACAAGACTTGAGATCTAAGAGAGAATTATAGAGTTTTAGAGATATAAATGAACCCAGTGTTAAAGTGAATGAATTGACAACATAGTTATAACACCTAATCGAATAGAATCGATGCGGATACTTCAAATATCAAAAACCGCATCAAAGTCATTCATTACCCACTTTGTCGAGTTCGAGAAAAACCCACCAAAAAACAATATCGATTAGATTTTTCTTCAAATAATCGATTTAAATTCACTTGAGTATGATAGATTATTTTTTGCCATCTAAGTAGTAGATTAGAAGGCAGGGATGTGATGTTATCAATTGTGAGGGCGGTTGTGGCATTAATTATGTGTCGCATTTTTAGTGGAAAAATTTGGGGATGTGAATTGAAAAGACCCAAAGTTACTATTAAATATGGATGGATGGTCATGAGAGCCTCATGAGTCGTCGTGTTGCATACGTGCGAGCTTCAACCACGCAAGTTCAAAAGAGCAAAAAAATGAAAGCATTAATTAATGAGATCGATATTGGCCACTTGATGATCTCATATAGTATATTGATAACATGGATTTGTACCAAAAATCAACGCTTGATTACCCCAAATGTCTACTTATTAGTTCTTCCTCCCGATTCTCACATGATCATGAGCATTGGAATAATAAAGTGGTGGGGGGTGGGGGAGGAGACACTTGTCTGTTTGAGAAGAGTTGGATTGATCTCGATCGATTTTTGGTCATGATCGAGAGTGTAGATTTTTCACTATGATATTTGCAATATGTAGAACAAGCAATGTTCAGGATTTGAAGTCAAAATTCGTCATGCGAAGTCCAGGTTAGACGTGAGAAATTTGATTAAGTAAAATAAGACAAAATTTATAAATATATGATCGAAATCGTGTATTATTACTACCCTTACTAGGAGGGTCAGACAAGTATTTACACTAAAAACGAGAGCTACAATGTGCTTGATGGTCACAAGATGATGACGTCTTCATCAATCATCGGTAAAATGATCTTGCTCGGTTGTACGTATTTGTTGGAGAAAAAACAACGCGTTGATCTAGTTCTAATGTACATTCAAACGATTCTAGTAACTTCCCAACACTCATGGAACCCTAAGTGGTACCAAAACCTCTTTAGGTTGATTCTCATCAACTACTCATTCTACCATTTGAACAACATAAACAATAGATGTATGAAAAAAAAAAAAGTATAGCCACAGAGATTTCCAACATCGCAAACCAACCAAACCCCTTTGTCCATTTTCGTAGGTCCATTAGTTTAATGAGTTCACGACCTTACAATAACATTCATTTCCTTTACCTTACAATTTAATAATTATACAACAAGAACGATAACGACAGTAGCTACGTACAGCTAGCTATGAATTTGAGAAAACCAGACTGTTTTTTTTTTGGGCAGCATTAGAATATACAAGAACTTGGGCCTGGCAAGATTTCTAGGTGCAGACAAAGAGAGATACGATCACAAGGTACATTTATACAAATAAGAGAAAGGTTCATAATTGATCAGTGTATTTGGAATCTTATAAGAGAGAAGAGGAAGAGAGATCACATTCACATGGCGATTTTCCACTTTGCACGTTGCCCACTAAGATTTCATTCGCTACATTACTGGGATTTTGTCCATTAATCTCTCTCTAACTATAGATTGGTTTCTCTCTCTACTGTGATTCATGAAGGTGAATGGAAGAAGAGCTAAGCTCTTCGTTATCGTCTTGGGTTGGGGGAGAAAGCATGTATTCATTGCTTAGTCATAGTCAACCCACTTACTAACATACCTTCACAAACGAAAGTCGTCGTATATGGGGGTTGAGCATTGAAGTGTGCACATATCTGGATACCATATGCTTAGGACGGCGGAGTGGCGGACTCAAGTAGGATGACCAAGGTGTGTTGGCCGACACACCTGCAGCAGTAAATTTTTGTGAGAGAGTCCAGTTTTGTCGGTACAAAAGATTCACGCCACGTCGTGAGGTAGGGAAGAGGAGAACAAAAAAAAATACGGTTCTGCGAGTTTCGGTAACTCGCGGTATCCTAGAATACCAATGATATTTGACCGGGAATAGAACGATATACCGTTTGCCTAAACTTAACTACCGCATACCGCGGTACTGCCAATTATCGTTACACCGATAACCGCCGATTACCGGTTCGGTAAATGGTTAGTCCAATAACGGCCTGTACCTTTTACCAGCCCTAGGTAAAACAATATAACTATTTTAGTTAATTTTTCCACCAAAGGAATAAACACAGATTGATCTGATCTTTTTTTGTTGGTAATGCATGCTAGCTAGGATTCCTACTACACGTCCAATTAACTATACACAATTATTATTACCCTTAACCACTGTCTGCTATCTTTCAATAGTTAAATTATACATGTTCCTGAGAGTAATCAAGTTTCCATATTGACTGTAAATCTATACCGTGATCACTGATCAATAAGACAAATTTTCTCGTTGTTTAATTGTTCCCGTTAAATGTGACAAAATGTCGTGCATCCACTATTGTTAGTACTCTAATTAATTAATTAATTACCCAGAAGTAAAAATAGAACAGGACAAGAAGTGCAGGTTTGGTTAGTGTTTCTTTAGAGCATCCTACTGGTCCCATAAAGGAACGAGGACTTGATCCGTCGGTACTATTACTGTTTTTCAATACGAAAAATGTTAGTTTCAGATGTAAGAGTGATTTTTTCCCCCTTTTATTGTAGATCATCTTTTGTTATAGGAGAATTCAAGTACCACATCGGTAATACAAGAGAAGTGACAGTTGTATATTAGTGTCCACCAAATTCATTAGTACTACGAGACTTTTTGGAGAGGACACCCAAAAAGTAAATTCGTGTGGGATAGCGTCAAAGCGGACAATATCATACTTAATGAAGCTATCCGGTTTAAAAATTCATTTTGAAAAAGGATATTGAATGTGGCATGAAGGGGAATGGAAAGTCCACCCTATGATTTGAACCGGGACTTCATCGTTCAAAACTAGTGTTCTGTAAGATCAATCCTTTTTATTTTTATGTCTCTGCGGATCCCTTTTAGTAGCGTAATTTCGAGATTCTGATTTCAAGATTCATCACATTTGATAGAGTGGTTGTGACGTCCAATTCTTAATTTCGAGATTCTGATTTCAATGTCAATTCCATCGTACGATAAGAATGGGCGAAAAATTGAGAGAGAAAAAAAAAATCCAATGTCTTTTTATTTCAAGGTATAAAACCAAAAGAATCTATCACATTGTCTCATGCATTAACCTAGGAACAGTCAAGATACATGTTGGGGAATGGGGATGAAATATGTGATCAAACCAGTTTTCCTAGAATCTGGTTTTCCCCTTTTTTATAGTTCCACCATTATATATCGTTTCTCTCAAAGAAGAGAAACTGTCGACATGAAAACAAAAAATGTGTGACCGAAACAGAAACAACAGCAAATAATTAATACCTCTTCTTTTCCCCCCAACTGCACTGCAATGAGTTTAATGAAGAAGCAGAAACTTCAAGTAGCTAGTACTCCTTTTTTTTCTTTTACCAAATGACATGAGATAAGGATTGAAGAGACGCATGGGACTTGAATAATTGATCCATGGCGACTTTACGAACAAGGATGGGGTACTACGAAGATGGGCATTGGCCAATAGATGCTACGAAGTTTGACGAATAACAAGCGTAATAACTACTCTGTCCATATAGCGTTATTTTTTGGTTTCTTTTCGTTTAGACTGTTCGAGATTGGTACGTGTCGACCGACTGCACAGAATGAATGGTAGAATAGGCCTTATAGAGAATCAAAGTTTACTGCAACCAGCTTGTCCTCTTACACAATATTAGGTTGTTGTATATAAGAGTGTACTCCGTTGTATATAAGAGTGTACTCCGATTTGAATGAGTTGATACACCGAGACGGATAGACGGTGATGGCTTTAGTGAAGTTGTGAAGGCAAAAATTTCTACGATTGGCATGCATGTGGACCAAAAGTTAGTGACCTTTTTCGGCCAAGTCTTCACCATATGTTTTGAGTTTTTGAGTGGGCGGTGGTAAAAATTCAACTAAGATCGCCCATAAATTGAAAGGAACATACATCTAAGTTCAACCTTTACAAATAGAAAGATGACTAGGCTGTTATCCTTTCCGATCCCAGCCCAACATTTTCTCCAATACACGAGCAGATAGCCCAATCTTCCTGGAGGCCTGAAGCTCAACTCAAAATCGGACATGAAAGGAAATCAGCTGCCGGAACATGAACTGGTTTTACAGGATTCCATGTTGATGCTGCTATTGGCCTGCATATAACTCGTACTCTGGTTTCCAAATCCATAAAATGCGCCTTACTAAAGGAAAGAGGGTGATTTGATTACCAGTTCTGGAATTCGAATCTCTGTCGATTCCATGGCGACTTGTCTTCGAAAAAAAGAAACGACGAGGGTAAGAAGAGAGAGTACAACAGTTTCTAGACTCTGACGCCTGGTACTCTGTTTGATCTCATACACTATAGAAGCCAGTTACGTAATTCAGGGTGGGAACTCCGTTAGTTTACAACAATCAGCATTTGCCAGACGAGCTAACAATTTCCGGTCCCCAGCCAGAGCTTCAAGTGTCTTCATCAATCTCCACTTGCACATCCCCTGCAGCCGCAATGGACGCATTCTATGACCTCTTCCTCCCGCAGGTTCTTGGGCACTCGACAAACGCATGTAGTGGCGAAATTGTGATCCCTTGGTTGCATGCATCTCAAGCAGCATAAGCGCTCATAACCAGGCTGCAAAAAATCCAGAGAGAAAAAAACCAAAGTGAGAATGGCATTGAATTTGAAGAACTAAAGCGAATGGAATAATATTCTGTCTAACCAACGTTTATCTAAATACCCATTGAGCGTGTTTCCTTTTTATAAGTACTCAGCATGTTCATTGCACAGCATCATGTACTGAATACGCAGTATCATGGGAAGACGAAGTTCCAGTCAATGAAAGAGCATTTTGGAAGCGACACTAGGCTATTCAAACAAACTAGGTTCGACAGACGACACTCATGCATGAACCAAACCATTAAGAACTCAGCCAGAGCCATGAAGGAGAGTTGCCAGAGTGAGGGTAATAATACTTACCTTCTTCCATTTTGCAATGAGATTACGGTCTGCATAGCCCTGGTCCATACAGAACTCAAACAATTCCTTGGATATTTCCTTCCTACGATGGTAAAGGTCGAAAATGTATCGGCTCTTTTGATGCGCTATTTTGAAAATAGGCCACAGCGCCTCACATTTCCTCTTGCCATCATGGGACTCATTCTCAGCTGTCAAATTTGAACAACCAGTTAGCATCCTAGAACATAGCAAATAACAAGAGTTTCTACTCGATGCTGTGCAATGTGAAGTGAGTTTACCTTCTCTCATCTTCGCCTGCAGTTCGCGAAGAGTTGGCTCGATCAATTCCCAACCCTCTGGGTACTTGACTCGGTTCGTCTTCACCTTTGGCATCTTTGCTTTCTGCATAACAAAGAGTAGCATTAACCATTCCACTTACTCAACACAATAGAACAGAGAAAACACAAACCAATCGACTATGCACTAAAAAAATCCACATCACAAAAGCACACTATTTTTCCCATGCTAAAGGGGAACGAACAGAAGCAACCTAATCGATGGCATTCTACATCATCCGAGATACACCTATGGCAACATAAGTACGAATGAGGCTTACTCGATGCAAAGCATCTCGACTTGAGATACTTGCAAAACATCGTAACTACCATAAACCACAGCTTCTCGAAATGGAGAAGCGACCCAGACAGTTAGCAGCGTCCTTAAATACAAGTTACGCTAGCTCATCACACTAGACAACTTCTCTAGCAAAACATGAACTAGGTTCCCAATTGACAACCCTAATTATATGCCCTTGCAGATGCTACAAAAGCAGTTCACACAATCCACCAACTAGAGCTGAAGCAATTTCCACCATACGCATACCCCAAAACCAAAAGAAACAAGAGAGAAGAATGAACAGGCGAACCCAATTGCCAGTTTATACTCAGCCAGTCAACAGTAATAATAATAATAAGAAGAAGACGACACCAAAAGATAGGAGAGCTAAATTTCTAGGTTTTACTTCGCTAAAGCAAGAAACTGCAGACATACACCTAAAGCTAATAAGAAAAGTTCTGCACTTTTCGCGCGAAATGACCTCGAAGATATCGAAATTGAAGAATAAGCTCGGAGGAGCTAGGAAATCTAGCATACCTTGAAGCAGACACGCGAACAAAGCCGATTCCCCGGGAAGAATGCCGAACTATCTGAGGAAGAGGCAGCCCTGGAGACGATACAAGTTAACGAAGAGCGAAGATGTACGGAGCTCCGAAATCGAATCGGTCCCTTTCTCCGCCCGTACTGGATACGGCGGTTGGTGAGGGTGACCGGAGAACAGAGGAAGGATGAAGGGACAGGAAGCGGGAAGGAGAAAGCCGCAAGGGAGGATCCGAGGATGAGTCTGGGGATTTACTACTACTTTCGAACGAAGGACGGTTGAAAGAAATTCAAAGTCACAACACGTTCTCGTTTCTGAAAGGAGGTAGGCGTCTGGCCCAGAGAAACATGGGCTTCAGTTAGACAAAGGTCCAAGAAGCCTCGTCTTTATTTAATTGATGGCCCAAAAGGAACGAGAATACGCCGCCGTTTCGGAGGGAGGTAGCCGTACGGCCAGAAAATTATGGGCTTCAGTCAGAGGAAGGCCCAAGAAGATTCTCTTTGTTTTCTTATAATCTCATTGATCTTTCATGAATCATGATACAGTTTACAGCCAGTAGCGCAGTAGTTTTGATGATTTAAGGATGCTACTCTCAGACAAGGATGCGTACAACTACAACCAATTTCTTTGTGTTGAAGTATCTTTCACGATACAAACAATCTCTTTGGTGTTAAAGTCTCTCTTTGACAACTGCCCTTGTGAGGCTTTCACTATTCCACACCAATGCCAAAGTCTCTTTATGCACCTTTCCGAAACTCTTCAGGTTGGCACAGAACTTCTGCGGCGATTTGCATCTCGCTATCTTCACACTGCTCAAGAAGCACCTGCCAGCATACTGGGAGAAACGGGGGAAAAAAAGTATGGATTCGTTGAGTCGGAACATGGACTGAAGTTGGAGAGTGTAGAATCTGTAGATAAATCCAGTCACGGTCCAAGACCAGACCGAAATTTGGATCGCAACTGATTCGAAATGCTTTCAGTTTGATTCACAGTATAGGTATCAGACTTACATCTGGAATATCGTAATCACCTTCCCGAGCATCACATAGGTCCAGCGATACCTTTCGAAGCAATGGCAACTGTCGAAATCAAAAGGAGAATATACCAGCTCGATATTTAGAGGCTGCCAATAAGAACGAAATATAGACATTGCAAATAGGAAATTTACCTTTGAAGCAGCATCAACAATGACGTCTTTGCTTATCCCAGATCCCTGCATATATAGTTCACAAAGATATGTGAGCAGTTGAAGCATAACTGCGAGGTCTCCACTCGATGTTGGTTCTTGTCCAAGTTTCATTTTATAGGACTTTAAGTTGTACGTTGAAGCTCGTTTTATTAGCATGCAACACAAGGATTCCACGGGTGACCAGGCAAGCAAACGAAAAGGGAGAATTAGAAAACAATAGACTTCTCGAGATGTTGTTCACGAGCAAGGGGCCATCAATCAGAAAGATCTCCCAAAGGGAAATAAAATGCAGGGATAGAGAAGATGCATTCTGCTTACATTATGCCGCAGCAAGATATCTTCAAGTGCTATGCAGCTGAAGAGCGGAGAAACACCATTTGCTGTTACCTCTCCACATTCCTAAATATACAAAACAAACAGAATTCGAACTGCTTGAATATTCATACACTTGAATATTCATAGAGGAGCGAGTTGTTGCCGGCCGCTAACTAGGAGTGCATACAAAGGGAGGGTGGATGATAAATGAGAAGCAGATAGGACAAACCTCAAGATGGATGGAGGTCAGACCAGACCATCCACTCGAAATGGCTTGCAAAGAGTCTGCACAGCAAAAGTGAAGCAGCAAGGCAGTGCAGTGCTTAGGCTAAAAACGTGTAGTTGAAGAAATAAAATACTACCCAAATACTCTGAAGGAAAGCAACCATTTATCAATGCAGGAAAAGTAGACATGTTGAGAAGTTGCAACGAACCTGCATCAAGAAGCCTGCATCCTACTAATGTCAGTTCCCTAATGTTTGCACAATTTTGAGTAAGAACTGCCAAGTCATCGTTTGTCATCCAAGGAGTGACCCTTTCAAGCCTTAAATTTGTTAAATGTGGCAATGACTGTCTGAAACTTGATACGGACACATCACCGAGACAGTAGGATAGCGCCAGCGTTTGCAAGTGCCTAAGAGAAGTTGTAATGCTTGCAATGGTATCATCGGATATTAACTGAGAAGAGAATCAAGATCAGTGTTCCCCAATCAAAATTCTAATATTAAGGAACAACATATTGAAAACCTGTACAGAAGTTTAAAGTTTTATTCACAAGTTTTACCTGAAAATAAAGGACGATCACATCTAGCATGGGACAAGTTATGGGGAGTTGTCTGAGTGTGTCTTCACTCAATGATGCACCCAATCCAATAGTTAATGATTTTAAAGATGCAATTGCAGGTTTGAGAGCTTGGAATGAGGAGCAAGTGAATCCCCAACCAAGAGAAATCTCTTCCAGCATGCATCTCTCTCCTAGCTCAGCATATACATCCACAATTGGATAGGAGGAAGCAAGTTCTGACTTCCTGGTGATATCTTCTTGTGGAATCAGATTTCTACAGCCCCTCACTTTCAAAGACTTCAACATAGGATTGGCTCGTACGATGTGAACCAAACATGCTCTAGATATCTACAAAATTACAGGGTAAACAAGTAGAGTTAACTAACAACGTTGAAGCATGGATAGAGTATTGAGCTCCTCATCAGAAATAAAAGCACAAGTAAATAAAAGCCACGAGTACATAAGCGGCATATATCTGAAAATTCTTTACATCAGGGTAAAATATAAATTAATAACTGGAACATAAAGCTCCAGATTATATAAGATAAATCAAGCAATATATATGGTACTAGAGATTACTTCATTAGATTTATGTATAAACACTGATGTAATTTGGATTATTTTAAGAGATGCATGAGGCTTCTTGACTGACCACAGTGTTAGACACATCAAGTGTCTCTAGGGAAAAACCTGGGAAGCTATAGAGAGCTGTGTCCATAAGGCCAGTGTCCCTCAAACAAAGATCTCTCAATGTATTTGTTCGAGATATTAGCTCGAGCAGGGATCTCTCATTAACACCTGCAAATTCGTAACATCTACCATCAATCATTAGGAGCTTAAGAAGATAGAAAAAATAGGAGGAATCTGTAAATTCTTTTAACCTGAAGCACAGATGAAACTCACCCTTACAGCCTCCCATATGAAGTGCCTGAAGCTTACATGCCAATGGGCAATCTCTCTGCTCAGTGTATGAATCAGAAGAAGTAGCAATTGTAATAGTTGATGAGCAGAGAGCAGAAACAGAGTTCAAGCCGAAAGATGTATTGCAAACTAAAAGAGAGCTTAATTGGGCACATCTCCACAGGAGATCTGAGATTCCAGCATCAGTAACTGAAACACAGCCCTTAAGGTTAAGGTGATGCAAAGTTGCACAGAGCTTTGACACATGCTGGAGATCCAGATCTGTCGAAGAAATAAAAGCAAAGAGCATCAACAAAAGGAAAATCGAACCAAATGTATCCATTAATCCAATATGGGACAAAGTCCCCTGAGAATAGCCTTAAAGATAATCATTTTGACCATTGACACATTCTTATACACAAAATATAGGCATCTCACCTTTTATTTCACTTCTGCCCTCTAGAGTGAGTCTTGTGATATTTGAATTGGTAAACAAAGAATCCAGAACTCTAGCATATGGAAAGGTAGACGATGGTGAGGTGACAACGCTAGAAGACATGACAGTCACTTGTCCCGGTATGAGTGGAGTAGAATCAACAGTCAAGTCGAGTTCATCTACGAGAAGGCACTTCTCCAGCAATTTATGAAATGTTCTTTGCTTGAAGTTCAAAAGATATGATGCTTTTACTTTTTTCAAGCAGGGGAATGAAATGGAGAAGCACTCTATTGCAGCTTCAAGATGTAAGCTTGGACAATTAGATATATCCACCTCTTCTACTGCTTTCAAAGAGAGAATTGGAAGTAAGGACTGGGGAACCTGACTTTGATTTTTGTTAAAACGTTCAAGGCTGACCATAGTTTCTCTAACACTCTTCTTCAAAGAAGGTTCCATAACATATGAATAGGGAAGCAGTGATAGCAACAAGAGGGCTGAATTAATTTGTGGGCAACCTGAAAGGTCGACCTTCTGCACAAAGAGAGACACAATCAAAAGCTAGATAAGAAAAAAGAGTGCATACCATCCAAGCTGAGCACTCGGGAGGCAATTATGCCACCAACTTAATTCATAAAGCCTAGAAAAATGAGCTTGAGATGATTGAATGATAGACAACACAACTAGCGGATGCCATGAATATGACTTCAATCATGAAAGATTCACGAGCAACAAGGAAACCACCACAAAAATCTAGGGAGAAGAAACTTTAAGACAGGAGCTAAAATCATTTCTGACCCAATTTTCATCAACTGGTTGCAACACATATACTTGCTATCAAGCTATTAGTTACAGTATTAACTCTTTCTCCTTTCACTTCACTTTCATCGAGTTGCAAAGGAAAACTAGATCACATACCATTTCTCTCATCTAACCACCGCTCAAAATTCATAATTACATAATTTTTATGACGGGTACTAAGCAGATAAAATATGAATCTTTCGGAGCAGAGCTTCATTTATGTTATACTATAGGAACATGATCCAAAAACAAACATCCTGGTACCTTAGAGTATTCTGTCAATCTTATTCTAACATTCCCCATGTGAGCATGTTCCAGCGCATCCAACATTTGTGCAGGAGGAACTTTCATCAGTCTAATAATTGTGTCAGTACTTTTATCTGCAAGCGCTGAAAAATACCTAGAACGCCTCTTTCCTAGTATAAAATTTTCAAACAGAAGGGCTGTAAGCAAAGTGCTACATGTAGAAAGACAAAAGACAATTAAATAGAAACCAGGTAAATCTTTACCATACCTGCAGCAAATGGCAATGGCAGGAGGCAAACTCGGATCTACTACACACCCATTGCAGATTGATTTCAGCATATTACATAAGGATGAATTACTGTTGAATGTTGTAAGCTGCAAGAGAATCCAGTATGTATGGCAACCTGGAAGTAATTCATATACCTCCTTTAGAACTTCAGAACAGACATTTTGGCCTTTGCTTGAAGATCCTAACGGCTCAACATTACAGCCAACCCAATGTAAAAGTGCATCAGCTAGATGCTTTTCACTGTCAAATATGAACAGGAATACTTCAACCGCAGACAACGTCATAAATTAATCAGCTAGAATGCAGAACTGATATTTTGACTCACCTATCTATTGTCAAATCGGGATGCTTAATGCAAGACAACAACAAAGCATATGGAACATCTCCGAAAGATTTACTAGACCGCATCAACTCCTGCAAGTACAAAAAAATAATGTTACTACTATTTTTCTTTATGACTATCATCATGCTAACACTCAATGCAGTTATGCTACCACTTAATGTTACCATCATGTTGATAGAAAATTCTGCAGAACTTGAAAAAATGGAAGAACGAGTTAATCACGTACAAATTTCCTTGCAAGATAGCCCACAGAAACTTCTGAAAGAAAATCGATTGCTGCAATATATCAAAGATTTGGCCAATGAGATACAACAACCTTACAACCCCTACACTTCAAATGTGCAATTACTATGAGAGACGTCCTCACCATGCTCTAAACCGAACTTCCAAAACTCAATTAGATCATCCAATTGCACTTCAAGTAACTCAGCTTCAGATATCCAATTCTTGCACTTCAAGAGAAGTGTCTCTTCCCCAAAGTACATTGCAGCCTGAAAATGCAGTAATCAACTAAACATGATTACATAAAGACCATACAATATCCCTTCATTTCACCATGGATCATTCATACAACTTCACAAGACGGAGATTGAAAAACAAACCTCTAGAAGAGAAAGGAAATTCCGAGGCATCACATCCACCGAGCAAGAAGAGCAATACACACACTTCAAAACGCTTACAAAAGGCTCCAAACTCCACTCGATCGAGACGCCGTTCAGGTTCGATTCACTGAATAAGACGCAAAGCCAAACAAAGTTGAAACATACGAAAACGCGAAACGGACTGGACAGATCACACAACGAACGAGACCGGATAGCAACATCCTAACCGGAAGCTTCCGCCGAGCAGGCCGCGAAAATACGAACAACTCTCGACAAGCCTGCGAAAAGAAGCGGGAAACAGAAGAAACTCAATTCGTCGATTCGGCGGCAAGTAAACGGTCTCATTATACATCAGGAAGCACATAATTTAGCTTGCCTGCTACGCTGAGCTCGGATTTTGACCGTCGCGTAGCGGACGAGAGCAGGCGAGTCCCAGCTATCGATATCCGCCGCTGAAATGATAATTTCTCGGTGGCCGTCGAGTGACTCCGTCGATTTCGGGTTACTCCACCGGAGAAGAACGAACTCGTCGTCGGAGCTGGAGTCCATAGCGGAATCGGTCGGAAAGTAGAAGCGAGTGATATCACAGAGAACCCCTATTAGTTTCGCCCAGAAGTTGCAGGAAACAGAAATGAGTCAAATGACCGTGTCTACCCTCAGGATAGACTCGAGACGAGAGTCAAACATCAAAACGCAGCGTTTCACGTGTCATCATCATCATCAACGATTCAACGTCCGCCGCTGCTTCTTCTAAAGGCCAAATATCTCGCCATTCTCCTGTTAGAAAAATCAAACGGAAAGGTAAGCCGAGAAAGGAGAGTGATGGCTGGAATTATGAATATGGCGTCGCAGACTGTTTTCGCATCTCCGTCGGCGGCGATAATCCGACCATCTTCAGCTTCGTCCTCTGCAGTTAAAGCTTCCTTTCCGCTCTCATTGTTTTCTGCATCGAAAGCTTCCTCCTCTCCATTGGCGCCTTCTTTATCTGCGAATCTGGCGGCGTTTGATAAGCCTCGGCTTACGAAAGCCAAGAGCAACTTCCCCAGAGTGACCGCCGCCCCACGTTGTGGTATTAATCCTTTTGCTCTCTTGTTTGATTTCACACAATTCCACCATCATCTCCCAATTGTTAATCTCCTGTTGTTAGATTTCAATTCATCGATCTAGGTCTTCTTCTGGAAGACGGAGTTCTCAAGCTTAGAGAATTAATCTTGCAGTTACTGAAAAACAGATTCATTAATGCAACTCTTGGGCGGATGTATCAATGAATTTAATCCGGCGAGGAATCACCATTAGTTGTGCAGAGGGATTCTTTCTCAGTTGTTTACTTACTTGCATACATGTTCGTGATGTGCAGCTTTGACTCCAGAGCTTAAGACCACGCTGGATACAGTGATCACATCACATAAAGTCCTTCTCTTTATGAAGGGAACCAAGGATTTCCCTCAGTGTGGGTTTTCTAACACCGTGGTGCAGATACTGAATTCGTGCAAGGTTCCTTTCGAAGCAATCGACATACTGGAGAATGAATTTCTACGTCAGGGGTTGAAGGAATACTCCAGCTGGCCAACCTTTCCTCAGCTGTATATTGACGGAGAGTTCTTCGGTGGCTGTGATATAACTGTTGGTAAGTGAGCGAAACCCCTCTTTGTTCGCTGAGGTTTTGATAGTGTTGGGAGACCTCGCGTCTCAGCTAGCAATCAATAACATTGAGATAATTCAAGTTAGTAATGTTCTGGAGGCTCTTCACAGCAAATAAATACCTTCTACATTGGGAGTCTTTCACTTGCTCTCGATACTGTTCTTAGTGATCTCTATGCCAGAAATTGTTTTCTTACGTATTATATCTCGTAACAAAACCAGGGTTCAACGGTCATTATTGTCGTACAATTTGGCTAAAACCTTCGATAACCCTCGTCCCCTCCTTTTGGTTAACATATATTTCTCCCATGTTTGGTGATTGAGGTCTATATTTTGATCACTATGATGAAATTTTGTGCTCTACTAGTGTCCGTCGATAGATAATTTGCTTCAAGAGTGTGCATTTCATCTACGCAACGACTTTATTATTTACTGGAAAGAACTTATACACACTGTTTAGGCATAAATTCTTCTTTAGGTCATTAATCACAGTAAGGCATCACGAGCTCTGACAGCCGAGTTTCACACATATGTCCATGTGAACCCGTGGAATCAGTCAGGGGTAGTGAGCATATATTGTCGCAATGTGAACATTATGTTTGGTGGATGGATAGTAAGATGGGAGTGATAACTCCTACTGTCTCATGGGGAATCTGCATTGTAGTCACCTTCCGTGTTCATGAAGCTTGCTGAATTCCCATTTGTTGTCTCCTTTTTCCTTCAAGTTTGTCATGCTATAAATAAATCACTTTAATTAGATAATCTGTCCAAGACATCAGAATGAAGTGCTACCTGCTTACCTTCCCATTTTGGTTCGATGATCATCAGTTTGTTCTCTATGTTGCCTCCCTTTTCTTAGTCTTGCTTTCTAGTAGTGTTGGCTTACATAAACTGTTGTGGTTCAATTCTGCTCTTCCTTCCAACCAGCCCTAATCTGCTCACACTTTAGCCTGCTTTTATTGGAGTTTGGTTCTTATTTTCCACTTGTTGTTGTTCAGGGAAAGCATCGGATTGTGCCTCTGTACAATTATATGTGACTCTTAATTCATTTGATAATTTTGCAGATGCATACAAGAGTGGAGAACTGCAGGAATTGTTAGAAAGGGCTACGTGTGCATGAGTGTTTTAGTGCTCGATGATTTTAAGATTCTTAGTAATCCTTCCATCTTGTCAAGTGGCAGTGGGCTCGGATGTAATAATGACAATCAACGCAGCTGTTCTTTTTAGCTGTATAGGGAAACCTCATTGCACATTGCTTATGGAACACAGTCAAGTTCTGGTATATGTTTCTTTGCCTTTGCAGTTTCTAGCTAGCACTCAGTTGGATCCTACTTCATCATCAAAGTGAATACGATTTTATTATGACTATGCCACTATGGTAAACCTCTTACACGTTATTACCGATCTTAAAGCTCTCTTCTGAATTCTTACCTACTATGGCTACAAAGTTTGCTTTGATCTTACCTGACATATCTATAATCAAACCGCAATGAATCGAATGTGATGAGATTATACTAGCATCATGAAAAGTCAGAAAAGATATACATTTTGTATATGTGAACGAAATCAAATACAATCGACTAATACGACGAAATTCACTTTGAGAGATACTGGTGAAGCATTAAACAATCACCTAGCTTGGTGACAGAACTTGTATTCGAAAAGCATCTCCTCCGGCTGCCCTCAATCTCAGCCATTACAATGTTTCAGATGATGGAATAATGAACAGAACAAACGAGAGAATCGATCTTCTCATACAATACAATATAGTTGAAAGGAAGTTCAATGCAAAAAGGGGTAATACTTAAAAAAATCAAGTTTTGAACAAAGGAAGGAACTTCTGGTATGATTTCTGACCTGGTTTTTTCGTACCAAAGTAGGCATAAAACAAAATCCAAAGCAAAATGCTGAAGAAAAGAACTGGAAAGGAAACAAAACTTAGTTCTGTTTGGCGATGTTAGGCAACGTTGTTCCCATTGATCAGATGGTTTCATTCCACTCCTTTAAATTCTCCTTCCACCTGCATGCTCTTCTCACCATTCACCATCTGATAGAAAGAAAAACACACAAAGAGCTAAAGGGGAACTTAAAAGCTTTACTTGGTTGTGGAGAAGAAGAAGAAGGGAGAAGATAAAGAAAATGGGTGTTGTGTGGGGTGCTTCACTTCTGGTTCTAGCTATGGTCTCTTCAATTGTGGTGGCTGACCCGCTAGTTCCATCACTTACAATCTTTGGGGACTCGGTTTCGGATGTGGGAAACAACAACAATCTCATCACCCTCATCAGGGCAAACTTCCCTCCTTATGGAAGGGATTTCGCCGAGCATAGGCCAACTGGGAGGTTCTCCAATGGGAAGCTGGCCATTGACCTCACTGGTAAAGAAGAAATAAGATTAAACTTTTGGTTTCCCATTCAAGTATCTGCTACTGGTTTGATTCTGGTCTAATGAAAGTTCTCTGCTGGTTTCGTTTGTTTCTCAAATTCAGCTGAATTTTTGGGTTTCGACACATACCCTCCACCATATCTAAGCGAAGACGCCAGCTTGGTTAGTGTTACGACTGGAGTCAATTTTGCTTCAGGTGCTTCTGGCATGCTCGATGCAACAGCTCACCTATATGTAAGCTTCCCAACTCTACACATTCTAACAAGACACTGTGAAGGAGATCTAACTTTCTACCTCTCGCTCTCTTCTTGTCGGTGGTCTGCAGGGTGCCATGTCATTGACAAGGCAGCTCGAGAACTACAAGGAATACAGAGCAGGAGTGGAGAGCAAAATGGGATTCGAGAACGCAACCAACACGTTCTCCAAGGGGATTCATCTTTTGAGCACTGGAACCAGTGACTTCATCCAGAACTACTATGTCAATCCTATCCTCAATACCCTCTACACACCTGATCAGTGGTCTAACAAGCTCATGACATCTTATGCTACCTTCATTCAGGTATGGTTTCATGACTCAATTTAGCTTTTCTTTCCTTAATATGAAAACCATTACTGACAAGGAAAGGGTTATGAGACAGAACCTGTACGGGCTTGGAGCAAGAAAGATTGGCGTGACAACTCTGCCACCAACGGGATGCTTGCCTGCAGCCATCACCCTATTTGGCCACGGAAGCAACGACTGTGTCGAGAGGCTGAACTGGGATGCTAGCTCCTTCAACCAGAAGCTGAACACAACTTCTCAGAGCCTCATGCAAGAACTCCCGGGGCTCACACTTGTTGTCTTCGATATCTACAATCCCCTCTTGAATTTGATAAAAAATCCTAGTGACAACGGTAATGCAAAAATTCGATCAAATTTTTTATAATGTCAAAACAACTGCTAACATAAAGACATGCCAACTCACAATTTTGTTGCTGTTGAAATCCATGGCAGGCTTTGCCGAGGCGAGGAAGGCATGCTGTGGGACAGGTGTCCTAGAGACCTCATTTCTGTGCAATGCAATGTCCCCCGGGACGTGTTCAAACGCTACAGAATACGTGTTCTGGGATGGATTCCACCCTTCTGAAGCTGCTAACAAGATCCTAGCCCAATCCCTGCTCTCACAAGGATTGTCCCTCATATCCTAGATTCCATAGCTCCATTAATGCCGCAAACACAAGCTTGAGAAGACAAAATAAACAATTCATTGTTCTATGATTCAATAAATACACGTACCAATCTGCAACTATTATATCAAATTCATTATATTAATGTTCCCATATGCCCCAAGTCTATGCAGTCCTTTCTTCCCCTACCATCCATTTTACGCAGCTAGGGTACCAAATACCTAGCATGAAGATAAACTCATTACGTTTTAACAAAACTTCATTCCAAGCAGCATCTCCAACCGTCCTCCCTAGTCTGAAATTTGAATGGAAGTTACTGCAACACAGAGATAATCAGCTCAGGTGAGAACCAACATAACTTTGGTCCAAACACCAAGACAAGGAACTTCTGGTATCATCTGTGACCTGGGTTTCAATCCAAACTAGGAATACAGCCAATAAACTAGGCAAAATGCTGAATGATATAAGAATGGAAAAGGAAACAAAAGTGGCTTCCTTTGGCATTGTTAGGGGAATGTTGTTCCCACTTTGACAGGCTTTTAAATACCCCTTCCACAAAACATAAACACAAAGAGGTAAAGGCGAACTCGGAAGAAGGAAGAGAGAAAAATGGGTGTTCTGTCAATGGCAGTGGCTGAACCTCTAGTTCCATCACTTACCATATTTGGGGGTTCGGTCGCTGACGTGGGAAACAACAACAATCTCATCACTCTCATCAGGGCAAACTTCCCTCCTTCTGGAAGGGATTTCGCCGAACATAGACCAACTGCGAGGTTTTGCAATGGGAAGCTGGCCATAGACATAACAGGTATAGTGGAAATAAGATTACTTCTTGGTTTTCTGCAATAGGAAGCTGGCCATTAATGAAAGTTGTTCTGGTTTGGTTGTTTCAGAAATGCAGCTCAATATATGGGTTTCGACACGTACCCCCCACCCTATCTAAGTCAAGAAGCGAGCTTGGGAGATGTTCTGACTGGACCCAATTTTGCTTCAGCTGCCTCTGGCATGCTTGATGGAACAGCCCACCTATATGTAAATTTATCGACTCTATACAAATTTTATACAGATATTATAAAAGAGTTAAAAGTTCGGCACTTCTTTCTCTTAATGTGGGTGTGTCTGTAGGGAGCGATTTCATTGACAAGGCAGCTAGAGAACTACAAGGAATCCAGAGCAAGAGTTGAGAGCCAGGTGGGGTTCGAGAAATCCACCGACATATTCTCTAAAGGGATTCATCTATTGAGCACGGGAACCAGTGATTTCGTTCAGAACTACTATGTGGACCCTATGCTCAACACCCTCTACACACCTGATCAGTGGTCTGACAAGTTCATGAAATCTTATGCTGACTTCATTCAGATGTGGTTTCAAGACTTTTTTGCTGCTTAATACGAAAAACAATGTGATCTGGTTCGTACTAAAGAGAAAAGTGGTGATGGAAACAGAACCTGTACAGTCTTGGAGCAAGGAAGATTGGAGTGACAACTCTGCCACCAACAGGGTGTTTGCCTGCAGCCATCACTGGGATGCTAGCTCCTTCAAACAAAAGCTGAACGCAACTTCTCAGAGCCTTGTACAAGAGCTCCCGGGGCTTAAATTTGTTGTCTTTGATATCTACATTCCTCGCTTGAACTTGACCAATAAACCTAGTGACAGCAGTAATACGAAATATCAGTGAATGTCAAATTATCTGATGTTTCCATACAAAATAACTGACTCACTCACCATATCTATGACAGGGTTCTTCGAAGCAAGGAAGGCTTGCTGCGAGACTTCTGTAATGGAGACTTCATTTCTGTGCAATTCAATCTCACTGGGAACATGTTCCACTGCTATAGATTACGTGTTCTGGGATGGATTCCACCCTTCGTAAGCTACTAGTAAGATCCTAGCTCAAACCCTGCTTTCTCAAGGATTGTCCCTCATATCTTAGATTCCATAGTTCCATCAATGCTACAAGCACAAGCTTGATAAGACAAATAAACAATTCTTTATTCCTTGGTCAATAAATGTATGCACCATCCACAGCTACTATATCAAATTCAGTAGAATGTCCTCTTAGTCTTAATTTGCTGCAGCACTTTCTTCCCCTTTTGGAGGTCACACTACTTGTTCAACAAGTCAGCTTCACCTATAGAATCAGAGGTAGCATGGTCACTGAAGACATTACTCAATACAAACTTCTTTGGCAAAACCATAGAGGATTCAGCAATTGAAGCTCCAAGATATTATAATTAAATCCAGAGCATAAACTTACATGATCAATGCTTTTAAGGAATTTTATTCTACATACAGCTCCAATGCCAAACCGTCACTATCCAGCATGACAATTCAACATTGGGAAAACGCTAACCTATCGTAGGTTACAACAAAAAGAAATCATTGAGTGTCTCACATAGCAAGTTACAAAGACGAACGCTACTCTACCAACTTCTCAATGCATCAGAAGCTGGAACTTGTCATCGTCAGTTACAACAACAAAATCGTATCCAAGATCATTGGCGCGGAGGTAGAACTCGTCCATCTCCCTCTGCTGGACTTGGATTCCCACCAGCACGTTAGCGCCAGTCTCTCCCTGACAATTTGGGAAAACTCATATACAGCGACTGAATAGAGGAACATGAATCTAAGAAAGAAGGAAAGGTCTTTGAGAACAAACAAACCTGGCCTCTGTAGTGGAACAAGGTAATGTTCCATCGGGGACTGAATGCATCAAGAAACTTCATCAGAGTGCCGGGCCTTTCTGGGAAGACGAATCGACAGATAACCTCATCTTCAACAGATGATCTGCCGCCCATCTGTAAACGACAAAACAAAAGGTTGAGCTGCGAAACCAAAGCAAAGTAGACTTCTGATGCGAGTAACAAGTTTTCCATATGTGAAAATGAGGGAAACATAAAGGACTAATAGAAGCCTTATAAAGGAGAACAAATTACCAAATAGCGCAAGTGGTCTTTGACCAAATCGCTTTCAGTCAGATTGTAAGTTCTTAGTTGAGCAGATTCCATACGCTGCTTCATCGCTTCAAGTTCAGATACCATATGGAGGCCAACACTGCATACGATATCATCGAAAAAATGAAGTGCCAGTCTATCATCAACATCTCACCATGAAATAGCATAATATAGTGCATACTTGTATTACAGAGTATTCCCGTGAAAAGGGTAGAGAAAAAATGACCAACACAAAATTTACAGCGACCATTGATAATAAAAACTCCAAGTACATATATAAAAAAAAAACTCCAAGTACAATGACATTTCTACAGAACATTTATACAACTTCAATTCACGGACCTGTACAGGACAACAGCTTCCTTCTCAGAACTACTCCTATACTTGAACTCGGTTATATTGACAGGACCCACCTGTCACCCAAAAGAGAGTATCAGAAGCGAGATGCCGAAACGTTTATAGAAGAAGACTGCCATTCTGAAATGATATGTTGTTAACAAACCAATTCACAGAAGTGTTTGAAGCTTCCAGGCTCTTCTGGCAAGACTGTTGCAAGCACAGCTTCTTTTTTTCGACCAACATTGGCAAGCTCAGTGACCACTCTCAGTTTATCGAAGTTCATATTCGCCCCACTGGTTATTGCCACAATGTCTCCGCCTTTTATGTCATAGTATTTGCAGTATGCTTCAGCTCCAGCAAGCGCTAGAGCACCTGCTGGCTCTAATATGCTCCTTTTCTCTTCAAACATGTCCTGGTGAAAATAGTGCTGATGCTATAAAAACATACCATGGAAAGTTTGGAAACAATAAAGTAAGAGTGCTTACCTTAATCGAAGCACAGATAGCATCACGACTTACAAGAACCACCCCATCTATCAACTCCTTGCATAGCCGAAATGTTTCTTCCCCAACCTCTTTAACAGCCACACCATCTGCAAAACCTCCAACCTGGTCCAACATCACTCTCTCATTGTGATGCAGCGACAAAGCCATAGCATTTGCATCAGCTGGTTCTACCCCAATGATCTTCACCTGCATTTTAAGTGATTGAAATGGTTGGTCTTTACCCCAAGTAAAATCCTCCTGAACTAGAAGTTCTCATGGAATATGGGAACTTACATCGGGATTAACTCTCTTAACATATGCAGCGATGCCAGCTATCAACCCACCACCACCAACAGGCACAAAGATGGCATGCAATGGGCCTTGCATCTGGCGCACTATCTCCATTCCGACGGTTCCTTGTCCCATGATCACATCCGGGTGGTCAAAAGGAGGTACAAAGGTCAAACCTTCCTGTTGGCCTCTTTGCTTAGCATATGCTTGTGCCTCATCATAAGAGTCTCCCACCAAAACAACTGTAGCACCCAATCTCTCAACTGATTGCCACTGCAGAGAAAATTAGCAGACATGAATCAAAAGTGAATACAAAAGGGAAGTAAAAAAAGGAGTGGTAATAGTAAGACAGACAATCAAAATCCCACCTTGATGTCAGGGGTAGTTACAGGCATGGCAATTATAGCATTGCAACCAAGTCTTTTGGCAGCTAGTGCTACTCCTTGGGCATGGTTTCCGGCTGAAGAGCAGATCACTCCTCTTTCTAACTGCTCCTTCGTAAGTTTTGCCATCATGTTGTATGCACCACGCAGCTTGAATGAAAATACCTGCATCCCAATGATGAAAAGGAAATGAATCCCAACCTCTGAAGCTTCGACAATAACAAGTAACCCCCATTCCTCAAATTTAACAAGTGAGAAAGTGCTATCACTATCAGAAACATCAATCCCTTTTTTCCAAATTAAGCTACACTCTGCAATATCCCAACTCAATCAAAACGAATGGTTTCTTACAGGCTGCAAATCCTCCCGCTTGAGCCAGACATTGACCCCGAGTTTCTCCGAGAGCTTAGGCCCGAACTGCAACGGAGATTCAATCGCCACGTCGTACACCTTCGACGAGAGTATATTCGTCAAATACCCCATGGCCCCGATGACGTCGTCGTCGCCCCCACATCCTCCGCTCCGATCAGGCACCGCCCCGAGGTAGCCGGGCGGGTACTGCAGCGAGCTCGGAGACACCTTCCTCCGCGGAGCAGCTACCTTCGCCGCCGCCTCCGTCTCCGACCGCGAATTGTCGCGGGAGGGCGTCGGCAATGGAGAGATCTCGGCGGCAGGTTTCGACAGGGCGGCGGAGACATTGAACGGCTTGGACGACGGTTTCGTTCTTGCTCCAATTCGTCCAGCTAGCGCCATGGGAGCGCGGAACTCGGCGGCGCCGTGCAGCCGGAGTAGCGGCGGCTGCTGCGGCGCTAGGCGGAGAGCCTCCATTTCGTCGGGTTGGGAAATTGGGACCAACAACCAAGTGGAGAGAGAGAGAGAGAGCGGCGTTTTGTGGCGTAGAGTTTGATTTTTCGCTTATATAATTTTTTTGGAGGGAGGAGGAGGAGGAGGAAGAAGAAGAGGGGTTTCTTATGGAGAGGAAGTTTTGTGGTGGGTTTTGTCATTTCTGTTACTTGGCGCATTTTTCACTAACTTTGTGTGGACCAATTAGTGAGAGACGCGTGGTGATTTCTGGAAGTATGAGAAGGCGGGTGCTTGTGCGGGTTCTGGGTAACGGGCTAACGGCACAGTGAGTGAAAATGACCAAAACTGACTTAAGCCCATTGGTTGGGACTTTCATGGGCTTTCTTGCAAGTTGTGGGCCACTATAAGCTCCGGACCATTATTTAATTTTGTTTTTTTGCCCCTTTTTATTGAAAAAAGCTCTTTAATATTTTTTAAGTTTGAATGCCAAAATGTTTAACTTAAATAATTTGTAAAAAAAAAAAAAATTGGCTCTCAATTTTATAGCAATATAACGTCAAATTAAGTAATGCTCTCTGTCAATGCTGTTGTAGATCGACTCAGAGTAGGTTTTAGAGTTAAAATGTGTAGAGTTTTCTCAAGTAGTTGTCGTTGTAACTTAGATACTTTTTTTAATTATTAAATATTCAAAAGATATAATGGTTTTAAAATATGAGTCTCAGATTTAAACCACTCTAAGCTTGTAGTCTTATACTATGCAATTTCATCAGAATGGTAAACTTACCAATAATGGAGATTACAACCATTTTCCCCATTATCAAAATGGGTGTGTTTGTTTAATCATTCTGGTGGGCAGTTGAACTCTTCCATGAAGCTTCCACATAAATTTAAACTCCAAAAAGGGATTAGATAATCAAATCACATTATTATTATGCCATGATAATCATATACGAGTGTTTGTTGTGACAGATTTGTCACATGTGCATGGAATTAAATAACCAAGGACCCCAAAAGATTCCTTATAATATTGGATTAGGATTTTAGCTTGACTTATTAGTGATGCAAATTTTATAATTAAAATTAAGGTGCCATTTGAAGATTTGTTAAACAACGACCCCATGAAAGATCTTTGTCGTATATTGCGATCTGTACTGATACTGATGCACGTGTTATTGTAAATATCCAGAGTTAAATGGGTGGAAGGGAGTGAGAACAAGTACTAGCTAGTTTACTTATTTAACAAGAATCTGGATGATAATGGCCAATGTTCTTGCATGAAATGAATGCAGAGTATTATGTCATGGATCACTAGTTTGCTTATTTGTTCTGCGTCGAATCTTAGTAGGCTTGAATGGTTGTTTTTGTTTTGTTTTTTTGTAGACAGGAGTTAGAGAAAGAAATTGTGAAAGAAACTCCATGGTCCTACGTGGAGTAAGATTGTAATCTGGGATGAAAATGGTTATGTGGACGGCATTTATCCTCTATCTCTATCCCACGTTGAAATTTGTCAGAACAGTTTAACCACCAATTGAAGTACAACAGAAATGATGGAAGTCTCTCCCTTCCCTTGCTGCTACCAGCGCAGCTCAATTCTATTCCGAAAGCCGCTAGCTTCATTTTCATCTGGTAAAAATCTTCTCCTTGTTAGCTTTTGATGAGTGCAACTTGGGTTCTTCTTAAAGTTAAAGAACTTTTGCACTGAATATTGGCCAGGGAAGAGCCAACCCATCACAAGAAGAAGCTCAGTCCCCTTCCCATGTCGCTGTTCTTTGCCTTCTTCAGAGAAAACTCTGCAGCAGAAGGAGGGAAGAAGGGCTATTTTTGGTTATCTTCTTGCATCAACCGGTTAGTTTCTATATGTGGGAAGGACTGGGATGAATGGGTTCTTTGTCATATTGTTAGAGCTTTTGATCATGTAAAGCAGTCAAACATTCGAAACCCTAGTTGAATTTGACCTCCGAGTTAAGCTGGATGGATCTCTGCAAACTGCAAGTACAATGAATACGCTTGCTTTCGTACGAACTGGTTCTTGTTCGCGGGTCAAAATCTGATCTGTGTGCGTTCAGCTGCAGGAATTGCTGCCTGTGATGCTGCAGAGGCTGTTAGTACCAGCAGAAGAGCTGTGAGTTCCTTTTTTAAATATTCCCTTTCTCATGGTTCATCTGTTAAAAAAGGGTTGAAATGGTTTCTGAGATATGATGAAACTGTTCTCGTTTTATGGGGTTGGTGCAGCTTAGGGGATCCAAAGTACCAGAGGAGGAATTCAAAACCCTTCCTAATGGTCTGAAGTCAGTAAACCCAGATAATCTCAGTGTTGTCTACGAGCAAGTGATCTTGCAAATTAGCCACTTGCATGACATTCCATGCATAATTCTGATGCAAGACTGGCTTCTTTTCAGGTATTATGATTTGAAGGTCGGCGGAGGTCCAGAGGCTGTGAAGGGATCTCGGGTTGCAGTACGGTTTGTGCCTTTGATTGCTTGTCTTCAGTTTGACATAAAGCCCCCCTTTTTTCCCCCTCCAGACACTGCTGAACTTTAGATTCATGGGGCAGTTTGTTCTTCAAATTCTAGGTTCACTATGTTGCCAAATGGAAAGGAATCACATTCATGACCAGTAGACAAGGACTTGGTGTTGGTGGAGGAACGGTGAGAACGGCTTTCAGTCTTTGGATCATTCTCGTCGCTCGATAGCTGATGTTCTTTAGCTTTGTTGTTGCTTGTAGCCTTATGGATTTGATGTTGGTGAATCCGAGAGGGGAAATGTTCTCAAAGGGCTAGACCTCGGCGTTTTAGGAATGCGCGTTGGAGGCCAGGTGAGTGGGGAGAGAGCATTTATCCCTGCACAATGACATTGCTTGTTCTGTGCTTGATGAACTTTTGCTTTGAATCCTGGAAAAGCTGCAAACTTCAACCCAGAAAACTGTTTCCCAGCTTCCACAGATCTACGTTTCCTTATTCTATGCCGTGTAATCTTGGCAATGGCACTGTGGAATTGCTAGTATCTTAAAGAAACCATGGTTAATGCAGCGTCTGCTGATAGTTCCTCCGGAGCTGGCATATGGAAAGAAAGGAGTTCAGGAAATTCCTCCAAATGCAACCATAGAGGTAAAAAGTTTTACAATCCCATTTCACTAACTGTGCTGAAAGCAATAGAACTTACTGATCTACCCCTGGAATTGCAGATGGATGTTGAACTTCTTTCCATCAAACAAAGTCCTTTTGGGTAAGTTGTAGACTTGTTGTCTTGCAGAAGTTAAACTTGTTTCAGTGAAGCTGAAAGGCGTCCATACTCAGCATTAACACTACTCAAAATTTTCCAATTTGGCAGGTCCCCTGTGAAAATCGTTGAAGGATAGTGCTATCAACTCCACCATTGGAAGCCGTTAATGGAGACCAGTTGCTCCAGTTTCAAGAAGTTGAAAACAGACGACCTATCTGATACACTGAAATCACTTGTTCTTAATCCTTTTGCTGCACATCGTTTGGTTGATCCATAGGTTACACATTCCCAACTTCTCGCGAGCAACTAAGAGTGCAGATCAGCCACTGTCTCATCCATTCGCCCATGTCTGAAACTTCATCCAAGTTTACTTCACTTATCAGATTCACTTTGCTGCCTGCAGAAGTGGACACTGTTAAGATTATGCTGTGACAAACAACATTATTGTAATTGAATGACTTGATGTTCTATCAATTTGGTCCTGAGCCATAAGAATACTGATCAAAGATTGAAAACATTTTCTTGGTGTAGAAGAAAGGGCCAATGTCCTTCCTCTGCAGACCATACAGTAGGAACCGAGCAGGTCGAGTAAAAGGCTAAAACATTGTCCAACCCTTCAACAAGCAAAAATGACCACATTTCCAATACATTCAGTTTTCTTCTGTTGCATTCATTTCCTTCTTCACTCACTCCCAGAACTTAACACTCACTCCCAGAAAGTGGCTAGATGTTGAAAGAAAAATAGCTATTTGAACGAAACAATAATTAAAAATGCTTCATTATTTCAATTAAAATTATCAATAACTTACTTAACACTTAATTATAGAAAAATAACTAAAAAATTCGTAGAATAGTAGCTCAATAGCTCACAAAGTTCTTGAGATATTGAAATTATTGACATAGAAAATTGAGTTCGTAATTTATATTAATTTTCTTCTTTAATGTTGACTGTCTAACTCCATCTAATTATGTATTTTGGAGACACTTAGGTGTCGCCTTACTCCCTTTACATGTTTCTAGTATCTAACTAGGTGCGAAACCACTAGACAAAGCGTTTTGGCATTGTCTAGAGTCTAAACGTACCTAACCATAAGGTTAAGCGCGCCTTTTTGAACTAGATAAACTAGTACAACATTTATCTAACGTTTTTTTTATCTTAAACCCATTGAAAAAGATGATTCTTCGTAAGATAAAATGGGTGTGTCCCATAGAGCCCAAACCTAAGAATGCCTTCCATACACTAACAGGAAAATGAAATTTTGTGAGCCGCCGAGCAACCAAACCGGCAATTTCCATACACCAAACAGGATTACAGGAAAAGGATTATATTCGCCACCCGCCGCCACTGGCTATACTTTCCGTTTCCGCAACCAAACCGGATGCCAAATATATCTATATAAGTATACTTAGCTTCCTTCCATTAAGTTTGTCTTTCACCATTACTTTCCCTTTAGAGCGTCTTTCCTTTTAGGACTATCTAACGCGAACGATTATGGGACGCCAACGCCGACGCCAACGATGCGATCAGCCCGAGGGGTGCGCCAATCTGCCGCCGGAGATCCTGCTCGAGATCTTGACCCGCTGCTCGCCGGAAACGATCGCGAAATGCCGGGTCGCGTCGCGGGAGCTCAACAGCCTGAGCCACGAGCCCAGCTTCGCGCGAGCGTGGGTGGGGAAGACCACCTTCCGCCGTTTCGCCCATGGAATGTTCTGGGATCCGTTTATCTGGATATGGTTACTGTTCTGCCGTCGGAGTGATAATCACAGCTGTTCAAATTCAACCGTCGTCGATCCGCATCCGGTCCCTAATGATAACGACGTTATAATGCTTCATCATCAAGATTACCGGTCGAATGAACTTATGTGTGTATAAACAACATGGTGATGATTTTCCGTCGAGTTGTTTCTAACTAATTAATGCAATAGATTCATACTGGGAACAACGACAACGTGTATGGTTGGACACGTAATCGTAGTAAATTAATATAGTTGTTGCTTATATAGTGTGTTATACTATTTACACCTCTCAAAGTACTCGCACTAGATATTACTATCTTGGGTAATTTACATAACATTTTCCCTTGTCACGCTTTTGAATTCACTTTCCTTATGTTATGGGGAATTTTTTTCAATTTCGATCCTACTTGCTTTTCTCAAAGAGAGTGTGAAAAGCATCTACCAGGGAGGGACAAGGCTCTTGCTTAGTACAACCAGAAAGAATGCAGAGTAAGACCACGAAGAGGCTTGTTTTTCGGGGCATAAGATTACTCCAGTCGAGCAACTTCGTTTTCCTTCTTCCTTCGAGCTAAACTTTCGTCTTTCGAGCTTATATATTCTCCCCCTATCCTTTAAATCAATCCGGCGCTGAGGTTTGTAGCCACGCGCTCTAATCCTCTGAGCTAGAGACCCCACCTCGTCTCCACTATATATGTTCCGGAGTACCCAAAAAATGAACATTTCCTCTGCCCAACCATTTCATAATAATATTATTACTTCTTTCGACTTCCTAATTACACTCCAGGGATTCCACACTTGCAAGAAAACTGTTGTCCAGTATGGATTTAAGTATCGTCCTCGCCAATATTAGAGATACTAGTTCATGCATTTTGGATATTAGTTAGTATCTGCTAACGAATCTTCAAATTAGCAGATTAACTTTTTCGGTTCAACCTGGCTTCTGCTTTTATTTTTTACTATTGCAAAGAGAAATATGGTGAATTAAGGGATGTTTGCTTGTTAAATTTGAAAAATGAGGATTTTTTTTTTTTGAATTCATGATTGATTTTTTGTATTATGAATTTGAATAGCGTATTTTTTGCATGATAGATTGATGAAATAATTATGATGAATTTGTAATATATAACTAGCTATAAAAAATTTACAAATTCAAATTCAATATGTGAGATTTACAAGATCGTAATCCACAAATGTGGATCCCAAAATAAAATCAAATCCATGGAGTTTAACACTCAACAACAAACAATTGGTATGACTAAGGGGTCGTTTGCTTCAAGGATTTGGTACATGGATTTGGTACCAAAAAACCAATTATCAAGGATTTAGGTACAATTCGTTGTTTGCTTGCACCTTTTTTGGAGACCAAATCCATGGGGCCCACGGATTTTAAGGGTCCAAATCCGTGGACCCCACGGACTTATAAATCCCACATGTTGATGTGCGATTTGGAATATGGCATAAATCCTTGATGAGATTTTACTCATATAGCCTCATGCACTTTTAATATTCCAAGGTTGCCCTCAAATTTAACTATTATACATTATAATTAACAATAAATGAATAATATAAACGTTCAATTAATGTGCAAACATGAGTTAGATTTTTTATATCATTTCTTGTGTTCTAGTTTTCTTTGACCTTTTCATGGAACGTGTAATTCTTTGTTCTCCCGATTCTAATATATGTTGTTATATGTTACTTTTGAAAAGGAGGACAAAGAATTGGTAATTGATTATGTTACGTTAAAAGTTAAAACGGAATTTTCTCGTTTATTATTATTGTCCATGTGGCAACATTATGCTTATTAGTATGCATTGTCCTTGTTTTGTGTACATATCATTAACATGTCAAACATATAGAAAATGATAGTAAGGTAATTTTGAAGTTTTGTCCTTGTTTTGTGTACATATCATAAACATGTCAAACATATAGAAAAGGGCAGTAATGTAAATTTTGACTTCAAGTAGTAAATCCCACACCTTTAAATCCATGATAAAACATCCCAACAAGCAAAGGATTGTTACAAATCCATGATGCCTCAAATCCTTGATAAAATTCTTGAGTTTTTAAATTACAAAACCCTCATTTTTAAATCTACGAATCAAACAACCACTAAAATTCATGGTTCTTGAAAATTGAATCCCAAATCCACGAAACAAATCCAACATCCAAATCAACCCTAAAACAACAGCGCAGCGCAAAACTGTGGCAGGAGCAGGAGGAAGTTCTTGAATTTGAATTTCCAGACGGGAAGGCCATCCACTCACAAATGAAAGTCGGAAATTTCTGTATTATATTCAGGAGGGGAGTTGCCTGGAGGCTGGAGATGCCGTTGTCGCCACCCATCTATGGCTCTTCTTCGTCTATGGGTGTTTCGGTTGTGAAAAATTCGTCTTCGGAATAGACTCCCCAGTCAGCCGTCCTCTCTCTCCGGCCTCCGCACCTCACTCGCTATAACAGTGCGTTTGTCCCCTTCTTTTACTTTCTCTACAATTGCATCTTCTTCATTCTTCTCCTCATTGATCAACAAAGCTACCTTTCTTCTGCTTCGGGTGTTCTCCTCTCTTCTACCTATTCCCCTCTACATTCTGTGACACAATTAGCCCTTTTGCGTCCTGTAACTTGAGCTGCAACACTAGCGGGGGTATTCTTTTCGGCTGCCGGCCACCTGATTTCTGTTGCGGGGCTGTTTTTGGCTTCTGGGTTTTACTTCACTCCGGCAGCCTTCCTTTCATGCCTGTTTGTTTTGGAATCTGCTACTTGGGTTCGGGTCGCATTCTGTGTTTTTGGTCCAATAATTATCTGGGTGTTTCTTAAACCCTTCCTCCTTGTCAGCTGGCTGTGTTTCTCAGCAGCCATTTGATCTTTTCTCCAGATCATGGCCTATGTGAGGCATCACTTGATTCTGGGGTCCATGAGTCTCTCCAGTTGGTCCTGATCCGCCGAGGAAAAGAAAAAGATCCAACTTTCGATAAACCCTCCTGCTGGTTTCGATTCAACAATGAATTCGCCTTCCCCAATCATGTTCGACAGCTCCTTGAACAATGAAATCACTCCGAGTTCCAACTCGAGGAGAAGCGCTTCTGCGCATCATTCCCGGACTTCTCGAGCGGGTTCCACTGGGGAAGTTGCTTTCAGTGATTTAGGGTCTAAGCCTGTGTTGTATGGATCCAGGAGGGCGGATTCAGAGGTGTATTGTATGTCTCAGAAAGAGATCAATGAAGAAGATGCTAGGTTTGTCTATATTAACAATCCTGTAAGCACGAATGATAAATTCGAGTTTGCTAGGAACTCCATTAGGACTGCAAAGTACTCTGTTATTTCTTTCTTGCCTAGAAATTTGTTTAAACAGTTCCATAGAGTTGCATACATTTATTTCCTTATCATAGCTGTCCTGAATCAGTTGCCCCAGCTCGCCGTTTTTGGGCGTGGAGCTTCCATTTTGCCCCTTGCTTCCGTGCTGCTAGTTACAGCAGTTAAGGATGCTTATGAGGATTGGAGAAGGCATAGGGCAGATAAGATTGAGAACAATAGATTGGCGTGGGTTTTGGTGGATGGTCAGTTCCAACAAAAGAGTTGGAAGGATATTCAGGTTGGCGAAATAATCAAGGTGGAAGCCAATGATACTCTACCTTGTGATATGGTCTTGCTCTCCACCAGTGACCCTACAGGGGTTGCTTATGTGCAGACCATCAACTTGGATGGAGAGTCAAATTTGAAGACACGGTATGCAAAGCAAGAGACCCTCTCAAAGAATCCTGAGACTGGAAGGTTTACTGGGTTGATCAAGTGTGAGAAACCTAATAGGAATATCTATGGATTCCATGGGAACATGGAGATTGATGGGAAGCGCCTGTCACTTGGACCTTCCAATATTATCCTTCGGGGCTGTGACCTGAAGAATACGGCTTCAATTCTTGGGGTTGCTGTGTATTGTGGAGCTGAGACCAAAGCTATGCTGAATAGCTCAGGAGCCCCTTCGAAAAGAAGCAGGCTTGAGACTCGCATGAACTTGGAAATCACCATACTTTCTCTGTTTCTTGTTGCCTTATGTACAGTTGTATCTGTATGTGCTGCTGTATGGTTGATGCGGCACAGAGATGAGTTAGACACCATGCCTTTTTATAGGAGAAAGGATTACAATGAAGATGAGCCAAAGAACTATAACTATTATGGATGGGGAATGGAGATATTCTTCACATTCCTGATGGCTGTAATTGTGTTCCAGATCATGATTCCTATTTCTTTGTACATTTCTATGGAGCTTGTTCGGGTTGGTCAGGCTTATTTCATGATCCGAGATGCCCAGATGTATGATGAGGCATCAAATTCAAGATTTCAGTGCCGGGCTTTGAATATAAATGAAGATTTAGGGCAGATAAAGTATGTGTTCTCTGACAAAACCGGGACACTCACTGAGAACAAGATGGAGTTCCAGTGTGCAAGCATATGGGGAGTAGATTACAGCGGTAGGAAGGTTACCTCTGGTGATGAACAAGCAGGACACTCTGTTCAAGGTAAAAAAAATTATTGCTGCCAGTAGTCTTTAACAATCTATTCCCAGTCTGGCCTTTCAGTCTTTCTTATGTGTCTGATTTCCTTGTGTTCTCTTGTTGTGATGCAGTAGGTGAGGCAACTGTGAGTCCAAAGATGAGGGTGAAAGTTGATCCTAAGCTTCTACAAGCTTTAAGAGGCGGAAAGATGTCAGAGGATTTTGAACATATCCGTGATTTTTTCCTTGCTTTAGCAGCTTGTAATACAATCGTGCCTCTCATTGTTGACACATCTGATCCCAATGTTAAGCTGATGGATTACCAAGGGGAATCTCCTGATGAACAAGCTCTGGCTTATGCTGCTGCTGCATATGGTTTTATGCTTATAGAACGAACTTCCGGCCATATAGTGATTGATGTTTTGGGTCAAAGGCAAAGGTGCTCATTTCTTCGTCTTGATTTAATTGATCTCTCCTACCTTTGTTTCCCCCTTGACTCTGCCCAAGTATATTCTCCCATTATGTTCTCCCATGCTGTCATCACAATGTTTTCTTTCATCAATCTTTCTATCTCCACTATGTTATTATAACACACACTGCCAGTCTGGGTTAGATGCAGTGAAAATATTACTTTGCATATTCTGATAACATTAACTGTTACATTGAACATGACATTTGGCACTTGAATCTTTCAGTGTATTTTCAGTGCTTGCTCTGCCCATCCATTTATGTGCACAATCCCTGTACTAATTACCCTTTTCTGCTTTCCCAACACATTTCTGTCAAAGAATTTCTTTGTATACTGTTGTGTCCCCAGTCCTCTTATTGCTCATTACCGTTATTGCAGGTTCAATGTTTTGGGTTTGCATGAGTTTGACAGTGATAGGAAGAGGATGTCTGTCATATTAGGCTTCCCTGACAAGTCTGTCAAAATCTTTGTAAAGGGTGCTGATACATCCATGTTCACTGTCATCGATAAAGCTTCAAGCATGGGCATAATCCGTGCAACTGAAGGCCATCTTCACTCTTACTCCTCCCTTGGCCTGAGAACACTTGTCGTTGGGATGCGTGAATTGAGTGATTCAGAATTTGAGCAGTGGCACTCTTCCTTTGAGGCTGCTAGTACTGCTTTGATTGGCCGCGCTGCTTTGCTTCGGAAGGTTGCCACAAATGTTGAAAACCATCTAAGCTTGCTGGGTGCTTCTGCTATTGAAGATAAACTTCAAGAAGGTGTCCCGGAAGCTATTGAAGCGCTGAGGACTGCAGCAATTAAAGTCTGGGTTTTAACGGGGGATAAACAAGAAACCGCCATATCGATTGGCTATTCTTCAAAGCTCTTGACCAACAAAATGAAGCAGTTTATTGTCAACAGCAACTCCAAGGAGTCATGTAGAAAGAGTTTATCAGATGCCTTGCTTGTATGTAAAAAGCTCAACAATGTGTCCGAGACTCCTGATAATGAAGAAATTTCTGCATCTTCTGGAAGCTTGGTTGCTTTGATTATTGATGGAACCAGCCTTGTTTATATCCTTGATAGTGAACTTGAAGAACAGGTTTTGACATTTTAATTCACATCAATCTTTCCCCGTTCAACAATATATGTGTTTCTTCTTAACCTTGGCTAATTTAATTATTTGTTTTCTGCAGCTCTTTGAATTAGCCAGCAAATGCTCTGTGGTCCTTTGTTGTCGGGTGGCTCCATTGCAAAAGGCTGGAATTGTTGCCCTTGTGAAGAATAGGACAGCTGACATGACCCTTTCCATTGGGGACGGTGAGTCTTTGCTAAAATGCTTTCAGGAGGGAATACTTTGTGGCATATATGCTATTGGTTTCATTGCTTATTTGAGCTAACATGGGAAGTTGTTGGTGGGTTTTAACAGGTGCAAATGATGTTTCAATGATCCAAATGGCTGATGTAGGAGTTGGAATCAGTGGGCAGGAGGGTCGGCAAGCTGTAATGGCATCTGATTTTTCCATGGGGCAGTTCAGATTCTTAGTTCCACTTCTGTTGGTCCACGGACATTGGAATTACCAGCGAATGGGTTACATGATAATTTACAACTTCTACAGGAATGCGATTTTTGTTCTCGTCTTGTTTTGGTAAGTCAAATATGAGGAACGTTCAGTTGTTTTCTTCGTAGCGACTTAGTTTAGTTGTTTGAATTTGAAGAGTTGTTTAAGATGGCTGGCCTTGGCGTTTACCTTTTTTCGAAAAATGAGAAAACCCCCGAGTAATTGGTTCAGGTTCATTTACAAACAATATAAAAATTTGTGCTTTTTAAGTACCTTTATGCTGTAGCTGCTATCTACTTTCCTAATGGTATGCGGATAGTCCTGCTGAATTGCTCATCGTATGTAGCAAGTGCCAAATGGATTGCGTAATATTCTCAGTTGTGAAAGCTTGAACTGAATATATAAGAAAAAAATCTGGTCATATGTAGTGCTCGTGGTTTTAAAATTGGACTGCTGAATACGGTTTGCCTCTGATCACATATGGCCAGATTTAGATGGCAAAAAGAATCATGTCCTTGCCAACATAGGTTAATTGGGTGAGTCCTTCTAGTTGTGCATAGTATACGAATGTGAAGGCATCTCGTGTTAGGATGCGACTTGTTCCACAGGGTGTTAAAAGTAACATGCAAGGGTTCAAAGCTGAATAATATATATATATAGTTCTTGGCACTTGATGTCACTGAAATTCTTGTTTTGCAGGTATGTGCCCTTCACCGCTTTCACTTTGACGACTGCTATTAACGAGTGGAACAGCGTGCTGTATTCGGTAATTTATACAGCAGTGCCAACGGTCATTGTTGGTGTTCTTGACAAGGACTTGAGACGGAAAACTCTGCTCAAGTATCCTCAGCTATACGGAGCTGGGCAAAGACGAGAAAATTACAACTCGAAGTTGTTCTGGCTGACGATGATCGACACCCTGTGGCAAAGCGTGGTCGTTTTCTTCGGGCCTTTCTTTGCCTACCGGATTAGCAGCATCGATGCAGCGAGCATAGGGGATCTCTGGACGCTGGCAGTCGTCATATTGGTCAATCTTCATCTGGCAATGGACATCAACCGGTGGAATTGGCTCATGCATGCAGCAATATGGGGATCCATTTTGGCAACTTTCGTCTCTATAATGGTCATTGATGCCATACCCATTTTACCTGGTTACTGGTACTGCACCTTCTTTATGGTTTAATGCATATATGTTCCAACCTCCATTTGTGAATCCATAGAAACTGATGGTTGCAAGCTCCTTTTCTAAATTTGCAGGGCCATTTTTCAATCTGCAAAGACTGGGTTGTTTTGGCTTTGCTTGCTTGGTGTGGTTGTAGCCGCACTAATTCCACGCTTTGTTGTAAAAGTACTGTATCAACACTGCTCACCATGCGACATCCAAATCGCGAAGGAGGCGGAGAAGCTCAAACCATTAAGCAGAGGTGTTGCTGGATCTGTAGGAGTAGAAATGAGTGCCATCTTGGATCCTCAAAGGAGATGATGACGACATGGTAATATATCATTCTTCTCCTGTATCTTCTTTTTTTCTTCTGTAAAAATTACCTTTATTGTTTAGATCGTAAATAAAAACACAGGGACGGAATAGTATTTAGAGGAGATAAAAATGATCTTGTCAAAGAAGAGAAAAGGAACAAGAAATGCCAACCCTCACCAACGTGGGATTTGAGAGAGTGACCATGCAAACACGGTTCATATAATCACATATCCCAATTAATGTTGAAATTTCATAATCATGCATGGCTGATTGAGACATGTGAAAGGAGCAAATTGAAAACCATAATTAAGGACGCTAGTTAATGTTTAACGGGTCCACCCGATTCAGTTTCGCTCTCTCGAGTTGATAGGGGCAATATGGAGTCGCTATCAAGCGGTTAATCAATATTGAGCAAACACAATTCAAAGTGCGTGGAGCGGATTCACGTTTGATACTTTGCATAAACTATGAACGCAACAAATATTCGACTACGAGAATGAATTGTATAAACTATTAACGCAACAAACATTCAACTACGAGAATGAAGTTCATATAACTGGGAATTGAAGAGACCAACCATCACACTGCAACCTTGCTATTTGATTTACTATATATAGCCTCGCGCTATAACTTGTGTACATTATACCCATTTTGGTAATTTCCTCTTTAACTTCCTGTTTATAGAGAAAAAACCATGAAAATAGTCTACACATTATAAACAAGTTATAGGCTGCATAAACCCTAAGTTTTGGATTTTGAATTGAATTGGGCGATTAAAGAGTCATTTTGCTAATAATTATTTGGGGTTTCGAAATAAAGGTGTGAATTCCTTTTCTCATCTTTATAGTTTGACTCCTTTATAAAATATGAATTGCATGGTTGATTCTTGTTGTCACACTCCACTCCAACATCTTTCTTTGCTTTGCCAAATTTCTCCTTGGGTCATTGATGAATTCCTCATTTCTTTTAACAATTATTTTATTTTGAAACTTTTTCTTCCCCAAATCATGGGTATAAACAAAAAGTGCCTAGAAAACATGCCAATTCGTGGCTAAATTTTGGAGTATTAAGTTTCTTCCACGGCTACTCTATTATGGCTAAAAGATTAGCCAAATTAGTCAAAGAACACGTGGACTAACTTATAGGTCTATCACCTTCTTAATAACTCAAATAAATGAGCCATCATCCATTATAAACTAAAGAAATGGGTGGTGTAAAAATTACTAGGTAAGGTTACAAATTAATGTCAAGATTTATCGACAGTCCAGAGCTCATAGAACTTAGCAACGTCCAATATACTTCAACCTATCTACAGGCCCAAACCCAAATCTTACACAAGGTTACTTCTCATTTGCAAAGAACACGAGGAACAATGATAACCTCTTTATACCCTGGTCTCTTGATGTTTGTATCTCCAATTCGTGAATAAGAGTATCGAGAGACGGGAGAGAAATGAAAAATCTATTGAATTTTAGATATTCTCTAGATACTTTTGATAATTCATTGAAATATCATAAAAGCTATGACATTTTTTGCTGTGTACATTAATAAAATATCGGCATAAATCTTTTTCACGATAGTAATAACACAAACGTATTTTATACCCGTCTCAATAAGTAAGAAGAGAAAGAAAACGTAATATAACATACATTAGAATCAAAATCTTTGAGAAGAAAGTTTAACACCACAATCATTCAGCGGATTGGTATTAGCAACATTTTTTTTAACATGTAGAAGGGGTAAAAAAGGGGGTGTGCAACATTTTGGTCTGTACCAGACCAAACCGACACTTAGATCGAACCATAACAAACCTAATATAATATGGTGCGATCCTTGGTCCAAAAAATTTAATACATAATGAAGAATATGAATGAAATTGATATTTGAAGAAAGAAAAAATCTAATAAATCCAAACCTAATACACTATTGATGTGATTCTAAAATATTTTTCACAATTAATTACAATTCACATGAATTAGTTTCGATCCGAAACTAACCGTTGGACACCTTGATCTAAAAAATAAGAGCTCAAACAATTTTACCGCCCAGAATCTGCGAAGCCAAAAAGAGGATTGGGGCAATAACGTCCTTTGGCGTTCCCACCTCCTTTATTATTTTATTTTTATTTCATTTGGCAATCGGCAAAATCCCGGTTGACAACTCAAAGCAGAAAAAAAGCTTCAAAACCATCAGCAATCTTTTCTTCTTTCCTTCCTTCTTCTGCTGCTCATTTCCGCGGCTCTCCCGTGTCCAATCATCTCTCAATGCGCAGCAGGAGCAAGCGGCACCACGATCTCTGAATCTTTCATTTCTCAAGCAGAAAAGTCCCCCTCCAGCCCCCCCAGAAAATAGTCGAAGGAAGGGCGAAAAGTAATGCGGGTTTTCCTCACTCGGCCTTCTTGGTCGGTGCTGTTGCTGATCATACTCGCCGCCGTTCCTCTGTGGACAGTTTCCTGTGCTAGTGTTCTCCACCTGGAGAGGGCTCTGCCTCTGAACTACCCGGTTCCCCTTGAGCAACTCCGAGCTTGGGACCAAGCCAGGCACGCTCGCCTCTTGCAAGGCCTCGTTGGCGGCGTGGTCGACTTCTCAGTCCAAGGTTCCCCGGATCCATCACTCGTCGGGTAACTTCTTCTTTTCAAATGGGATTTCATTTTCGTCGACAAGTTTTTCTTGCTAGTTGTTTTGGGTTCTTTTTGGTTTGGATTGAAGAGGGAAATAGGAGTTTATTTCTGAGTTGGGGGGGGGGGGGGGGGGGGGGGGATTTGGGGTTCTTGTGAGCTCAGCTAATTTAGCTTTGTTCTGCCGGGGATTTTATGTTTCACTGAACTACTGAAGTTCCTGCTTCTTTAACGAGGGTTTTCGGTTATTGGGTGCCTCTGGAATTAGGGAAGTCTCTGTAAATTTTGGGTAGTTTTGCTCACTGTTGACCTGTGGCACTGGAGAAATCTTGTACAAGTTCTCTAGTGAATGGAAGTGAAATGAGAATTTTTGGCCATATTGTGTATTGGGCGAGAATTTCTGATGGAAGGTCTGTACATTTGTAATTTGATTTGGTGTTATATCTGTACAGTGATCACCTAATTTGGTTTTCATGGTTGCTTTGCTGTCTAGTTATTTGACTTATTCTCTTGTTCATTGCTGTCACCCATTATGGAGGTATCTATTTCAACCAGGAATCCATGGATCTCCCTAGTCCCTTCCCTTTGTGATTAACTTTGCCCTGGTTTCCTTTGTGCTCTTCCACACTGTCTAGCTTGAAATTGACATTAGAGTGTCTTTTTCCACTGCTTAATTGCAGGGCACTGATTCTTCTTTAAAACACTTGGTTTTGACAGACTTTATTTCACGAAAGTGAAACTCGGCTCTCCTCCTAGAGAGTTCAACGTGCAGATTGATACTGGCAGTGACGTATTATGGGTTAACTGTGCCTCCTGTAGTAATTGTCCACATTCTAGTGGCCTAGGGGTGAGCTCTTATTCCTATCTTCTTCCAACTTTTCGCTTCCTGTGATCTGAAAGGTGTTCTTTGCATCTCATGATTTTTCGGTATGCTGCAGATCCAGCTTAGTTTCTTCGATGCTGCGGGCTCTTCCACTAGTGGTCTGGTTCCTTGTGCAGACCCAATTTGTACTGCAGCTGCTCGAACCAGTTCTACACAGTGTTCGGACAGCGGTCAGTGTGGCTACACATTCCAGTATGGAGATGGGAGTGGAACTTCTGGTGTTTATATAACTGATACGTTCTACTTTGATTCGATTTTGTCCGGTTCAATGATTGCCAACTCGTCAGCACTTGTTGCCTTTGGGTAAGTTGTCTATTTTGGTTTGCGAATTTGGAATGTGTAGTAAACATGTATTAGCTGAAGAGATGATATCAACAGAACAATTCATGTTTGAAACCTCTATGTGATTGCACTTTCTTCTTATGGAATATATTAGGTCTATTGATTTTGATTTGTTGAAGGTAAAAGTAGTAGTAAATGTTTAAGGATTATCCTTGATTTCCTGTGCTGCTGGTTTGTGAATGCACGAGTTACTGTGGTCTTGTGTACTTCTTGCAATTCTTGCTTTCGTTTCTCATATCGAAGCTTATTTTTGTGTGTAATGGTGTTTGGCGACAGTTGTAGCACGTACCAGGGTGGTGACTTGACTAAGACGGACAAAGCGGTTGATGGAATTTTTGGATTTGGCCAAGGTGGCCTCTCGGTTATATCACAATTATCGTCTAGAGGAATAACACCTCGAGTTTTCTCTCATTGCTTGAAAGGACAGGGCAGTGGAGGTGGTATATTTGTTCTTGGAGAGATTTTGGAGCCAGGAATCATCTATACTTCACTTGTCCCATCACAGTGAGTAGTTTTTTTTTCTTCATCTAATGTTTTATACTACTTTTTTTGTTTGTAATCTTTTGCTGTAAAATTGGTAGTGGAATACAAATATTGACTTAGCTTCATCTATAAATTTCCAGGGCTCATTACAATTTATATCTACAAAGCATAGCAGTCAATGGACAGGTGTTGCCTATTGACCCAGTAGCCTTCTCAACGTCAACTGATCGAGGGACGATAGTTGACACTGGAACAACTTTGGCGTACCTTGTGGAGGAAGCTTATGATCCTTTAGTGAATGCTGTAAGTAATGCTTTCTGCCTTCGGTGGCCTTGTTTAACATTGATTCAAGACTGGATTGAATTTGTTACTGAGTTCAATTAACTTGTGACAAGTATGTTCCTACACATCATTATCGTGTCCTGGAAGGTGAATCTATAAACATACCACCCGAAACATCTGTCCGTATCTTGTATGATTCTATCAGCTGTAACCTCCTGCTAGAGAAATCTTTTTATAGTGTGCTGTTAATGAACACTGAAACCAGGAGATATGAATGGAATTTAAGGCCAAAAAATTTCAAATAAGATGAGAGGAGTGGCTTCGAAGTGCTCCCTTCACAGTAGTTATAGTATAACTTTTGTGTGAGATTGCTGTTTCTGGAGCACTTTGTTCTGTTTGCTGGAAAAGTAACAGCTTGCTGAAATTTCAGGTCAATGCTGCAGTCTCACAATCTGCGACTCCCACAATAAGTAGGGGATACCAGTGTTACCTATTCACTTCCAGTTCCAGGTTTGACCACTCTAGCATTCAAATGACTGGGGTTTTCACACTTATGTTTGCTATGAAAATGGTTAGAAGACGACTTTTTGCCACTTCCTTTTTCCTTAGCAATGTTTATTTTTCTACCTTCATATGCAGTGTATTCGATATGTTTCCACCGGTGAGCTTCAAATTTGCTGGTGGTGCTTCAATGGACTTAAGACCAGAGGAGTACCTTTCTCAGCAAGGTTCCTATGTAAGCTGTTACCAATTCCAACCTTGGCTATCTGGTTCTTCTTCCATATGTACTGAATTCACTTGTTACATCCTAACTCTTGGCCATAATTTCTTGCAGCTGGATGGTGGTGGGATGTGGTGCCTAGGTTTCCAGAAGGGTCAAGGACTAACCATTTTAGGAGGTTTGAGACTCGCGAATCTGTGTCTTTACATCATTAAGCAATGCTTTTAACAATGTTCTGATTTTGATCTGTTATCTTGTACTCCGGTCCAGATCTTGTTCTTAAAGACAAGATCTTTGTATACGATCTGGTCCGTCAGCGGATTGGATGGACCAACTACGACTGTAAGTTCGATAAATCTGATGTTCTTTCAATATCGGGATCTTCCTTTGTCATTTCCCTTTTCCTTTCCACTCTCAATCTCTGACAGCTCCTCTGTTCTCCCCACCCCTTTTCAGGCTCGACATCAGTAAATGTCTCTTTAACTTCTAGCAAGGACTTCATCAATGCAGGACAGTTGAGTAGTGTAGGTAATTCTTCTAGCGACCTGCTCTTGGAGCTGCTGCCTCTAGCCGTTGCAGCGCTCTTCTTGCACATATCAATATTGATTGGGATCAAGGTTTTGTGATATTAACATACATACGAACCGAGAAGATTAAACAACAAGAAGAAGAATGAAGAAGCATATATAATCTGTCATCTAAATTCGCCATTCTTTGCCAAGTTGTTTCCATTGGCTTGCCGAGTGGGTCTTCTTCAGATTGCAAAGGTAGGTTGTTTTGCCCTCCCTCTCTCTCTTACATATATAGTGTTCTTCCATGTCTTCTGCCCTTTGTTGATCGGTGATGGTAACTGCTGAATTAGGGCATATAATGTGATCTGTCCATCTTCTTTGTCTCTTTTCCTTTTGGGAGTGTTAGATAGGGATGGTGCCCAAGTAGAGCAATTGGCCTGAAAGTGTAAATTATGTAATGGTGTTCAATCAGGCAGCAAGGTGCTTTTTTGGTATTGTGGTTTTTGTATTAGTGGCATCATCCCCACCAATTAAAGGTGTTGTTTCGTAATCAAGGATGAAGCTTTTGTAACTACCCTTCTCTCTTCTAAACTTTCTGTAGTTAAGAGCATTTTGTCTTGAGATTACTTTCTGGAAAGCTGCCTTAGCAGCTAGTAATAGCAAGTGAATGGCTACCACTACCAGCAGATTGGGAGAATTTGGGCCTCTCTCTCATCCTGAAGCCCAAATCTAGCAAGTATAAAGCTGCTACTCCAGCCGCATTTGGTAGGATTGATTTGTGTGTTGTGAAAGTAGGATCTTATATGCGAATCTTTCAATTGTAAATTCTTCTTCAGTTCTTTGCGAGAGGATAAAATTGTTACTTGTTATTCACACCATTGCTTGTTCGGTTCTAACTTGGAGCGTGGTGGCCATTATGATTGTGGTGCATGTTATTGTATTGGAGGTTTTATTGTGTTAATTAGTAGAGCTAGAAAACGTCAATTTGATGGTGCAATCGTTAATTCGACAGGTAAAATTTTGGTATAATATCGTTTTTTAATATGAAACTAATAAACTCGACGCGATATCATATCGATAAAACTGTTAGCCACACCAGAGGTTGTCAAATTGACTTGCAGTGGTCCAATTGCATGGTCTTGTAAGCTTTCTTAGATTTTTTGTAATCTATAGTGAAAATAAGAGTTTAGTTGGTGAATAAATCAGGAAACTTATGTCGATTTCTTTTAACTATGATATCATATTTCTCGTATGGGACCCTCGTTTACTCTCGAGTCGCACCTCACTTCCGCAACATTTTCATTTTTTATTCACATGTGCCAGTTATTCGTTTTCCCTCGCGTCGTGATTTTGCCTCGTGATGTAACCCCTTCGTCTCCGAGCAAGATGTGACATCACACGTTCTGCGTTGAGTCCAAGTTTTAATTCCACCGTTGTGATGAAATTGCATAAAATATTAACCATTAAAAACATAAATTTCATTATTTATAAGTGGAAAATGTGTTGGATCCTTCACATAGAAAAATGGTTTTGAATGAATGAAATTAGAAAATTAAGTTAATATAAGATATACATAATTTCAAGTACATAATTCCTTTTTTTTAATTAGTTTCTCTTAAACCAACCTATATATCACCATAATTTGAAAAATACCTTTTCCTAAATAAAGAAAGTTGTTAACTAAATATATATTTTTATTTTTTCCTTTTTTATGAGATAATCCAATGTATTTTAAATTTCTTTTTCGGGAAAATAATGTAGGACCAAATTCATATTTGGCTCAACACATTTGAAAAACTGAATTTCATTATGTGCTTAGAATATTTTACTTTTTTTTATATATATCAACTATATTTCCAAAAAATCACATCTGACAGTTATCGTAAACAAAATAATTTATCAGAAAAATGATAAATACAAAATAAAATATACAATAGGTAAGGATATTATTGAAGTTGTTTTTTTCTTTGGTTAATCAGAAATTCCATTAAGACCTAGAGGCTGCAACCGCATAACCGCTTCTCAAAACAATACATATGGACTAATAGAGTGCCAAATCTTATAGAAACTATCAATCCTAAAACCAACAACTTACTATAAGCTATTAACACTAACAAGGGTATGACTATCTACTGAAAACATTTTTGCATTCGAGATGATTTTGTTAACAAGTTGCAATTGGTTAAATACACTCCAAGACCCAGTTGAGGACTTGAGGTAATAGACAGCTCCGAGATGGACTTCCTTTTGGTTTTGTACTTCCTTATCCATGCTACTCACTATGAGCCTGCTTCCACTAACAGATTTCAGAGGTGTCGAATTACACATGCCTAGTTCCAGGTTTTGAAGTCGTCGATACCCAGTCCTTTTTTCGTGGCTATGTAACATAAGGCCAAGCAATAGGTACACGTTTTCGAGCACCTTCAACACCAAATCCCCGCAAGAAACGATGATTATAGAGACCTTCAACTTCATTCAACACCTTCGTAGCTAGGCAGAATAAAAATGGTCATCCAATATTGGAGGACACTAGTGATAACGGAGTCGAAAAGCTGGAGTGATGTCCTGCATAGCTAAGATACCTAGCTTGTCAACTTCTGATAAGCACTCTGATCTTCTCGACGGGGACTTGACAACCCAATAAACTTAGTCGATCTGTCAGTAATTAATGGGACAGCCAAGTAACGTACTCGTAACTGCGAAATGGAAAACCAAGCTCTCGAGAAATATTCTCCTAATTTGTTGTTGATATCCCAGCACAAAACAAACTAAATTTATGCACATCGGAATGAAGCCTTGATATACTATAGAATTGATTGAGTACTCTTCCTTGCTACTCCTCTCACTGAGCCATTAGTGAATACCAAAAAATCGCCCGCAAAGCTTGGGTGTGTAATATCTAGTGCTTGCAACGAGGATGAAAATGAATTTGACACTCACTAACAACCTTAGCAAGCAAACAAGAGAAAACTTCCATTGACACAGTAAAAAGGTAGAGTGATAGTGGATCTTCCTGCCTAATTACTTATCCAACAGGGAAATACCCACACATACCTCCATTAAAAGACACACTGAACATAGGCGTAGACACACAAGGAAACCCCATGCCTCGAAGAACTTCGAACAAAAATTTCCAGCAAGCTGAATCGATAGCCTTCATCAAATCCACCTTAACAACACATCATGGTTGACAGTAGTTTTGATAGTAATCTTTCACAAGTTCCGTAGCCATTAAGATGTTTTCACTAATCAGTATACCATTCACAAACGTTAATTGAGCTACACCAATAAGTTTAGGCAATACTAAAGACAATCTATTTGCTAGTAATTTAGATATGCCTTTACATATGACATTGCAACAGGAAATCAGTCGTGTAAATTCTTGCATTCTTTCAACATTCTCAACCTTTGGGGATAAAAAGAGATAAATAAAAATAAAAATGTAGGTGTCTCAAGTCAATACTAATATTAACCTTATGTACAAAAAGTAACTTTGTACACAATTTTCTATTAGTACACGGAAAATAAAAAATATTTAATCATAATTATATTACAAAGAAACCAAAATGAAATAAATAATAATTACCAAACTCTAAAAAAGGGCGTGGTTGCTACGCGATAAAGAGGCGCGTGTGGAATATGGGAGGAAATTCGTCATCCTAATAGGAAATCTTCCAACTAACCTCCTCTAGCTCCCATGCAAAATCCACACACAGTCTCTCTCACCACACTACCCACACAACAAACAAACGAAAACTCCTCTTCCTTCCCCCTTCCCTTCGTTTTCCAATTTCCCTCCTCCACCGCCAACCGCCGCCGGCGCCGCTGCATTCTTCCCGTCGCCACCACCACCACCATTCCTTTTGCGTTCTTTCCAAATTAAAGCCTTCTCTCCTTTCCTTTTCATCAATTCAGTCATTTAATCTTCTGCCTTCTATAACTTCCCAAAAAAATAAAAAACTGCCATAAATAAGCCAAACAGAATCATAAAAAGAGACGCCAGAAAGCGAAGAAGAAGAAGCAGAAGAGAAACGCAGCTTTCCCTCTCTCTCTCTCTCTCTCTCTCCGTCCCTTTCCGTCGACTCTCCCGCTCTCAATTCGTCGCTAAACGTCACGTCACTGGCCATTCTCCCCCGCGCTCGCGATCGCTCGGCATTTCGCTGAATCCGAACGGAATCGATCGAGAAGAGGAATTTCGATCATGGCGGCCGTGCCTGCAGCGACGGTTCCGACGACGGCGCTGTACGTCGGGGACCTGCACCCCGCCGTCGACGAGGACCAGCTGAAGGCCGCGTTCTCCGAATTCGAGAGCGTCGCGTCCGTGCGCGTGTGCCGGGACTCCACCAACGGGAGGTCTCTCAGCTACGGTTACGTCAACTTCATCTCTCCGCAAGACGGTATACAATTCGGAATTGATTTTCTATTTTTTTTTTCTTCTTCTTCGTTTTGTTCATCGTGGATGGATAATGTGAATGCCTCGCTTTCATATTCATCGCTCGATTGTCTGATTCAATTCCGATGCGCACCTGAATTGTTGTCGAATCGGAATTTGCTCTGTTATCACTCTGTTTGTTTCTCGGGGAAGTGTGAAGGGAATTCGGTTCCAGGAATCGGAGTCGATTTCCGATGCAACCTTTTGATGATGTGTGACTGGTTGTTGGATTCTGATTTGGAAGAGGAGCGATTCGACGTAATAGAGATTTCGTTTTTTTAATTATTATTATCATTTTGCGGCTTAGATTTGTCCCTTTTCTCAGTAATGACTGGTTTTTCCTGCTTTGTTTATTTGTCTACTCTGTTGATCGCCTTGGAACTGCCGCAATGGTAAATAGTTACGTGGAGGAGAAGATGGTGTATGTATTTGAGGGGAAATTTGATGATGAATTTGGCTAATGCTCTGCTTGTTTGAATCTCCTATTTGCTTTTGGTGGTGGAGTGGAAGTGGTGGCAATCTGGCCTACTAGTCAACTGTAATGGGGAACAGTGTTTTCCTACTTGATATACATATTGTTGAGACAGATGGGTAGATGAAAATCCACAATTCATTACTGATTAGTGTGGCAGTGAAGATTTATGCTCTTGTGCAATTGTTCAAAACAATTGTGGATCAGTGAATGTCTTTTAAAAAAAAATTTGTAACTATTCTATGCATGAGAATTTAACAACTCCTTTTACTTTGTGTTGTTGGTCTCTGCCTGAGAAGCTATGGAAGCCCTCGACGTGATGAACCACACTCCACTGAATGGGAAAGCGATGAGGATTATGTGGTCATCCCGCGATCCTGATGCTAGAAAGAGTGGAGTGGGAAATGTGTTTGTCAAGGTAATTGTTCTACATTAGTTCGATAGTAAAGAATTCATGGTAGTGGGTTGCGAGTGTGACTGACACAAAATGTGTTTTCGCCGCCTGATGCAGAACTTGAGTGAATCTGTCACTAGTGCTGCACTGCAAGAGCTGTTTGCTCAGTACGGAAATGTTGTGTCTTGCAAAGTTGCGACGACTGATGATGGAAAGACTAAAGGCCATGGCTTTGTTCAATTTGATAACGAGGAATCTGCTCATTCTGCTATTGAAAAGCTCAATGACACCATGTTTCATGATAAGCAGATGTAAGAGGAGTTTCATTCTGTTGTTTTCTTTTCACGACATTTTCTCTGCTTACTGTTTGCTACTACTACATTTTCTCTGCTTCCTGCTTCATTGTTAGACAAACTTGGTTCCAGTTTAACTAGTGGCTACAATCTATGGTGCAGGTATGTCGCGAAGTTCATTAAGAAATGCGATCGAGCTTTGGCCAGCCCTGATGCTAAATACACTAATCTGTATGTCAAGAACTTGGAGCTAGATGTCACAGAAGAGGTTCTGCGTGAGAAATTCTCCAAGTATGGCACAGTGTCTAGCTTGGTAATTGCTAGGGATGACAATGGATCATCTAGGGGTTTTGGTTTTGTGAATTTTGATAACCCAGATGATGCCAGGAGTGCTTTGGAAGCGATGCATGGGATTGAACTTGGTACATTATGTATCCTTTGGCCATTGATTTAGCAGTACGAAATGCATTTTTTTGGTAACTGTTATGACTGGGATTCTTTGTCCTTGTTCTGTAAGCAGGATCAAAGATCCTGTATGTAGGAAGGGCACAGAAAAAAGCTGAGAGGGAGCAGATTCTGCGTCGTCAGTTTGAAGAGAAACGCAAGGAACAGATATTGAAATACAAGGTACTAATAGAAAATTTCAGGATTGAGAGGTGCTTTCAAGTCTTGAAACTCCCTTCATGTCGCTCTTGTGACCCCTAGACCAACACCTAGTTTAAATTCTCTAATGTGTAAAACTAGATTTAATCCAAAATTATAGGGCTCACATGGATTTAAAATAAGCCCGTTCCAATCACCTTGATGCTAGCATTTTTTTTGTCACTCTGTAACTAGGATATGGCTATATGCCCATAGAAACAGATTGACAACCAGTGCCATTGTTAAGCCAACCTGTGAATTCCTTTTCCTGTCATAAATGCAGGGTTCAAATGTGTATGTTAAGAACATAGACGACGATGTCACTGATGAAGAACTGAGAGAGCACTTCAGCCAATGTGGCACAATCACTTCCGCAAAGCTTATGAGAGATGAGAAAGGAGTGAGTAAGGGATTTGGCTTTGTCTGCTTCTCCACTCCTGAGGAGGCAAACAAAGCGGTGAATACATTTCAAGGTAAGTTGACGATCTTTCTTCTACATGCGAGATTCTTATAGAGATAATCTGCTAAGTATTATGGTTACACCTTTGAGCTATCTTTGTGTGGGAAAACATGGATGCTTCTTATGAATCTGATAATTTAGAAAATAGTGTGGAGAATTCTGTTGAACATGAACCTGGAGCTTAGCTTCCCATAACTTGAAACTTGGACAAACATGGGGTTTTATAATTCTCAACTGAAGTTTGCCTGTTATATTTCTGTTACATTGATGTCCCTAGCCGGTCTGGTGCTTTGGAAGTTGATGTCTTTTAGTAGCTGTTATATGTGCGATCTTTCATGTCCACAGGGTGCATGTTTCACCGAAAGCCATTGTATGTAGCTATTGCTCAAAGGAAGGAGGATAGACAAATACAATTACAGATGCAGTATGCACAACGCATGGTTGGGCTACCTGGACCTTCTACTGCTGTCATGCCCGGTGGATATCATCCGCTTTACTATACTGCTCCACCCGGGCTCGTTTCACAAGTCCCTCCAAGGCCTGGACTTATGTACCAGCCTATGGGTATTAGGCCTGGATGGAGGCCTAATGCCTTTGTTCCTCCAACCAGACCAACTTATCAACCAGGCCAGCTTCCCATGGTTTGTTCTCTTTGATTTGTTTTGTCGTGTGTTTCGACTTATTACTTTGTCATTATCCCTTATTCTGTTTCTTCCTGCTTTTTCTGCAGATGCCTAATGCTCAAAGGCAGCCAAGGCAAAACAGGGTTAGGATGAATGGTAACATGCTTCCTCCTCAAGGCATTGCCAACTCTGCTTCCTATTTGCAACCTGGGTCTCCACCTCTGCCTTCACCGAAAGATCAAAACAACCAGGTCATTCTCTTTCCTATCTCCAGCAGTAGCATAATACTACAAACTCTTTCTGACTGTGAACTTGAGTCTGTACAGTAGTAATTCAATCTTGCATTTCCTCCAGAACCTAATCTGTATCAGCCATCTGTGATTTCATACAGCGGGCTGCCCCAGTAAAGTACGTCCCAAATGGTCGCTCACGCGAATCAAGCAAGTCTCCTGGAGTCTCGTCGGCTGCTCCAAACTCTTCTGGGCCTGCGTCACAAGGATCAGAAATGCTGAGCACCATGCTTGCTTCTTCTACCCCTGAGGAGCAGAAGCAGATTCTAGGAGAGCATCTTTACCCTCTTGTCCAGAAGCACAAGGTAATTCTTTCTTTCTATTCTTCAATCCCTCCTAGAACTCATTGACTCTTTACAACGTTTTCGATTTGACCATACTGATATCTTTGCAACGTTTCACCGTTGTCTTAACATATGAGCAGACTAAATTTCTTCATTCAACACCAATTACTTTTCATGAACGGTTATATTGTAACTCCACATTATACATCCAACGCTGTTTGGACTAGTTTGGCCGACAATGTTCAACAGATGCAGTTCACATATATTTTCTTGTGAATCAAGTCACCATTAACATATGAGAAGATTAGTTTCCTTCATTATGCACCATTAGACATTTTGAATTGTTTTGACTGTGCATGATATGTGACAAATGCATGCTTAGTGTCCATCTTTGAACCATCAAAGCTCTAACCAACGAGGGACTTAAATCATCTGCTCTTGCGTGTAGCCTGATCTCGTGGCAAAGATCACCGGAATGCTGCTGGAGATGGACAATGCGGAGCTGCTTCTGCTACTGGAATCTCCAGAATCTCTGGCCGCCAAGGTGGAGGAAGCTGTGCAGGTGCTCAAGCTGTCCAAGAACAAAGTCCCCGGCGGTGGCCAGGATAACATGCATTCCGGCTACCATCTCTCCGCCGAGGTTGCTGTCAACTGATACAAAAGAGGATGACCTTTACTCTGCCAATATACTCGGTGAGGATATAGAGCACCAAAGTTTTGATACTCAGGCGCCTTGTGGATCCGCGAAATCTTTCCCTTTTCTTTTTGTTTCTTCTTCAAGTTCTGGATTTACCTTAGTGAGGGGAGACTTCAGGTTTTTACCATTTTCTGTTTGCTGGATTTTTGGTACATTGGTAGCTTTCTTTGATTAGTCATCTGGAGACAGAACTCTCTTATTTTTTTTCAGTAATAGCATGGACGAGGATTTTGGACAACTTCTGCATTTTTCTTTTCCATTTATTTTAGTTTTTATACTTGGTCTGGCTGCTTATGGGTTTTCCTTATTTTTTCCCAAGTGTAGGTAATAATAGGTTACTGAATTGTGATTACTTCTACTTTCTGTGCATATATGAATTATGATAAATCTCATAGGTAATAAATAACTTTTCATATTAACCAAAAGCAAGTTATGTTTTCCACTTGACCTAAAACTTCTTTTTTCTTCTTCTAAGCAATGTGAATGTGTAACATAAACAAAGCTTACACATAATGATACTTCAGAAATATTCTTAGTATGACGAAAAATATCGGTTAGGAAGGTCGGACAGAAGAAAAATAAAAAGAAATTTGATAGCTCAGATCTAGTTAACAAATAGTGGTTAATTTCATTTCCCCCCTTCCATAAAGAAAATGTCAAAACTTCTCTTCAAACATTAGACCAAGATATGTGAAATTTAGCCAAAATGAACAAGTGAAAGTTTGATAAATCTCGATTGATTGCATATAATGAGGTTAACATTCATCTTGCGAATTCTAAGTTTAAGATAAAAAAAATTAAAGACTAGCAAACCTCGACAAAAGATGGAGATTAATGCTGGTCGATCAAGAATGGAATATATCTGATGTATAATAATCACTCAATAAATAACTTGGATTAAGAATTTTTTGTTGAGGATAGAATATTTTGATTGAGAAATAATTTGTGAACCAAATATCTTAAACAAGAGATTGTAAATATTATTTGAAATGAATTAATCTATGAACCAATATCTTAAATAAGAGATTGTAAATATTTTTTTTGAAATTAATTATACAACAATATAAACCTAAACCATATAAAAAAAGATACTTGCTAGATGGACCGGGTACAAATCCCCGCCCGCAAGTTAAAACCAAATCAGGTACTTCTGGCCTCTGGGCTTCTGCTTAAAATCTAAGCGGCGGGTCACAGTTTCACCGCCTATAAGAAGTCGTTTGACTTGATTCGGAGATTAGAAAAAAGATTTAGCGGTTAAGTTGCAGCTCTCCGGCAGCTCTCACTCTTTTCTCCTCCATCCTTCATCGGCCCTCCAACGTTCGATCTTGCTGCGATAATGTCGGAAAATATATCCCCGCCGGAGGTGAAGAGGTCCTGGGGGGACGAGGCAGAGGATGAGGACAAGCTTCCGCCGCCGCCGCCCCCGATCGGCGAGGGGCCGTCGAAATCCGACGTCTCCGAGCTCGAGATCGAGACGCTCAAACTGGTCGAGACCGAGAAGAAGGTCAACGAGTTCCTCGAAGAGCCCGAAGACTCCAAAATCGAAGCTGTGAGTATTTCCCGCCTTCGCTCTCTCTTTCGCGGTTGCTAAGCTCTCGAATGGGAGAGCGGAAGTAATCGAAGTTCATCTGATTCCTTCGTGTTTGTCTTTCCTGGATGTGGATGGAATAGGTGACCACAGGCGAAACTCCGTATTCGTCTGCTGCGACGTTTGAGGAGCTCAACCTCTCGCCGGAATTGTTGAAGGGTTTGTACGTGGAGATGAAGTTCGAGAAGCCTAGTAAGATTCAGGCCATTAGTCTGCCGATGATCCTGACTCCTCCGTACAAGGATTTGATAGCTCAGGCGCACAACGGTTCGGGGAAGACCACTTGCTTCGTGCTGGGAATGCTGAGTCGTGTAGATCCATCCCTAAAAGCTCCACAAGCACTATGCATATGCCCTACCAGGGAATTGTCTATTCAGGTCAGGCTCTCGTGTTTGATTTGGATCTTTTTGCTATGATTCCTGTATGCAGAATCTGTTTGAACTTGATGTCATTTGTGGATTAGCAAGAGAAAAGAGTATGACTTCCGCATCTAGTCTGGTTTGGCTCATAGTGATTGGTGCTTGCATAACATTGAAGTTCTAGAGAAGATGAATTCCTGTATGCAGTCAGTTTGAACTTGATGTCATTTGTGGATTAGCAAGAAAAAGGAGTATGAATTGCCGTATTTAGTCTGGTTTGGCTCATAGTAATTGGTACTTGCAGAACATAGAAGTTCTAGAGAAGATGGGGAAGTACACTGGGATTACATTCGAATGTGCCGTGCCTGTGGACAGTGGTAGTGAGAAGTTCAATCGGAATCCAGTGTTTGCTCAAGTTGTTATTGGCACCCCGGGAACCATCAAAAGGTGGATGTCGCAGAGAAAACTAAGCGTCCAAGAAATGAAAGTTCTCGTATTTGATGAGGCAGATCACATGCTGGCAAAGGTAACTTGGGATTTCTTGTGATATTATTTGCCTCTGTGAGATTTCCTTCCTTTTTGCCTCGAATCTGTGTTGGTTTACTTGTGATACCCCACTGTCCATTGGCTTCATTGCTGCATAATCAATGCTATGTTCTGGTTTTGTGGATTGTAAAACTCGGTATAAAAGTCGTCTTGTAGAGTGCCAAAGCATGTAACTTTCTTAGAAGAACCTTCAAGTGTCAGCAAACCACCAACTCATGGCCAGTGGTTTGAATTCCATGAATTGGTCTTTTGCAGTGCATATGTAATTGCAGTTACTCTGATTGGTCTTTTGATACACCAGTGTACTTTGGTTTCATTGCTGCATGATTGTTGCTTTGTTATGTTTTTGTAGAGTGTAGAACTGTTGGTCCCTCTTGGACGAGTATAGGATAAAAATCACCATGCAGAGTGTCCAAGTATATGACTTTCTTATAGGAACTGTCAAGTGCCAGCAAAATACTGTGTCATACTTGATCTTGGAGTTATACTTGTGGTGATCTCTAGTACTTTCGATTCCGTGAATAGGTTTTCCAGTGCATATGAAATTGCTGTTGGTCTGATTTGTTCTCAAGTTTTCTGGGGTTCTTACTGTTTAATTCATGCAGGATGGCTTTCAAGACGACTCCCTCAGGATCATAAGGGACATCCGGAAAGCCCAACGGAATGCTCAGGTTTGTTGTTATACTTCATGAAGTTATTCTCTTTAAGTTTTATGGGTGATTGAAATGTAGCCATTGACTTCTAACCGGTACTAATTTGCATTTGCAGGTTCTTCTTTTCTCTGCTACCTTTGACGAAAATGTGAAGAATTTCGTCTCTAAGGTTGTCCACGACTACAATCAACTATTTGTCAAAAAAGAAGAACTGTCGTTGGAGTCTGTTAAGCAGTACAAGGTGTTCTGCCCTGATGAGCAGATCAAGATTCGGGTGATAAAGGACAGAATCCTCGAACTCGGTGAGAAGCTTGGGCAGATCATTATCTTCGTGAATTCAAAGAAATGTGCTAGCATGTTGCACACTGCTCTTGTCGAACTCGGTTACGAAGTTACAACGATACACGGTGCTCTTAATCATGAAGACCGTGACAAGATTGTCAAGGAGTTCAAAGACAATCTGACGAAAGTTCTCATTTCGACCGATGTGCTCGCTCGAGGATTTGATCAGCAACGGGTATGTTGTATCATGGAGGTTTAAATGTGAATGCTGAATTTGGAAAAAGATTAAAGCGCTTACTAATTTTTCCTTTTGCAGGTTAATTTGGTTATAAACTTCGACCTGCCTGTCAAGTATGATAATAACGAGCAGCCTCAAGATCGTAGAGTTCCACGAGAGCCTCATTTCGAGGTCTACCTGCACAGAATCGGTAGGGCTGGGCGTTTTGGAAGGAAAGGTGAGTTGCCTTCAGTGTTGTTAGCGTTCTTCAATCTTTACCTTTTTAAAACCCAATATGATTCTAATTGCTTGTTGATATGACATGCAGGAGCCGTGTTCAACCTCATCATGACTGACGCAGATCGGGTGCTGATGGAGAAGATCGAGCGGTACTTCGATAGCCCCGTCACTGAGGTAAAGATGATCCCATTCTTTATCTTTAAGAATTAAAAACCGGCATAGTTGCAGAAACACTTTGTGATTCCGTGTTATATAGCTGTTTCGTATCTAAACTGTTTTCCTGTGCATTGTGTTCTTAGGTCCCATCTTGGAGGAGCGAAGAAGACTTCGCGGTGGCTCTCAAGTCTGCCGGTTTGTTGTGATACTGCCGTAGTGATGGGGTTGAGTGTTTTCTTCTGTAGCCATTTCGTGGTCTTTTCTCTCTATTGGTTATAGTGGTTTCGATTGTGTTCGTTGAAACCCTGTAAAATCAGTTTTGATTCAGTACATTGTGCAACATGAACTTCAGTTTAGAAATCAATGAATTTGTTGCATCAGCTACAGACGTTGAATCTCGTCTGTTCTATTACCTTGGTATATTTATTATTGTTGCCTGGCGTCGTGGTTTAGTAATGCTCATCCACTACCTGTGTTAATTTTATATATAAATGCAAAGCAATGAATCCCTACATGTCTCAAAAACTTCTCTCAATTTGGGAAAAGAAAGACAGCAAAGAAGAGAGGAATGGCTGCTACTACTTCCTCCATCTTTGCAGCTACAGTCCTGATCTTGTTCGCGGTAACTTCCGCAGCGGCGAATTGGGACGAGGAAGCTCCCACGTCGGAGCTCATCCATGTCTCCGGCAAGGTCCTCTGCCAGGACTGCCAGAAGAGCTACAAAGACTGGATCAGCGGCGAAAGACCCATCAAAGGTAAACAACGATCATTGACCCTTGCCTTCATTTCTGACCTCTGGTCGCCATTGTTGCTAGAGGTGGCAAAACACCAAATATAACCCACATTTTTTTCAGGCAGCACGGTGTCGCTGACGTGCATGGACGACCGGAAGCGGGTGCATCACTACGACAGCGACTTGACCGACGAGCGAGGGGAGTACGAGATGGTGGTGAGCAAGTACGTCAACGGGAAGCGACTGAACGAGAAACAATGCTGGGTCAGGCTGGTGAGCTCCCCTGATTCCGACTGCAACGTTCTCACCGACTTCGCCGGAGGGAAGTCCGGCGTCAGACTCAGCCAGCCCACGTCGGCGTACCGTGGCACCACCAAGTACGACGTCGGATCGTTCTACTACACGCACCCAAGGTGCGAGCGACCGGAGATTGGCGAGTCTGATGACAAATCCGGTGACGATCAGGAGTACTATCGTTACCCTGAAACCAAATACTGATATTTTTCTGTTTTAAACGTGTATTATTTCGCTATTTAGAACGACTAAATTGAAATGATTTTGTAAGCAAGACATTGATATAAACACTGAACCTTGTGCTAAAACCAATTGCTGGATCGGATCTAAATTTTTTGAGAGTTTTAATAACCTAAAATTTTTACCAAGTTTTGATCGTCTCGTTACGAAACTATAATCTAAACGAGGAAATTCAGAGTTTGGGTGCTGTAACGATGAGAATGAGAAAGTATAGGGGTGAAAATAGAACTTTTCCGTTCCGTTCCCGGAAGTTACGAGTTATGACCTCAACGAAACGGAAGGCCCATTTTACCGCCAAAAACGTGGCTGGCGCCGAATTTGACACGTGGGCAACATTGCGGCTGCCCGACATTCAAATAACTGAACCAGAGAGAACTTTTTTAATTCTGCGGTTCCAGAGAGCTCCGCTGCCAAGCTCCTGAATCTTCACCCTTTCTGGCTCGGCCGCGCCATGGCCACCGCCCGGATCCTCCGCGCTCTCTCCGCTGCCCGCTCCTCTTCATCGTCGTCGTCGGCTTGCCAAATTGGAAAATCAACGGGGGGTAATCCCACGATCATGGCTGGGCAATTCGGATCGGGGCCGAGGTGCGCGTCGTCGTTTTCGGATTCGTCGTCGTCGTCTTCTGATTCGTCGGAGCCTCGGAAGAAGCTGACGGACCGCCTATCGACGGTGATAGATGCCGTCAATGACCGTAAGCTCCCTCCGGAGCTCCGTGGCCAGCGCAATAACGTGAGGTCAGTCAGTGCCAGAGAAAACCTAGGGTTTCTTAGTTCCCAAAATGATATCAACCTTCAATTGATCTGTAGTAGCTCCAATAATTAACTGAACTGAGATTCATAATATCAAGTTGATGAATTGAGCTGAATTCAGTTCATTGTCTAACTAGAGAATCTCATCTCATTGTTCTTAGCTCTTACCATTTGGCAATGATGTAGGTCAGAGACGGATATAATCAATGTTGTTGAGCAAAGAATCTGGCATTCAATGGAGGAAGGCCAATTCGAAAACTTGCCAGGGAAAGGGAAGCCTCTGAACCTCGAAACCAACCCGCACGCCGACCCTGCTGAGGACACATTGTACAGAATCCTCTCCAAGAACGGTTGCGCTCCAGAATGGGTCGAGCTGAACAAGGAGATCAGGAGCCAAATATCCGAATGGCGGTCCGGGTTGAAGAAAGCATGGGCAAGCAAGTGCAGTGGCAATGATCCTTCCTCCAAATGGGTTGAGGTCTCTGCAGCCCTGAAAGCTCAGTTGAGAGGCATCAATGACAAGGTCAGCGGCGCTTTGCCTCTCCTCTTACAACTTCTGTTTGATTCATATTTTGGCTGCGCGATCGTGTCTTGTTTATCGAGTTCGGATTATGGTTTTGGTTGCAGGTTTTCCGGTACAACCTCATCGTCCCTTTCGGTAGGCAGATGTTTGGGCTCAAGTGGGAGAAGGAACTAGATCGCTTGAATGAACAACATTAAAGCTCTTCCATGCTCGTATCTTGTCTCTTTCGTTTCCTGTTCGTAGCAGAATGATTCCCGGCTTCTCGCATCTTCTGTAACTAAGACCAGATGGTGAATGTGCCTAAATAGTGGCAGTGGAGAGAAGATTTTCCGATGAATGTATCTCTAGTTTGTAATGGTAGGAGTAGCAAGTGTAGCACTTTCACATCCATTGAACTCAGAATTTTGGGAATCTTTGAACGGGTTATTTACATAGATTGTAACAGAAGGATTATAATGGCAAGTACCGGAAAATTCAACGTAAAAACGTGATTGAAGAAAATACATTACCTACAATGGAAGTAAACATGTTACGAAGTTTGGAGCACCTATAGTGGCATTGTAAGAATACACAAAAGAGAGCAAAGATCACAAGTATCCCTACTCAACGTCACTGCCATCAGCCCGTTGATGTCTTTGCAGCTAACTGGATGAGCGCTCGCTTGTGGTACGTGGTTCGGAGCTTCTTGTACCTCTGCACAAACGTGGGGAGATCGATCTCTCTGTCAAGAAACTGTCTGTGTAAAGCTTCGGATTCGTCCTCTGCTTTGCCCATTGCCTCTGCAAAAAGGTTTATGCAATGGGTTTTATTCAACTGGAAAAGGTTCAAAAGAGAGAGCACTGGACATAAAAAATTGTAGATAGCTATGGTAATTTGTTGGAGCTTTACCTTGAAGCTTGTGGAGGAGGGAGGCTGGAGAAGATGACCTCAGCATCTCATCTTTCTTTCTTTCGAGGTCGTTCAGTTTCTCCTGAGCAGCAGCCAGCTCAGTTGTTCGTATGATCCGGCACTGGCAGATGGATAAGGAGTTAAAAATGGCAACGGCGGAAAGGAATGAGCATATTAGATGGAAGAAAGGAAACATAAGTAGAGTATTGAGTCTGGTCTCACTTGATTTCTTAGCTCCATTATTCGAGGTTCCTTGTCCAAATTTTCTCCTGTTCATCAAAGAATGGACACTATTAGCATTCCCCAGGTTCATTAGGAAGTCAGAAGAGAATTGTTGCGAGAGATTCAGGCCACTCACTTGCAAGCTGCAAGGTCTCCTTGCGAAGTTCATCTCGTATCTAATCAGTTCAGGAGAAATTGTTAGAGAGGAGGAAAAGAACTGTAAGATTATGAACAATATGGTAAGATGTAACTGAAAGATCCAGTCTTCGTTAATTCATGCAATATCATAAGCTTATACTTGACCTTTGCCAAGTTGGTACTTCATTTTTGGATCACAGTGAAGCAAGATTAGAAAATAGGCCATTTTGCTTTATATGGCATGAGCAGAAGTTCAATATAGAATCATAGATGACAACCCATTGCACAACAGCATTTCACTAAAGAAACCAGGAAGGAGAGTATGCAGTAGCGACTTACATTGTTCTGGATTTTGACCTGATCAAGTGAAAACAGAAATTGGTTGTATGCATCCTTGTCGGAGAGTAGCTTCCTTAAATCATCAGCACTGCATGAACGCCATAACCAAAACATTTATATGCTTAGACGCTAATAAGCAACTGGAGACAGACGAAGAGCGTAGACAAGCACTAGCATAACGCCATAACCAAAAGTCCCCAAATGGATCAATCAATATCAAATTCATACACTTACAACGAATGATTCCGAGTAAACAAATGAAAATCTGGAGCATGATAGTCAGCAGAATGCTAAAGCAAATACATAGGACGTGCACAACGACACCTGATAGATCACCAGTAGAACCAACTACTGGCTCTTCCTTGAAGATCCACCACAGACTCGTAATATGAAATTTCCAAAGAGTTTACAAAGAATGCAAGAAAAACTAACCTTTTATCCTTCAAAAGAGAGATAACACCTGCAGCTTCAGTTGGCGACACATTCAACGCTGGAGAATCCGACGGCCTATTCATTCCAAATCCACTAGAAGAGCTACTACCACTCGGTGTCCCAGGGCGAGAAGAACCCAGCGAAGATCCCACTACAGATGGAGGGTACCAAGACTGAGAATCTCCCTGCGGCCGTGGCTGCTGAGCATCCTGCTCCTGAGAGCCCCTGCATCAAAAACGTCCAGAACATAAGCACAACGCAACAATTCACCTACAGAGAAATCCAACAAAGCTAAAAAGATATCCAAAGAGAAAGAGAAGCACTTTACGAATGCCAACTTCGCAAAACTCTCCCAACTACAAAACCCAGAAGCTGAATTCAATCGCTGATCAGTTCTCATTCAAGCCAAGCCAATCAGGTAAATTTTCGAGGACCAAATGAGCAAAGTATCCCTACCGCTCTACCGCCCTGCCCCCTAGCTCCAAACAGCTAATCGATCTCCTAAGTCCTAATCAATACTAAGGCTTCACAATCCAACCGACTTCGAATTCCCCAAATTGAGCAAGTTGCAAGCTAATCGAAAGCGCGATTGAAGAAGATAAAAATCGAGATGAATTACCAGAATTTGAACATGGCTTCCGGAAACAAGCCTCCCCCCAGATCGTCCGACGGTAACGCAAATAAAGAAACTTCAAACGAGAGCTTCTTCGAATTTTGGCGCAGTTCAGGAGCGGAATATGATTTCTTTTGTTTCCGCGTGTTTTTATGCTGTCGTTCTTCTTCTTCTTCTTCTTCTTCGAGGGCCGAATTTAGCAAAGGTCAATAGATTGCAAAAAAGTCAATAAATCGTGTACATATCTTCATATCGCGAGATCAGGTTAATTTTACGTTTTGCCCGTTTCTCAATTCCGAAACGTCGCCGGGTTTTAGTTTTCTGGGCCTTTAATATCGATCTCGACCTTCGAATATAAATACAATACCATGGTACGCCAATCGCCCTAACCTTGTAGAACAACAACCCTAAACTAACTGCAGCGATTTGATGATCAACCAACGAATCCCAGAAGAGCTGATCATCGAGATCCTGTGGAGGCTTCCCACCGGCGGCGAGTGTATTGGCCGACTCCGATGCGTCTGCAAATCATGGCGCGCTATCCTCTCAGATCCCTCTTTCATCCTGCGACAGCAGAAATCAGCCGATTCCCGTCATCTCCAAATCATGCTCAACTTCCGGGACGAAAACGGCAGATCGGTTTACAGTTTTCACTCTGCCGACACACTCGAACCCCTGCTTCCGGCGGCTTCCCCTGTCCAGCTCCTACCCTTCAATCCAGAAAATCCCCTTAAAGATGATTATCACTATCACGATCGGGTTATAGAAGTCGCTGGATACTGCAACGGCCTGATCTGCATATCCGACGGCGACTATGATCTGATCCTTTGGAATCCGGCGACCTCCGAGACCAAGGTTCTCTCTCTACCTCGCAATCGCCGTTATCGCGCTGAACTTCACGCCGTTGGGTTCGGTTTCGATTCGAAATCGAACGACTACAAAATCGTCAGGCAATTGGACTACAGCGACGGTTCTTGGGGATACAATTACACCGCGGAGGTCTACAGCTTGAGGACTGATTCATGGACAAAGATAGCTGATCGCGAGGACGGCTACAACCCGGTCCTCCCCAGTCGCCGAATTACACAACTTCATAAGGGGAAGTTGTATTGGATGATGGGGCACGGAGAGGGTTTACTATTCGATTCGTTTGACCTGAGCAGCCACGAGTTTCGTACAGTGGATTTGCCTCGTCCTTCTTCTCAGGATGTGTACATTCAAAGGGAATGTTCATGTTTGTTGAACGAGGAGTCTATGGTTGCTTTCTTTCCCCTTTACGACGACGATGATAAGATGAGGCGGAAAAATCCCAGGTCTTGGGAGATGTGGGTGCTCCTGAAGTACTGGGTATCGGAGTCATGGACCAAAGTACAGGTCATTGCGAGCGGTGCTTTGGCGGCGACCATACCTTATTCCATCGGGATTTCGAGCAATTTGAAGTGCTTGGTCATGGTGATTTGTGATGGCACTTCAACGACAAAATGCTATGATACTTATCGCTTTGGTGAGAACGACATATCTTGTATGGTCTTTCATTCGGAGAAAGGGAAATTCGGCGATCTTGAAATCAAGGCGAGGAACATTCCACTGATGATTAATTATGTGCCTTCTGAAGTTCGTATTCGGGATTATTAGGTTGCAGAGGTAGAATGTGTTTTGCTAAATGGTTGATTTGCATTGTCTGAAATATTATTTCCACTTTGGATTTTTTTATCAAATTTTGAATTCTAGCTGAATTTTTGGTGGGTATGAAAATGGTTACCACAAAAGCTCAAAACATAACAAAAGGTTGTATGCATAGCATGATATAACAAAGAGTAATATCATGTCTTTTTAGTCATATTTCCCTCCAAAATAATCAATTTGTTTGTTGACACACTGCAGAATTAATAACAAATTATCAAACACCTAGCCAACCGTAAAATTACCTCTTGTCCAGAGCAAGCAAACTGGCCATTTTGTATGAATATTCGTTTGACATGAGCAGCCACGAGATTTGAAACCTGGATCTACCTCGTCCTTGTGAGAATGTGAATATTAGAAGGGAATGTTCGTGTTTGTTGAACGAGAAGTCGATGGTCGTCTTCTTTCCCCTTTTATTATGGTGATGCTGCCGATGGATATCCCACGTCCTGGGAGATATGGGTGTTGTTGAAGTACTGGGTACCAGAGTCTTGGACTAGAGTACAGGTCATCGCGAGCCGTCCTTTTGCAATGACCATCCCTTATTCCATCGGGATTTCGAGTAATTTGAAGTGTTTGTTCGTAATGTTTTGTGATGGTACTTCAATGAGAAAACGCTACAAATACTATCACTTCGATGACAATTATGTATCTCTCATGGCCTTTCATTCGGAGACAGGGAAATTCAGCGATGTAGAAATGCAGGGGACGGGAATCCCAATCATGATTAATAAAATGCCCTCTAAAGTTCGTATTCGGAATTATTAGGTTGTGGAGAAATTTTACAATGCTATATAGTATTGGTGCTATAGGTGTTTGCCTTTATGGTACAACTTAAAATTGTACATTTACGTTATGGTACAACTTCATATTGTACCTATACTTTTGGTACAAATTCTTTTATGGTACAATTTGAACTTGTACATTTATGTGATGGTACAACTTCAAGTTGTAAAGTTGTACCATAACACAATGGTGCAAATTGCTTTATGGTACAACCTAAACTTATACATTTAATATTATGGTACAACTTTAAGTTGTACATTAAAGCACCAATACTATATAGCATAGTAGAAGTGCTCTTGGTGCTATAGGTTTTGGCCTTTATGGTACAACTTAAAATTGTACATTTACGTTATGGTACAACTTCATATTGTACCTATACTTTTGGTACAAATTATTTTATGGTACAATTTAAACTTGTACCTTTATATGACGGTACAACTTCACGTTGTAAAGTTGTACTATAACATAATGGTACAAATTGCTTTATGATACAACCTAAACCTATATATTTAATATTATAGTACAACTTTAAGTTGTACGTTAAAACACCAATATTATATAACATAGTAGAAGTGCTCTAGGTTGTGAGGTAGAATGTGTTTTTGCCTAAATGGATGATTTACATTGTTGGCCTATTTTTTCCAACTAGCATTAGGCTGGCTTGTTGGCTGGGAGAGTTTGATAATTATGCTCTATCATATGTATTGGTGAAGCAACTGATGTCTGTCTAGCTCGGTAGTTGGCCACGAACTATCTTGCCAAGTAGTCCAACTATATATAATATGTTTACGATGTAATTAAAAATGACAAATATAGATATAATGTTATTTCTATATTTGTATTCACAAAGTGTTGGCTACTTATAACAATCCATGTAGGTGAACATTCATTGGAGTTGCTTCATATGAAACAGGCGCAATCAAGCTTCACCATGAAAGAAAATGATTCTTCTTTTATGGAGATTAGTATGTCCTTGGAAGGAGGCTCGATCAATATAATTAGGGCTGGAAGTTTAGTACTGATATTTGGGATATAGCGAATACCGTACCGAATTTTTCTATATTTGGTATTACCGAATACACGTATTATTTCCTGGGATTGGGATTGAGATTGAATTTCAATTGTTATTCGGTATTAGGGATTACGGGATTGGGATCGGTATATACCGAAATACCTATCAATACCAAAATATAAGCTAGTTCGTATTTTATCCTCTCAACTAGACTCTCTCAGTCACTACTACACGACCGTCACCACCAAGAGTGTCATTTAATTATACATAGATCATTTCATCATTATTAATAGTCGTCTCTCTACCTCCAATTCGTCAAATTAATGATTACCAATGACAAGAACTTGAGATATCTCCTCTCCTCCATTCTCCTTAATAATATCCTAATTCAGGACTCTTTGCTTAGTCTTTTTCCCCTAAATTAAACAATAAAATCTCATTTATATACTTAATTATTAATTGCAAAGGTAATTAATTTTGTATTCGATAATACCGATTGGGATACCGGAATATTTAGGGATTGGGATTGGGATTGACTTTAGGAGGTAATTCGGTATTCGGAATTTCGGTATTTGGTATTGGGATACCGATACCGTACCGATTTCCACCCCTAAACATAATGGTCGATTTCAATCCCGATAGTTACTCGTGACTAAGTATGAAAACCACAACCAAATCAGGAACAAGCTTCAGTCTCAACATCCATGATGTAGAAATGGCTTCACCATAAATTTTCCATCTGAGTCGAACAAGGATTTGGTCCAATTGTAATAACACTGAGTTTGAACTTGGAAATTTCAGCTTTGAATTTATCAAGTAGCTTCCTAATTGAAAATTTTGATACAATAACAAGCAACCCAATGTTAACTACTTTAAATATCATTGTAGTCCATCAGCAACACATAATGCAAATCGATCAACGGTAAATTATCATTTATTAAGAGAATAATCATATTTTACACTGAATCAAGAGGGAATAATATCAATCGTAATAGTAAGATAATATGTATGAGAGATTAGGGTTAGGCTCTGCTTGGAGATTGAGTGATAGTTCCCACCATCTGTAGAGAAATGCAGGGTTGCTCCACTGGAACCTTTTAACAGAAGAAAAAGATATTCAAGTTTAAGGTTCGTAATTAAACAAAAATTTGTTAATCAATTACTTGATCATGATCCTTGATGACAATTAGGTCAAGCTTGATTGTGGAGTGTATTAATGATGGAGTACTCACAAAATGTCCGGCCAAAAGAATCCAATAGAAGGCCAAATTCCGGTGAGAGCTAGTGAAGGCCTTGGTGGTCACATTTTCACCTTTGCAGTACAAAGGCGTCCGGTCTGTGCTCAAGAACTCCTCCAGTCCATCCCACCTGAACCAGAAAAATAAAGAGACATTCAGTTATAAGGCCGCAACACAAGACCACTAACAATAATAGTGAACACAAAAAAATTCGTGTTTGGGGTATCACCGATCAGAATTGATTGGGTTGCGATAGAGTTCATTGACGAAGGTGATCAAGCATGCACGAAATCAATTTTTTTATGTTACTCCATGCGCTTGATCATACCTTTATTATGATGAACTATTTCGAGGGTACAAACTCGCACACTTTATACATATATATCTGTTGATTGATTAACCAAGCTATATCCATGCATGAACGAGTACTATTAGTTGATTAGTTAGACAAAACGTACTTGAGTTTGTTAAGCCATGCTTCTGCTCCATTTGTTGAGCAAATGAGATCAACCTGTGGCAGTAGACAACACAATTTTTTAGGTTGAGACTTTGAGCATTATGCATTACACTAAACTGGGTAGCTATCAAGTTCAAGTCTATAATTTACCTGGCCGTTGTATATGGTCACACTAACGTTCTTTGCCAAGAGATCATCAACCTGCGCAAGAAAAGTAAATAACCAATGTACTCCAAATCGCATCATTTGGGTCGAGTATTTGTAACGAATTTGGTATTAATTGCAACTATTATGCGCGTACATTTTTCGTACGAAATCGAGTATGATGAAATTTTTTCGGATTAGTTATACCTCTTGGATTCTAGGTCTCATGAAATCACCAGCCATGGCAGGGAAAACCAAACCACCTTGCCCTCCCCATCTGTATGTAGTAATCACAAATTCACAATATAATCAACACAAAGTCCTTCAATTGTAATCAAGGCATTAAACGTAATTGGGCTCAGTGCTTACGTGACATTCTCAGGAATTATCTTCAACTTCTTCCTAATGGGCCCATTCATAAAATCAGAAGTGGACTTTTGAGCTAACGAAGATGATCTTTGGCCCATCCGGAGAAACTTCGACGAGTATTTCTCGGCAGCATTCCTTCGACGTCCGGCAGCTTTGTTCGCCGCTACAGGAGAGTCTCCGTCGTCGTACAAGAAGTTGTAGAAATCCTGTCACGTGATTCGGAGATAACCACCGGTAATATTCAATGACGAATTTGTAACGATTGGTCTACTGATAATGTGTGAAAGATCACATTCAATGCGCGATTATTTAAATATTTCGAAATAACCATTATTTTTAGATTGGTACGATAGACTCAAAAATCAACTCACCACACTATTGCTATAGTCCGAAATTAGGTTCTCGAGTTCACCAAACGAGTCTGTTGCATCTTCGTACTTGCCTTCGGCCAGCTGATGTTTGATCTGCAAAGCAATGCTGTTTTTTTTTTCATTTAATTGTTTATTCGTATTAGATTATCATATCATTATCAGTATCTTAATTATTTTCTAGATTCAATGAAAGATAAATACCTATTTGATTTGTTCAACCCAGTGTTGCTAATCCGCGAAACTTGCTTTAGAAGAGGCGCCCAAGAAGACTGGAACCAGAATATCATAAAATTAGATAATTGTTGTTATTTAAGATTGACCGACTTCGGAATTAACAAGCTTCATCAATAATTATATCATTACGATAGTACCGTAAAATCTTCGGGGGAAATCCAACTGTCACCTAGAGCAACTCCTGCAAAGAAATAAATCAAAATCATCAACAAGTGAGCGAATCATATCCTAACGTAACTTACTCGAATTGTTTGGATGATCGACGCGACTGGCTTACCTCCAAGTCGGAGTTTCAGTTCTCCTGCTTCGATGGCTCGAACCGCCGAAATACCTAGAGTGACTGCAAACTTCCCTCCATAGGACTCTGCAAAAATGTAGAGAGGGCTCTTCTGAAGGGCTTGGTTTCCATTGTAGAGCGCCTTCAACAAGGTAGTCAAATCAGTTGCTGCTTCCACATCGGTTTTTACCACCAACGAATTGTCTTCCACGTAGCTAAACCCGGTCGCCACTGGACTGTCCTGAATTCGTTAACCCAAAAAGAAAAGGACGGACAGAGCTTAGTAAACCACTTTGTTATGCTTGTCAAAGGCCCATAACTCGTATTATTAGGACCAATTGTGCTTACTACGAATAATAGGTCTGCTTTCTTGAGCCATGTAAAATTACGCGGCTCCAGGTTGTAATCCAACGGTCCCAACTCTCCGAAATTCCCGAATCCAACGCCGGAGCCACCCTGAGTCAACAATGGATTCATTAATTAACGTTGATCAAAGATTTAGCGTTACTAATTGTGATATTAAGAACAGGTTCTTGTCAGAATACTAACCGGGCCGCCTTGGAGCCATAAAATCGTGGGCCAGGGCTTTGACGGATCGTCAACCCTGTTTGGGCTCTTGTAAAGCCACCAAAACAAGTGAGCCTCTGTGCATACAACAAAATATAGTTAGTCACATTTGCTAATTAATCAATTTGATCAAAACTTTTCCAAGTAAACATGGCAGCTAGGTCTAGTGGAGGGAATTTTTCAGGTTGAATCGTCGCGTTATGGTAGAATCGCTTACATTTTAAAAATTGGGCTATTTCTTTTTATCGAATTCAACAGATTTTTCAGTTACGTCGTACTTTCAATCAAATCAGTCTATAACCTCAATTATGAAAAATGCCTGATTTATAATGTCGCATTGAAAAAAATAAGAACTTCGACCGGAATGATCGAATTGGGAACCATTGTGAAGAATTCAACAACTTTTTTGAGATAGTTACAAAAGTTTTTTATGCATAATTTATACACGTACCACATTTCAGGGACCAAAGAGTAGCATTCATAAAAAAATAATTGAAAATGACGAAAAGTTGCTCACTTGGCCGGACTTCGACGTAGCCCCATTGTTCGGACCCGTCGTCGGTTCCACCGGCTGCATCCGCCGCCGACGCAAGAGACGGCCGCCATGGAAGTTGCGCGAGGAGAAGAGAAACCAGAAAAGTAGAGAGTAGAAAAATACGAGACTGAGAATAAACAGAGCGTTCTGCCATAATTTCTATGTTTATGGTTGTTAAGATATTTGATATTTTCCCTTATTTGGTCGGGCAAAGTGTTTATATATAACACAGAAAATGAAAACGATAGAAGACAGTTGCTTAAAGGCAGAGTATATTTGGGCCGGCATGTTGCGGTTCATAAAACTCTCAGTATCATGTTTCGTAAACGCAATTCTATTAGCATATTGCCACTTATTCTGTTCAGTAAACTTCGTCGGACAATACAACGTCCAAATGTCACCCATCGGGTTTATTACTAATATTTCATGTCGAAAACGAGAGAGCGCTTTGTCTATGAGCATTCAACAAATTCATGCGACGATGCGAGTAACTAATCATCAAAACATTTAGCGACTGAGATGAATGTTGTTGCAAAATGTTCATAGTGGTGGTACAGTGCACAGTTTATTAAATATCTTTGTTCAATTTTCTGAGTGCTATGTGGTTAGTAGTGACAATGGGATGGAGTTGGTGTCTCGAATCTCGATCATCATCATACGAACCAATCTAGCAGTAAATGTGTCCTAGTTAGATCAGGTAAATTATCATCCACCTCATTCTGACATGTGATTCGAAGAAAATATACACATCAATGACTATCTGATTAAAATCGAGACATACTAAATTGCAACTACGTACACTACAAGTCATGATCAACTCGAGAGTTGCACTTGATTGTTTCGACTTTCGACTAGCGAGTTATAACATATATCGGGATGAGCAAGACATAAACTGTGATCCTCCTCTTGTGTACTCGAGGGGTTGTTGACGAATGCTGTAGGCCATCATCTCGGTAACCCTAGCTAGCACAACTCCAGCCGAGAAAAAGGCAGAGCCCAAATTCCTTGTTTTGCTCGTTTGCCCAGCGGACAACTCAAAGGCAAATAAGCAGTATCGAATGCATTGCTGTCGTGACCGAACCTGTACACAAGGGAGCATCTTCTTGTTCAGCAGCAAATACTCAAATTCAGAAGTGCAGTCAAATACTCAAATTCTTCGAGGAAGAGAGCATTTTCAATACGACAAAGTGTTTGAAATGTGAATCATGTGGTGGTCACACGTGTTATTCATTGAGCTAGAGAGAGAAGATGCAGGCATGCATCAGCAGCAAATAGAAGTTCAGTAGAAAAAAAAAGGATTGGCAAAAACAATTTTTGGGGTGAGAGAGGCTCGAACTCTCGACCTCAGGATTACTCTTTGGCTATGAGACCTACGCGCTAACCAACTGCGCCACCACCCCCTATTGCTTTTGTAACACTTTTGAGGATATATCACATCTGCTTCTATCTAAGAGAAGATAAGTAGTTCTTCTATATATCATTTAAGGGCTGGGTGCTAGATAAAATGTAGAGGCTTGCTTATATATCATATTTCCTACTCTAATTTGACATTCCAACGCACGAAATCAAACAAGAATTTCAAGAAGTTGGCCTAATGGTAATGTGAGGATGAGAAAATCCATCATATTTTGGGTTCGAACTTTGGAGTCAACAATTAACAAAAAAGTCAAATTGGAAGACCATTTCGACAAGAAATGGTTAAATTGAATGGATTGCTTATAATGAAAAAGAGCTTGAAATATAGGTATAGGAATTGTATCAATTTGAAGTGTATAGTAGGTGATGTAACGCATTGAAATAAAATAATCTTTAGAGTCAGTTTGGACTTTGGAGTAAGAGAGAGAATAAGTGAAAGGGGAAATAATGACACTGTTGGGAACGTCGAATAGTGACAAGGACGATAGTAAGAAATTATTGAAGTCGTAGATGAACAAGTGGCATCCCAAGTGGCATTTCAAATTCATTGAATTAAATTAAACCAAAACGGCAGTAGATTTCATCCAAGTCCACCTTTTAGTGGAATTATCCACAATACATAGGTTATATCTGTACGTAAATTTTCTTCGACGTTTACTTGCTGGGTTTTGTAGGATCGAATGAAAAAATATACTCCACATTAGTGATGGCAAACGGGTAGGATGTGGAGGGCAGGTATCTCAGTAGTCGGTACTCAGAGTGAATGTGTCTAATTAATTGAAAGATCATAGAAAGTTTCATCGGGCGAAAGTATGATTGTAAAAATAAATAATAAACAAATTGAGATAAAACATATAAAAATAGGATAGGCTGCGTAGGAAGTAGTAACGCTCTGCTGATCCAATGCTACTTCGGTCGAGTAATACCCTATCCAACAAAAATCATATCAGCTAATATTCGACAAGACGTGTTCAAAACTTCAAATTCCCATCCTACTCCACCCTAATCAGAGAACAGAAGGGAAATTAAACAGAGAGGCCCTCTCTGTTTCTAGAAAGAAAACCCAGGCGAAGATGTGTCCTCCGCATTTTTCGCCAGGCCTATAAAGAACTGTTGTTGATGGGCCGGACCTTTCAACACCGGATAGAACCAAGCCTACCCGATCCCCTCTGGACTTAGTACCATGTCGATCCATGATGTTTCAAACCGAGGGGTTTCCTATTTTATTTCAAGCAATGAGAGTAGTATGTGACTATGTGTAACACTTTAGAAGAATCCGACATCATCAAAGTACGGGAGAGTTCTAGTATTCATCAATAAGAAATCGATTTTAACTGACAAGATATGTTTTGGGTGAAATGAAAGAGTTTTTGTAAGAACTTCGAAGTTAAACGAGCTCGTTATGGAGCACAACAATGATTGGTGATCTTATGGGAAGTCAACTTGACAGGCAACTCAAGACAAAAACCGTGAAGGTCTAGTCCATAGCGACCTATATCTTGTCGGAAAAGGTTTAAGATGCTACATCATGCAAACTGTTCATTGAAAAAGAAGAGCATATGCAGCAGAAAATAAGTGGGGTATCGAGAAAATCTAAGATGTGTATATGCTAATGGAACGGATAGAAACTTATAGACCGTCATCTAAACGATGAGGATTGTAACAGAGTGGTATAAAATTTATAATAACCCTTCTCCCAACAATTCGAGTTATTGAGACCAACTGATTTATGAAAAGTATCACCGATTATCCAAATTCATAAATAATATCTTAACTCGTTCTTTAAAAACTAATCATTAATTTTCACCATTTCCGTTCCTATCACTTAGCTAATTTTCACATATGAATTTATCGACCAAAATACTTTTCCAAATTTATATCTTTAACGACTATTCTTAAGTTATTTCTTCGAATCAGACTCTCACACTCTTAATTCATCTTTTATTTGTTCATTACTCTTTCTTAAAGAGTTTAAATTAAATTCTGACACATCTATTCACTCCTTCTATAACCAGCTCAGCTCATCAAATATTAGGATGTATGTACTTCAAGACAATGGCATCATGCCAATCACTAAAACCAGACAGCCCCAAGATCTTGGGCAAAAACCAACACTTCCATTCTGGCAATTCCTAACAATAATAATAATAATAATAATAATAATAATAATTATTATTATTATTTATTTGCTTAATTTATTGATTGGAAAATCCTGCATAACTTTTCCCCAGATACACATGTTATGCCAATTGAATTATAAATGTGGACAGTGAAGCATGTTTTTGGGATTTGGGGTGAGCTCAAAAGCCATTGCAGCTCCATGTGGATATATTACTCATTACACACATACTTTCCCCACAACACAATCCCATAAAAGAGGAAACAGACATTGCAAATTGGTAGAGTGTTCAATGGGAATATGTAGTTACTAACTCCATTGTAGAGCTAAATTTTGATGGATGTGGAAATCAGACTTACTAGTCAGTTCTGACTATCAATAATACTACAAATTCACTGACGTTATTCAGTGTTATTTATTTTCACTATAATCGGACTATTTCATGATGCATCCTAGATATAACTCTGTTGGTGTGACATTCTCTTACTAATATGATAGATTGGATGACATGTTTTGTACCCACCTCCTCGCTCCTCCTTTACGCGAATTGGGTTCACATGTATTCTCAATCTTACCATTGCATATCTTTCAATATATTTATCTATATTTATATCGATTAATGAACGAAAGATCGATCTGCTTCTTTTTGTCGGAAACTATGACCTTTTCTCCAACTTGATTTTCAGTTAAAGCATGTTACAAAGACCCTCATGATAACCCACCTCCCCTTTCTCTTATCTTCCCTATGTTTCTTCATGGGAATTTTCAACTCTTTCTATATTCTACTCTTGATCATATATTTTCATCTAGGGTTAACTAATCACGATTCATGAATTTTCATAGATGGGCTGCATTTTTTTCTTTTTCTTGCGTTTTAGAACTATTCCATCAATATTCCAATCATTGGTCCATTTTGGTAGGTAAAGTGTCCTATATATTTTCTTTCATACATATGCTGCGCCGAGGGGAAGCGGGAAGTTGGCACTTCTCCATCACTCACTCAAAATAGTACTTGTTCTGTTTCTTCTGTATTTTTCTTCAAAACTTCCCCTTCAAAAGTTATGTCCAATTTCTTAAGGTCTAAATTGACTATCTTAGACCAGTACAACCGACATCCAGTTCCAAAAGTACAAATATGAAACGAAAATGTTTGCCTTAATCACGAAAACACGACATGATTAATCATGTTTCTCGTATAATTAACGATGAAATTAATTATATTATCGATGTTGTCGGAAACCGTGTATCATACGAGCTAGCTATTTGATATTATGTATGCCCTTATCTAATTTCATTTAGTTTGGGATGTGTTTTGCTCCTGATCTTGATGTTGTTCAAACTGTGCCATTAGATTCAGCAATAATTTAACTAATTAATTTAGGGCAATATTGCTTGAAAGTGAAGGCAAATATGAGGGGGGTGGTCCAAGCAGAAATTTGGCCGTAGTTGGGCACCGACGGTCCTTTTTCCAGGGTGACACATTATTCCAATGGTATGGCGGTTAGCCTCTTTGAAGGACGTCTTATCTCAACTCTCAAGGGGGAAATCTTTTCAATCACACAATGAGTTAGGATTAAAAATGTATCTTATTCCATCTCTCTACAAATTTCCTTCAACCAAAGTCCTATCAATGTTATAAACCAACTGGTCTCAATAACTCAGAATTGTTGGGAGAAGTCTATGTATGGATTTTAACCATTTCCTTGCACGTCACCTCAAACGAAAGTCAAATCAAGAGTTTGAAATTTGCACAAGCATGTCATACCATATGCTTTAACACAACTGTTATATTGAGGCTGTAAGGACTTGAGCACGAGACCTTACGATTAAAACAGCTCTGATACCATGTCATAAACCAACCGGTCCCAACAACTAGACTTGAATGGGGGGGAGTCTGTGTATGGATCTTAACCACTTCCTTACACGCTCCTACCCAAATGAAAGCCAACTCATGAGTTTAAAATCTGCACATGTCCACCACACCATGTCCTTTTACACAATTGTTAATATTTTGAGTCGTGATGAGTACTTGAACACGAGGCTTCACAATCAAACTAACTTTATACCACGTCATAAACCAACTAATCCCAATATCTCGAATTGTTGGGAGAAAGTCTCTTTATGAATTTTAACCACTTCCTTAATTACAACCATGAGCTTGAACAGTACTCATGTCATATGTCAGAATCCGTTTGTTAATATATGGTCTCATCAAGATTCAAACATGAAACTTCTCGATCGTAAACCCCAAAACTATATGAAAAACTTATCTGACTTGATAGGAAGTCCAATAATATAATGGTATTGAATGATTCCGGTAGGTAATGCTACCATGTCCATGTGGCGGTGATGTGTCTCACGGGCATTACATAATTTGGAATCATGGAGGGGTTTCTGTTGTAGTAACAAACGACAGCCTATATTGACTGAAAGATATAAGCTACCAGAATTTGATTCCCCTTAATCAACTTCATTTGGCACTTTCCTGTCAAAACCTTGTAGTTTATATCCTTACTTAACCCTACAGGCTTTCATGAGATTGCACTAATCATGTGCTTTGGGTAATATGATTAGTCGCGGAATTGAATGATTAAAGGACTCTTCATCCTTGATAATTCGAGGATTTTGAAAGTGATCAATTCACTAGGGCCAACCAAAACAATAACATTTGTGCTAGCAAATCTCATTGTTAAACCCAGAGTTCGGGTTGGACTAGGATAATGCAGAAATGATAACATACCATACTTCTAACGTTTATATTTTCGGACCGATCATTACCTTAAATAGCAAATGTCATTTTTGGATGATAAGGTTAACTGTGTCGAGAATTCCACGTCCAACACATAATCTAATATAGAATAAGATGCTAGTTGACCTTATATGATGTTGGCATATGTGTGGTTGTGCACAAAGAATCAAACATGAGATAACAAATGGTTTCAACGAATGATGATAACAATTGAGTTGGGATTATATGAAAGTTTTAGCCTTTTAGATAGGTTATATATGTGGACAAATCATCTAACAATATCCCGATCATCACATTCTTCTTATAAGTATCCGTTTGTTTCACCGTGAATAAATGATTTTCCCCCACACTCCAAACTTTCCTCTTCAAAGTTGTAATATTCTACTTGATCGTTAAAGCATTCATTTCATCATCGCTCAATTGATTTTCAATTAGAGTGATCACAATCATAATTCATTATATTCAATTCATCTAACATTTGTACTATCGAAATCTACTCACATACGTCATCGCAACAAAACAAGAACAAAACGAAAGAGAAAGCCTCAAGTATCCTCCAAATGGTGCAACAACAAAAAAAAAGAGACCTAATTTTTGTTAATTATCACGATTAACTTTATAATTTTGTTTATCAAACGTACAACTTTGAAAAGTGTCATATGATGCCTTGCTTTCTGTAAAAGTGTCGGGAATGGTATATTCTGCAATTATTATGAAGCTTCTGACATTATTCCAATATATGTACTTAATTCCTGACACACTTTGGGTTAAATACTCGATTTTCATTTTGTACTAGTCAGAAAATTCCTTCCAAAAGGGACCCATTGTCATTATAAAAGTGCTATTTTTATATAGAGTACATTGCCTTGATATACAAGCTACTGTTATCGCAGCACATTAATATTCGATAAATACATTAAAGTAAGGGGTTGAACTTAGGGTTTCATAAATCATAAGCGGTCAGGTTACAAAGGGATTTTTGGAAATAATTAAAAAACTATAAGATAATTTAATTCGTATAAGGATACGATGGTCAACAATCGTGTTTTATTACTCGAGTCTCTTTGATGGTCAACATGATGAATTTAAAATTTACCGTTATATGATTTTTGCCTGTCTACATAAGTTAAAAGGGCATAAGTTATTTTTTATTTGATAACCCAGGGAACCTCAGCCCCACGTGCCGCTTGAGCGACAGCGAGGCCTACTAAACCACTGGAATACCTGCATACCAATCGGGGCTTTCTGCCTCACCCTTTTTAGGGGCATAAGTTATGATTTATACTATTTTTAATACCAGTTTGTTGGACTTGGTATTTTGAGAAATAATTAATTAAATAAATTTTCTAAAAGTTTAACGCTCCTAAAAGATGGACATGAATTCACAAGTCACAGACGCTCCTTCTACCTCACCCTTTTTTGGACACAAGTTTAATGTCATAGACTCATAATTGCCAGCTAAAACCAGTTGTTTTGTGAAGCAAATAGTTATCCAAATTGAATATTAACCAATTGTCTTTCTTCTTTGGAAATTGATAGGCGAAAGCTTGTATCTTGATGATGTGGTTGGATTAGAAGGCCATTTGGTGAAGAAAGCTAATTTAGGCTCATTCTTTATTGAGTTTCGATAAAAAAACAATAATAAACTTGTCAAATCATTATAATCCTCTTCTATTAAACATTACCAACTACCCTCCTGGTGAGTGTGGCTACCTACAACAAACCGATGAATTTCAAACATGACTCGAGTAGTTGGTTGTGAAGAAGAAACGCCAAGACTAGTATCATATAGTTTCTGACATCTCTCTCGTCATAAGTGACTTAATACTATTGTCCACGACAATCGACCAACCACAACCCTATCAGGCCATCTCCTGCAATATGAGAATAGTCCATTCGAGATGCTGCCCCTAACCTACAAAACTTGGAACATGACATGTATTACTCAAAATTGTTCTCCACCCCTAGTAAGTATAGTATCACCGTCCAAACGAATTTTCCATAATATTCCCTAATACTTCCTTCGATTTTTGAAATCACAATATTTCCTTCGATGTTTGTATCGATTAGTCATTTTTACACCCTTAATACCTCTCTCCTCAGTTATATACAGAGACCATCATATGTTCTATTCTTCGAACGATCTTTTTAATGACCTATATTGGAAAAAAATCATTCTCAATAACCCACATCTAGGAAGACTTTCTTCCGATCTAGTTTATCCATGTAAATACATGTGAAAATAAGGGTGTCCTTATTTTTTTTTTTCATTGATTCTTTGGCATGACCATGTACGTGTATCTTTTTATTATTGTTATATTCAAGAAGAGCATACATGAAAATCTACGTAACCCTATCTTCCATTTTCCAAAATTAAATACTTCCTTTAAGAAGAAAGAAAAAGAGCAATAATTACTACTTCCCATTTTCTTTTCCAACACATGGTTCGATTCGGTTTGGTCACTCCCTGGCCAACCTCAGCACCAGCCTAAAATTAGTGCACTTCCTGCCAAACAAAGAAGCTCCCAAACGGAACCACCTGGATGCACAGGCCACGTGGCGGGATTACATATCATGATCCTCACTGTAAACAGCTAATCAAAATTCCCTTGGGTAGCCAAGTGAACCCGACTCGGGTTCCTCCCGCTCATGCCGAATTTGGTTGTGGTTTCACCGTCTCGTGAATTATGATATGTACGATTCGTGATCATTGGTAAAGAGGGAAAAAACATTGATATATACTATTAGCAAATTCTGATTATTAGTTTGTTATCCGATGCAACTTCGATTCTGCTCAAATTTGAACCAGATAAAAAATATACGCTCATTGATCACCCTAGACAGCTTATAAAACAAGTTTTTGATGCGGTAAAATACCAAATCAAATTCTTCCCTGTGCTGGAGATAGCTTAATTGTTTTAAGAGATTAGAGGCGAAATAGCACGAATTCGACTTCACACTTATTCTTTTTTTTTTTTATTGTAAAACGGATCGTCAGACCAACTGCTCGCATCATTATTTGCCAATACGACCTATCTTGCGATGAAGAGAAATTGTGGTTGGTGCATCCTCTCCTATTTTCTTGTATGCAAAGTGCATATGGGATTGTAATTCTTCGTTAATGGATCAATAACGCATTTCAGGTTGATTGTGATAATAAAAAATTAACTGGAAAAAAGTGAATGAACTACTACGGTCGAACCCATGATTTTATTATAAAAATAGGGTGCCCCTGACTTTGGTTCACCCGAAACTCAATCCGGTCCATCTCGACCGTCCCTATGCAAAGTTATTACCGCATTTATTTAGTTTTCTCCCAATTTTTATCAGCTTTGTCGCCAAGAATCCTCTCGTCGTTTATTTCCAAGTTTTCTTCATTTCTGGTCGTTTCAGGTCTCTTTCTCTCTCTCTCTCCCTCCATTCCATCTTCCCCATTTCTCTCTCCTTTCCCTCCCTCTGTTTCTCTTCCCCTGGCCGTTTCCCCACTCCTCCACCCGCCGTCCCGCCGCCGCCGCTTCAGTTTCTTCAGTGGGGAAGAGAAATCGGCGCATTACCCACAGATCGAATTCCTCCACCGCCCGATTCCCCTCCTCCCCCGTCAGAAGAAGAAAAGCCATTGCTATCAAAACGGTAATGCGGATCGTTTCCCGCAAAGACAAAAGACACGCAATGCCCGGCGGCGACTTCGATTCCTTCTAGCGCCGTCCACTCTCAATATTTACCCTCTCAGTCAACCGCTTTTCTACCTCCGCCGGCGGCGGAGGAATAGAGTACATTAAAATCAACAATGTCGGTGCCGGCGTGGCTGGAGTCGCTGCTGAGCACCGCCTTCTTCTCCGTCTGCCGGGTCCACAGGGACGCCGCGAGGAGCGAATGCAACATGTACTGTCTCGATTGCAAAGGGGAGTCGTTCTGCTTCTACTGCCGCTCTTCCCGCCACAAGGATCATCAAGTCATCCAGGTTTTCGATTCACAGAGTTTCTCTCTTTTTCGATTGATACCCAATTCGATTCCTTCCGATTGGGGGGAAGGGTAATTGCTAATTGGGGATTTTGATGCCAGATTCGGAGGTCTTCGTATCACGACGTGGTGAGGGTCGGGGAGATACAGAAGGTGCTGGACATCAGCGGGGTACAGACGTACGTCATAAACAGCGCCAGAGTGCTGTTCTTGAACGAGCGGCCGCAGCCCAAGTCGGGGAAAGGGGTCGCCCACATTTGCGAGATTTGTGGGCGGAGCTTGCTCGACACATTCCGCTTCTGCTCGTTGGGTTGCAAGGTAAGGAATCCGTCATTGCTGTGTTTTTGTTAGGCCCGGCATTGCCTAAAATTAGGCAAAAATTCAGTGGGGTGATAGTTCTAACAACAGGATAGTATTGATTGATGAATGCTGGCATTTGATCTTTTAAGCATCATCATCGCCATCTTTTCTCTGTTGTTGGTGTGTTCATCGGACGGCTAGGAATGGGAGCATGTTTTTTGGCAACATACCATCAGCATCGTAACCACCCACCACCACCACCACCACCACCACTACTCTACCATTCACAGACATGGACATGATGAGATAACATATATATGCTTTTATAAAAAAAGATAGAGAGAGGGGGAGGGGTTTTATTCATAGAAATTATATAGCATTGCATTGCATCATCATCATCATCATCACCATTCATGATCAAGTTGGCATTTCAAAGTTCGTTTTGTGTTAGCATGGGAATTTACTCTAGGTAGACAATGTTAGGTTGTAGGAGATAAATTTTGGGCAGTTAACTAATTGTGTTGGATTCGATTCTGGTGTAAAATTCTAGAAGTTTCGACTAATAGCCCGTTATGTCAAAAGTTTTGAGTATTTGTATAAAAACGACATAAACTTTGAGCTTTTGGATAAAAATGAGATACGACACACTTTGTAAGTGTTGACTAGTTGTGCTGGATTCATGTTATTTTTGTAGTTGGCTATTTACCTAACTATATCAACAACATGTCTCTTCTTTTGTGTGATTGTTTGTTTGGTCGTCCATTCGTACTGAAATAGGCCGATAACATATTTATTTACAAAGAGAACTTCTCGTTGTTTTTGTTGGCTATCCATTATGTAGCTTGTAGGGATAAAGAGGAATGGAGATGCTAGCTTTAGCATGGAAGGCAAGAATGTAGCAGGAGGAGGAGATGTGCAAGGAGAAGCAATAGAAGAAGACGGCTCTACGTTGTTAGGGATGCAAGAAAGAATAATGATGAGGAGAAGGGAAGCTCAAATATCTTCAAGATTAACAACAAGCACATCATCGTCAAGGGAGGATGATCAAGAATTGCGCCAAGGCACTCAACATGACATCTACCCGACCACACCTCCTCCACCGCCTTCCAACTCAAGACGAAGAAAAGGCATACCTCATCGTGCACCTTTCTTTGCTTCCTAATCCTTCCTAAATCTTATTGTTACTATTGTCATTATCATTATTCCTTTTGGGTATATTCATCCCTACACACACAAAAGATACTCTCTTTCACCCTTCCTTTCTTACACAAAATTCACCCCCATCTTTAGTGAGTAAGAAAGAAAGGGGAAGAAAGAAGGAAAGGTAGAAAGAGGAGGTGTATATATGACCGTATAGAACACTATACATCATATAGTGGCCTTATATGCCCTTCTTTTGCTTTTTTTTCTTTAAAAAACCAAAAGGGGTGATGAGTAAGTTTCCCCTTTAGGGTTGGAGGACCCATTAGGCCAACATATAACACAAAGCCAAGAGAAAGAAAAGAAAGGGAAGACAAAGAAGGATTCTTTTTCCCCCTCTCTTGTGAATTGAGTAGCAATAATGCAACCCTAATATTATTTAATGATTGTGTATACACTTGGTAATTGTTATATAGTGATTCATGTTTGCAATGCAAGGTTGTATATTGGCGTTGAGAAAATTTAAAAGTCATCTTCTTTTGTGGAATCCGTTTCATATAAGGGTTTCTTTCTTGTAGTTTGCTTTCCATTTTCTTTTCGTTGGGTCCACTCAACCACATGGGCAGCACATAAAGAAAACTACATTTCCCCTTTCCTCTTTGTTTATTGCATGAGTGCCCCCTTTCCTAATCACTATTGTTGTTTGCTTAATCATTTAGTATATATGTATGTACGCAACTATAGTACTATACACATTTCTATGTCTTTGGTAACCTAACCAACGCCTCCTAACCCTCATGATGTGGATTGCTTAGAAGAATGTGGATGGGTTTGCCATTTAGTTTGATCCATGGCACTACGATCACCCCCCACTAGACTCATATGATATGATGGGTTGTTATCAAGTTCGATCGGTCTAACATAGATAATACACTTGGAGAACTGTTGTTCAGCTCTCGCCAACCAACCTCTATCTGTTGGAAATGTCAAGATGTCGATATGACCGTGAAACATTTTCTTTCCATTTCAAGATGTAAAATATCTCAGATTTCCTCTTTTCCTACCGTCAATGGAATTCACTGACAAAGTGAACTCGTCACTCGTGCTCACTTAGTCATCCGTGATACTTCTCTCTTCGATTTCTTCAACTTGAAGTATTACAACAAACTCAATTATCCTTTATAGCAGAACTTATCAGTGACCCATCTGAAAAGCCTGCAACAATGTCATTTTCAATAACACTCCAACTTAGACCCAACTAATGGTGTACTACACAGAGAGCCGTCATTTAGGGACAAGATCGCCATCTGAGATAACCACCTATTGATTTTGAACTTATCAATCTCTTAGAGACGTGTTACCCACTACATTACATCACAACACAACGGATTGTTTATGGATTTACAAACTCATCTAGACAAGCGGGTGACGGAAAAAATGAATTTTTTTGTTCCTAATTTTCACAATCGACTCGTGGATTGAATGCCCCGATCATAAATTATTGGTACATCATCATATTGGATCCACAATTTTTTTTCACGTTGTCCTCGGTGTATTCCATACAAGTTTCAGTTGCTAACCCAAGTGTTTCTGCCAAGTGAGTGAATGCACACTTATGTACATTACATTAAGGACAGGTGAGCCAACTAATTAACATTGACATCCCCTAATATAGATTCACCGAATATTCACCATTGTCACCTCTTTTTTGTCATTAGATCCCTTATTGAAATACACAATGAACTTCTTTTCAAATTTCTTTTATTAGTGATAATACACTCCTTTAATTGTGGGGATAATTTCGATTACTTTTAAGACGATGTTGCTTTCATAGCTTTTGACGACAACAATGAAGGATAAAAGTGAAGGATAAATGTAAAAATATTTAATTTTGGACTATACAATATATGGTGAACGATAGATAAGTAATTAACCAAAGAGATATCATAAAATAAATAAAATAAAAAACACAATTTAGTAGGTGGAGAGGGACGAGGATTCGATAGTTACTTTGGTCCGAGCACAATTTGGAAGAGAAAAGAAGAAGTAGGTAAGCAATTATTAAATATCATCTTATAGTTAATGATGTAATTTGGAATATTAATTAGAGCCTATTCCATGATTAGTAGTTGCAATTTATTCTACAATAAAAGAGATTAGTAGCTAGAATCTATATGGCTCGAAATCCAAACAAAAGCATTAGTCCAATTTCAAATGAGTAACAAGGTTGCCATGTTGCTTAATTTACTAAATGCAAAGAGTATAAAACTAGAAAAATTAAGTATGGGGTGTAGACATTTGGATTCAACAAAAGAAATGAATGAGTAATTATCTTGCTTAAAACATCAAATGTGTCTTTCCTTTGTTATGATTTTAATTTTATCTATATGTAGATCAGTATATGGCATAGTTTCCTTTCACTTGTATGTTAATTTTTCTTAATCCTCAATTTACTTAGACTTACCTTATTATGTGGTCATTACCCAATAGGTATTCAAGCTCTTAATTTGATTTAGTATTATTGCTGGCCTCGTCAAGGAGGATTGTGACCTTGTTCCCAACTAGCTATCACTCGCTTAGAATTTTCCCTTAAAGATATCGTTTTCTTTTATGTTGTTGATGGCGTCTTTTAAATAACATATGATAAAATATTTTTTCTTCTCATTGACGAACACACAGTTGTGTGCTGAATTGATGATAAGAATCACCTCCCACATCCTAGTTTTTCTTCTTTGTACAATTCATAATGCTTTTGTTATGACAAGAAAAATGTAGCAAAAATGGTGGATAAAATTTGAATGGTGCTCGGTTGGCACGAAGATCATAATCCAAAAATTTTTTTAGCACCCCAATCAATCAATCTCCCATTATTCGATAAGGATCGCTAAATAATTGAGTAGCTTCTTCCATCTACACATAGTCACATATACATTCATGTGGTCCAACTACTTTAGTCTTCTACAACGTTACTATTAAGAAGCTATGGGGCAATAATGCAAAATCTCCAGGGTTATTAGTCAAATGTGAAGATAATAGGGGGACCAGAAGTAAATTTGGACCAGAGAACCAAATAGCCCAGGCCGATTTCTCAAAAAGACAAAGCAAAGGCCCATAAATAAAAAGGATGAGCCCAAGAAAACCAAACCATACAGGCCCACTACCTGAAACTATGCGGACTAATCCCGCCAACATTTCTAGCGCGCAGCAGCGCCGACCCAGAGGTAAGAATACTCAACATCGGAGGAAACTACCAAAAGGCTTCAGAAGAAAAGGCCGGCGGCGAGAAGGGAGAAAGATTGCAGGATTGCGCCGAATTGAGTTTCAAAGGTATTCCTTTCTCTCGTCTTCTCTGCTTGATTCCGCTGCTTCAGGTTGTTTCCGTATTGGTGGAATTCGGGAAATCGTCGGTTTTAGGTTTTGCTAGCCGGGATTGTTGTTTAGTTTCTTTGGAATTGGAAGCCCTCAAACCGCCATGAATCTAGACTCTTGTCAAGAGTTTGAGCTGCCGTATCTGTAGTCAATTACCTGCTGGCTGTAGCAGACCCTGGAGAAAGGCTTACTGTCCAAATTTGATTAGGAGTTGCATTGAAAGGTACACGAGAGAACTCTAGTAGAAACCGAATCCTATTAGAATGGAGTTCGCTTGGATGGTTGGAAATGGAGAACCCGTACTGATTTCGTCTTGTTTCGGGTTATCAGAGTAAGGAACTCTGAAACTATGCTCATTGGTAGATTCAACGTGTTATATCTCAGCAGCATGGCTATAGTTGGTGTTGCTAGCTTGTTATGATTAGCTTATCGAATCCAATTTCAGGGTTGAATAGTTCAAACTAGAGTGCTAGAATAAGTGGCAGTATCAGGGATGGAACTGCAAGCCTGCAAGTAGTATGATACTAGAAAGTTTGTAGGCATGGGAGGCTTAAACTTAGTACGTAGCTAGAACGGTCCATAACAATTCACCAAATGCAGTCATGGAATCCTTTCCAAACGGTTGATGGTTTTAAGTTGTCGAAATTGATGTGGGTTTGTTTCTTTTCTGTACATTCAAGGGAAAGATCGTTAAAGTTTGAAACGGCGTATTGATTACAGTTGAAATGGGTTTAATGAAGGAAAGATGAAGGCAGGAAGGAAGAATTTGAAGAGGGCAGCAGCAAATGAAGATAGCTTAACACTTCAGGATGGTCAAAGCATCATGCGAGTGCTATCTCTACGAGGTTCCAACCTTATCGAGGTCTGCTCTCTATTTGCTGGGGGAAATAGCTTACGGTTTCTGCTAAATTGAGTGTTAATGATGTGTCTATATTGTTCCAGGTGATTGACACGAATGGAGAGAAGTCCCTGGCTTTGTTTCCAGCTAAGTTTCAGAAGAGCATGTGGATAAAGAATGGTTTGTTCTGAATCATTGAGATCGAGTAGCTCTCTTCACTCTCTTTTAGGTGCTTAACTTCTATTTGCTGCACTGTTAACTGGCAGGAAGCTTTGTAGTTGTCGATGGAAGTGGGAAGGAAAAGGCGATCGAGTCAGGCAGCAAGGTGACCTGCATGGTTACCCGAGTTCTGTTCCATGAACAAGTCCGCAAGCTTCAGAAATCTCCTGAATGGTCTGTAATTCCTAACATCGCTCTTTCTTGGTTTTCTTTGCCGCTCTTGCCCTCTGGGGTCATATAAATTTGGCCTAAAATTGCAGGCCTGAAAATTTCAAGGAAGATAGTATCAATGGAAGAGCTCAGGCAGAAGCAGCAAGCCAAGAAGTAAATCAGCTCAATTCATGTGATGAAGAAGAAGAGGAGGATGATGATGGGTTGCCACCATTAGAAGCCAACATGAACAGGGTCAAGCCACCATTTATGGATTCAGGTTCAGGATCTGATTCTGATTCTTGACTTTACAGTTGCTTCAAACACTTCCCTCGGTGGATCTGATGGCTTAGCATACTCTTAATTTGAAGAATTTTCTGGTTGTGTCAATCATCTAGTGTCCTGTATCTAAACCCCATTTCGGGTGGGTTTATAAGAGTCACCCGCCTCATAATCATCATTTTGATAATATAATATGAACTATTCAAATGGTCTCAGTTGTATGGATATTAAATGCTACGTATAAAATTGATACAAACTTCATAGCAAAACCTTGATCTCCGACTCTCCCTCAAGTGGCTTCGCCACTGCACCTGCGATGAGTTCTCTGTCCATGGCGGCTGCAGTGGTGGCAGTAGAAGCCTATATCCTGCATTACTGCTCTTGAAACCTTGCTGTAACTTTGTACGCGTCGTAAGATGGTGGTGGTGGTGGTGGTGGTGGTGGTGGTGGAGGATGATGATCAATTTCCAAAGGCTACTTTGGACTTTGGTGTGTTTTTACCTTTTACCGCCGAAAGGCCGCGGTAACGGTAACTCACGCATCTCGCATGCTCCGTTGAAAATAAATACATAAAATTCAAAAAAAATTGAAAGGATAGGACAAACTAAAAGAATCAAAATTTGCGCCATTCATTCCGAACGGCCAGGGAATTCCTAAATCGGCAATCGGGAAATCTGGAACGGATTTCGCCGACGAGAAGGGCCGCCGTCTGCCATGGCGTTCGCAGCCGTAGCTTCTCCTCCGTCCTCTCTTTCTCTCTTCCCCACCACTACCACCACCAGCAGCTGGTCGTCTATCCACAAGCTCAACAATGGCTCCTACTGCGCCAAAAAAACCTACAGTCTCACAATCAAATCCTCACTGGATGAGAAAACCCCTAAATCGACCGCCGGCAAGCAGAGCTCCTGGGTTAGTCCTGACTGGCTCACTTCCCTGACCCGCTCACTAACTCTCGGTGGCAAAAAGGACGATTCCGGCATCCCCATAGCCAGTGCGAAGCTCGAGGACGTCAGCGACCTCCTCGGCGGCGCTCTCTTCCTCCCTCTGTTCAAATGGATGAACGAGTACGGACCGATTTACCGCCTCGCCGCCGGCCCCAGGAATTTCGTGATTGTTAGTGACCCGGCGATTGCCAAACACGTTTTGAGGAATTACGGTACTAAGTATGCGAAAGGTCTCGTAGCCGAGGTCTCCGAGTTCCTCTTCGGGTCGGGATTCGCCATTGCCGAAGGCCAGCTGTGGACGGTAATGAATTGTGCTTCGTGTTTGAGTCCTGCACAGTCTCGTTGTATCTTGTGTTTAATGAAATCTTGTACTATTTCCGGCAAATGGACTTGATTTCGTGCTTCGTGGCAGGCGAGGCGGAGGGCAGTGGTTCCATCTCTGCACAAGAGGTATCTATCTGTGATTGTCGACAAGGTGTTCTGCAAATGTGCTCAGAGAATGGTAGACAAGCTACAAGCTGATGCTATGAGTGGCAATGGTGTCAACATGGAAGCCAAGTTCTCCCAGTTGACTCTCGATGTAATTGGGTTGTCGGTGTTTAACTATAATTTCGACGCTCTGAATACTGATAGCCCAGTGATAGATGCTGTCTACACTGCTCTGAAAGAAGCAGAAGCTCGTTCCACTGATCTGTTGCCATATTGGAAGGCGAGTGTTCATTTGGATCTTCTTGGTGTGTGGATTGTGATATTGTCTTCAGGATTTTGATGGTTGTGGTCTGTGTTACAGATTAAGCCTCTATGCAAGGTGATACCAAGACAAGTGAAAGCTGAGAGAGCTGTTACAGTTATAAGGCAAACTGTGGAAGAGCTGATTGCAAAGTGTAAAGAGATTGTGGAAAGTGAGGGTGAGAGGATAGATGGGGAGGAATATGTTAATGATGCTGATCCAAGCATTCTTCGGTTTTTGCTCGCTAGCAGAGAAGAGGTAAGACAACAGGGTTTCATAATTTATAGTTTGCTTTCTTCCTCTTTATCATTTTATGCGTGCTGTAGCTCATTACCTTGCCGCTGAACCGGTTGATGTAGGTTTCGAGTGAACAATTACGAGATGATCTCTTATCAATGCTAGTTGCTGGGCACGAGACAACAGGATCAGTATTGACCTGGACATTGTACCTTCTGAGCAAGGTATGTCATCTGTTGATACTCTAATGCTTGTGTTTAGTCATTAGGGTGACAAATTGAACGTCAAAGCCTGACTCTGGTATAAAAGGAATAAGTAGGGGTCAACGACTCATGCATGTTGGACTGAATTGGAGCGAAATGATATTCGGATTGAATGGGACCAAATGGAAATATACTTCTATTCGGTTTCAATTATTAAGTTAAAGGTTTTTAGTGTTGATTATATTGGATCCCATTACATACAAAAGGGTTATCTTTTAGCTCTTTCAAAAGCCAAATCCTATGTGAAGATTGTGGGTTTGCATATGTCAGCTGCTCCGCATTGTATGATCTTTTGATGCTGAAAAAACATACATGCAATGTTCAGCCATTCTGCATCTAATATTAATTCTTGCAGGACTCTTCTGCATTGACGAAGGCACAACAAGAGGTTGATCTAGTATTAGAAGGAAGACCCCCTACCTATGAAGACGTAAAGAATCTAAAGTTTCTGATGCTCTGCATACTTGAGTCCATGCGCCTCTATCCACATCCTCCTGTAGGTTGCATTTTTTTCCTAGCTTTAATTTCAGTTAAACTGGATATGCAGAAAGAAGAGGGAGAAGATGAAGTCGCATGTATAGTCACTGTCCAAATTGTTTATGACTTCTCTTGTCCCTCTTCCAGGTACTAATCAGACGAGCTGAAGTTCCTGATGTGCTTCCAGGCGATTACAAGGTCAATCCTGGTCAAGACATAATGATTTCAGTGTATAATATCCATCACTCCTCTAAGGTAATAGATCGCATTCTACGCTTCCCAGAATCCCCGCTTTATACAAGATGCAGCCTTTGCATTTGAGCCTGCTGTGCCTTGATGTGTGCCCTGCATGTATAAAGTTGCTGACGTTCTAATCTGACTCTTCCAAGGTATGGGATAGAGCAGAAGAGTTCATCCCAGAGAGATTCGGCACAGAAGGTCCTTTGCCAAATGAATCAAACACAGATTTCAGGTATTTCTTCCTACGAATTAATGTCTCTACAACTCCTCACTTGCATAGCATCCAGGTGATTCTGATGTCTGAACTTTGCTATGTTACACATTTCAGGTTCATTCCATTCAGTGGAGGACCGCGTAAATGTGTTGGCGACCAGTTTGCTTTGCTGGAAGCCATTGTCGCCCTCTCGATCTTTCTCCAAAACATGAATTTCGAGCTCGTCCCAGATCAGAAAATCAACATGACAACGGGAGCAACTATACACACCACTAACGTAAGTCTTACAGGAATTTCAACTGCAGAATCTTTATGACAACAGTTTTGGTAAAAAGATCTTTTACTCAAGGATTATACACTTTATTGGTTGTTGACAGGGACTGTACATGAAGCTCAGCCGGAGGCAAAGTAAGCTAGCATCGTTAGCTTCATCATCTCCTTCACGGTAAGTCACAGAATTGTACATAGATACTCTTATTCATGTAAGCTCGGCAAGTCGGGGAAATTACAGATCCATACCTGCATTTTGTCTCTTAGATAAGAGGTAGCCATATTGAGTTTTAAGTGCCTAGTCACTACTAAAGCATTTTGCCTAGTCACCATGGTTCAGATCTCTCTCAAGCATGGCTTTTTAGCCCCTCTCGTTCAGATTTATGACACTAGATCACCGACTCCAAAGCAACATTTATTGAGGAGTTAAGCTGAGTTCTGTTACCTTCGGCATTGCAAGAGCAAATCACCCCATCACTCTGCAATTTCCTGTTGCCAAGCCGATCTCTATTGGCGATCGACATGAAATGAATGATAAAAGGCTGAGGTAAACAATGTTGAGAAGTCTATGGATTTCAGAATGTCAGCTGCTCCTAGGTGGTATTTAGAATCCAACCATCATTTAACACGAATTCGGCTCGAAATCCACCAACTAATGGATTCTGAGAAAGAATCCACATGTCCAAATTCACGGCCAAAACACGGCCCTTCTAAATCGGGAAGTATACATCACACGTGAGTATTTATGAGTTTCCGCAAAAAGGTGACGCCACATAGCTGCGGTAGCTGCCAAATACGCTCGTTTTCAAAAGCCTTTAGCATTAACCAATCACCGCGGTTAGGGTTTGTTTGGAAGTTGGGAGTCTATGAATATGTATATTCTTGCGATGTATGTATTCTAAGTGTAGTGATTTCAAAAGCCTTTAGCATTAACCAATCACCGCGGTTAGGATTTGTTTGGAAGTTGGGAGTCTATGAATATGTATATTCTTGCAATGTATGTATTCTAAGTATAGTGATTGTAAGAAATAGATAATTGTAAGAATATGTTGTTTGTTAGTTGTGATTCTCACTTTTAAAGAATATAAGGATTCTCACTTTAAAAGACCAAAAAGACTTATATAACCTTGAAGTTCTCATTCTATAGTCAATTAAAGAAGGGGTAAATATGAAATATATAAAAAAAAAATAAGGATAAGAGGTGAAAAAAAACAATTACAAAAGTAAAGCAAGAGAATCTCACCTTTTTGTAGAGATTCTAAAATGAATGATTCTAGCCATTTGAGATTCTAAAGTACCAATCAAATGCATGCATTTTGGATAAGTTTATGTAAAAAAACGATAGATTATAAAGAATACACATATTCACAAAATCACTCATTTAGACTCCCAGCTTCCAAACGACCTCTTAGTTTTTCAATAAAGGGAGAAGTTCAAGAAACGAATTGAGAGAGAGAAGCCGCCATGGAAGACGAGAGCTCGGAGAGCCGGAAGAAGGCCAAGCTGGCGATAATCGAGCTGGCCAACATGATCAGCGTCCCCATGTCGCTTCACGCCGTCGTCCGCCTCAACGTCGCCGACGCCGTGTGGCAGGGCGGAGTGAACGCCCCTCTGTCCGCCGCCGAGATCCTCTCCCGCCTCCCTCCCGGTACCATTTCTTCCTCCGCCGGTGATCCGGAGAACCTCCAGCGGATTCTCCGATTGCTCTCCTCATACGGTGTGTTCGACGAGCATATTGTTGCCGCCGGCGGTGGCGGGGAGCGGAAGTACTCGCTGACGGAGGTCGGGAAGACTCTCGTCACGGATGCCGACGGGCTCTCCTACGGGTCGTACGTTCTCCAGCACCACCAGGTCGGCATTTCTTTCCTCCGGTTTATTATTACGAATTTGCTACCTTATTTTGGTGAGAGGACAATTTGATACCTTAGCTTTACTAATGTAGTCATTTCGATCCTACTATGTTAAGTTTTTTCGTCGTGATAATATTTTTGTGTATTAACTATAGAAGTGGTTGAAAAGTGTATCAAAATGTAAAACTTGAAAGGTTTGGTTAGGTAATGTGCTAGTGTTACAGCCGAGACCATTAGCACGATAAGTTGAGTGTCCATGTCAGTTAGCTTTCTACCTAAAGATCATTAGCCAATTTGTAATGAAATTTTTACCTACCAAGTTTCCTACAATGAATTGAACTAGAGTACCATCATAATTCGTAACCTACAATGGAATTAACCTAGTCTTCCTATGTATGCCGTAACTTCAAAACTCGAGATTTTAATTTCATATTTTGTTGCAAGTTACCAGACTCCAACGTTTAGAACACAAACAAAACTAATTAAACTATGTCCTAGTAGTGTGGTTTGTAACTTCGATATTGGATTCCTATTTCCATTTCGTAACCTCGAAATCGAACTCGACATCACTTGCATTGTGGCAATATTTGTGTAGTCTTCTTCAAAAGCACAATTCTCCTCTTTAAGCTATAGTCCTTGTTAGAGTGTACAAATGTAGAACTTAAAAAAAAGTACTAAAATGACCAATTCATGAAAATTATAGGACTCAGTACGAACTTTCCTCTTTTTCCTCGCCACTTGTTACTTTCCTATTGGGTCGGCGGCGGCAAACTCAAAAATTGACTGGTCAAGAACTGACGGCCGGTAAAACAGGACGCGCTGATGAGGGCGTGGCCGCTGGTGCACGAGGCGGTGGTGGACCCCACGACGGAGCCGTTCGCCAAAGCCAACGGCGAGCCGGCGTACAGCTACTACGGGAAGCAGCCGGAGATGAACGAGCTGATGCAGAAGGCCATGTCCGGCGTCTCGGTGCCGTTCATGAGGTCCATGCTCGACGGCGGCGGCTACGACGGGTTCGACGGCGTCAGGAGGCTGGTCGACGTCGGCGGGAGCGGCGGGGATTGCCTGCGGATGATACTACGCAAGCATCCCAACGTCCTCGAAGCGATCAACTTCGATCTCCCCGAAGTTGTGGCCAAGGCGGCCCCCATTCCCGGTGAGAATCATTTGTCAGCAATTATTAATCTTTTAGTAAATAGATAAATAAATCTAATCAGTGATGAGATTTAGATAATATTATTTTGTAAAAGAATTGATAAATGCAAATTATTTTGGTGGGTGTTGAAATGAGTGCAGGAGTGACTCATGTTGGTGGCGACATGTTCAATTCCATACCTAATGGTGATGCCATCTTCATGAAGGTCAGTTACTCAGTTTACTTCACTTATCTCTTTGACTCTTTCCATACTTCGAGAGCCAATTGAGATAAAGATCGAATTCTACTTTTGAAATTGAACCTGAACTCCAGGGTAAAACCCCAATGTTGATAGATTTTTGGGTCGGGCGAGGGGTATTATCCGCTTTTGGGGAATTCGTGGGTTGGGTCAGGTTTGGGTTTTGCCAAAACCTAATCCGCTTTCCAACACGTCCCGCATCCATAAAGCAAAACGACATCATTTAGTATCTAATTAGAATAAGATGAATGAGGTATGGGTGTTATTAGTTTTCATGTCAATATAAACCTAATAATATGGATAATTTATGCATTTTAGTAGTCTTTACGAAGATATGTTCCTAAAAAAAAATTTCAATAAATATTATGATGTGAGTATTCAAAGAAATAATTTATTATTATATTCGTAAACTTATGAGTACTATGCGCCCGTGAATACATGTTGTGTTGGGTTTGTGTTTGCAAAATCCGACCCAATATCATCCCTAATAATGTCTTTGTCTGATATTTCGTTGTTGTATTATGTAAATGTTTTTTTTGGAGAACAATTAATGCAGTGGATTCTGACGACGTGGACCGACGAGGAATGCAAGGCGATAATGGCCAACTGTTACAAGGCCCTGCCGGAAGGAGGGAAGCTGATAGCCTGCGAGCCGATGCTGCCCAAGGATTCCGACGACAGTCACCGGACGAGAGCTCTGTTGGAACTTGGAAGGGGACATATTCGTGATGACAATCTACAGGGCCAAAGGGAAGCACAGGACCGAGGAAGAGTTCAAGCAGCTTGGCCTGCCCGTTGGGTTCTCCAATTTCAGGGCGTTGCACTCTGTGGATTACTTCCACACCGTGTTAGAGTTCCAGAAATAATAGTTGGTGAATATTGTGAGAGAACTGTTTCGTAGTTGAATTGGTAACTTGATTATGTTATCTCTCTCGGTTGTTTATCATCACTAGCTCAAAATAGTAATTTTGCAAAGAGTACGAGAATCTCTTGTGAACCAATCTCAATTGATCACTATTAGAGGTCACGGGCTGACCACGGCTCGATTCGTTCATTAGAGTTGAACCAGCTCGAATTCAAATTCTAGATAATATCCACCAATCCGCATGAACTCTTTTTTTTAGTCTTGTATAATGCCAGCTAGTTAGCTAAGCATATTCATCAATTGATTTTTATTAATAAGACGAGATTCAGAGATCTCAACGGTATCGTATCATAAATCAATAAGCTAATCAAAGTGTACACATTATCTCGATGTTGCAGAAGTTATGTGTGTTCGTAAGTAGAGTTCTTTCTCTCTACATGTCTAGTGCTCCGATAAAGTTATCATAACCATCATCACCGTCGTCATGATTAGGAACCAGAGGAGCAATTTTGGCAGCTTCAAGCCATTGATCTCCATTGATGTAGGAGACATCCATGAATGGAGCAGCTTCATCTTGGGTCAGCTGCCTCCCATATGAGACCCTCATTGAATAGTTTGCTCCTGGTCCATAGCAGTCATACTCTCCAAAGAAAACCGTCCTGCCATGGCAAGCAAAAAACAATGAAAACAAAAATGATAAGGTGTTTCTTCATACTTTGTTTTGACTAAAAAAGGTTGGCATGGTAGTCATTTAGAAAGATCAAAATCTGATAAATTCTTGAGAAATTTAACATGTAATTCGATTAACTAGTATCTTATTGACTATTTATGCAATCGAGATATATACTACGATGATATCACCCAATTTTATCTTTTTGGGATTTGGTTGACAAAGAGGAATTAGGCAATGCCATATAGTAAAGGTCCTCAGTGTTCTGCTTCTTCCGCTTAAATCGGTCTTATATATTATTGAGTACCTCAATTAGTGACTAACAAAATCAAACTCGCGAGTCGGGGCTCAATTCAAAGACAACTAAATCAAACATTCTCGTAACCCAATTAAACTAATCATAATTAATTTGGTATCTTATGCACACCCTATTCAAAATCGACCCAATCCACCCGTTTCATTAACAACCCTATCTAACAAATTATATATTACCATGCATGTCTAAATCTGAAAGTCAATCCAAGAGAGAGAGTTGAGAAAACACTGTTGTGTTTAGAAGGGAATCAAACCACAGACTGATCTCTAGAAGGGTCTCTCCAGTCGTTCCATCCATCCGGCGACACCACCTCCGACATGTACGTTCTCGAGAACACCACCGTCGCACGATGGCCCCATGCTCTGCCCAGCCACACTTGCCCTGTTCCGTTGATCCTGCAGTTCACGAACGAGAACCCGGAATCCTCGCCGGCGGCGTCCCTCCCCTGGGCTGTGATTGCTCCGGTCGTTCCTGATGTTGGTGGTTCCGCGATGGAGTTGATCGTGCAGCTCTGCATCAAAGCGAGGGACCATTGTAGTCAAACATCGCCTTTTAAAACTCAAAAAATTTACTTATTTATGTTTCTAGGTCAGTAGAATGCTTCTATCAAGAATTTGCAGATTTTATGACTAAAGTAGTTAAAAACATGCTTTTAAAGATTAAAAGCTTACGGTTTTAAATCGTTTCTAAATCACCAAAACGCTTTTACGTAGAAACGCACTTCTGACTACACTGCAAGGGAGAATTAAGAACACGATACGCACAAAATGGGAGCTGCTCATGGACGGTGTAGTGGAAAGCGTTTATAAGTATCGCGTAAAATGGGAGCTGCTCATGGAGAATTAAGAACACGATACGCACAAAATGGGAGCTGCTCATGGACGGTGTAGGGAGAATTAAGAACACGATACGCACATGTTTATAAGTATCGCGTAAACTTTTAAATTTTAAAACGCGATTTTTACTATATTAGTCAGAAAAAACGTGATTTTACATAAAAGTATTTTAATGACAGAGAAATGTAAAAACACATGTTTTTATATTTTAAACCGAGATCTAGCTATATATATTGGTGATGAAAACCAGAATCCACCGGAGGGTAATTCAATTTCTGTATTTAACATACCTCGAAAAGCGATCTGGCATGTCCAAAGATGAAGTCGATGGAGCCTTGAATGAAACATGCTCTGTAGTAATGCCTGCCATGGTCATCGTTGAGCGTGTCTTGGGCGCCATAGAACCCACATCGGTAGAACGCAGATTGATCCCCTGTTACTCGCGCCGCCACCGCCTGTCTTCCTGAATCGCCCGGCGACGGCGGAGGAGCTGAATTCTGTTTTTTGTTCCCAGAAAAGAGGATAAGGCTTTGTTGTTTTGGGTAATCCTTATTGAGTTCGGATTTGGGTAACTCTTTATTATAAATTTTTTATACCTTGAAGCTGATGTTGTAGGCGGTAAAATTGGGAGCCAAAATGGTGACGGAGGCGCTGTAAATCGTGCCTCCGGTGGAATCCGCCGTGTCATTCCATTCAACGGCGGTGTTGAGGTAGTTCTGACCTTCGAATACCAAGTTCGTTTTGTTTGCATATATCACCACTTTCTCCCTATGTAAAAAACAGGGAGACAAAGCATTAGAGAATGATATAAGAAATAATCGTGTCCAAATTAAAATCCGTTTGGATTTTGAAGTGGTTATTAATGGAAGTAGATTCTCTTATTAATGTCTTTTTGGATGCATTGTCTCTTGTCTTAATTATGGAAATACCAAAGTACAAATCTTAGCCAATAGTGTTTAAGATTATAAAATGTCTAGACTGTGAAATCCCTGAATTAAGATATTGAGACATCTATAAACTATCAAATGAGTGGATTGTACTTCACTTTTTAATCATTCAAACACATTAGAAATCTTTAAAAAATTAGAATACACAATCCAACCTCGCAATCTTACATTCAAATCATTCTTAAACATTTTTTAATAATTAAATTTATCTGAATAAACGCATGCTTTGATAAACTTTTATCATTTTCAAACACTCTGATTTCGTTTCGAAACTCTTAAAACATTCGGAGAGAGAGAGAGGATTATAGCTAACAACAAGAACAACAACAAAAACCTGTAGGTCCCAGAATCGATCAAGACGAGGGTGGTCGAAGCGCTGAGCTCAGGGGAAGCATCAACAGCCTTCTGAATACTGCTGAAGTTGGCGCAGCCTTTCTGGTCCACAGTCAAAACCAGAGTCACTTGGTAAAGGTATATCAACTTGGACCTCCACTTGCTCTCGTCGCACGCCACCGCAGGCTTTCTCTTATGGTGATGGTGGTGGTGGCGGCTGCTGGAAGGACTGATAACTGATGGAAATGTCGATGTAGAAGAAGGTGGAGAAGGAGAAGGGAAAGGGATTAGGAAGAGCAATGAGACGAGAGCTATGAAGGCAGAGAAGGCAAAGAGCCAGAATGTGGGTGTTTGGTTGAGTGGTCTCATTGTTGCTTTGTGTGAACTGTGAAGATGAGACTGGTTTCTGTTTGTGAGTTGTTGGTTAAAATAGCTTTTGGGTTCTACTCCTTTGGAGAAATTTCAATACTTTAGTGGGAATTGGAGGGAGATGATGAGTGTGGATTGGCGTGGCAGGAAAGATAAAGGGTAAGTTTACTCCAATGGTCACTGAAGTTCTGGAATTGTCAATCAAATCCATAATCGTCGAGTTTTTCGTCCCACTTGTCCAAATCAGTTGTGCTAATTCGTTCAAGTTACTGCTGTCAAGAACCAGTTGCTCCCAATAACTCGAGTTGTTGGGAGAGGTTCAATCGTGGATCATATACCACAACACTAACACGCCCCATCAAACGAAAGCCACTCACAAGGGCTTGAAGTTTGCACAGGTCTGAAGACAAGAATACCATATGCTTAACAAATGGGGGTCACCGGGAATCGAACACAAGACCTCTCGGTCACACAAGGCTCTGATACCATGTCAAGAACCAGTTGCTCCCAATAACTCGAGTTGTTGGGAGAGGTTCAATCGTGGATCATATACCACAACACTAACAACTGCTTGCACGACATTTTTTGTATTGATTTGAGAGATTTGACGTGTTGATCTGGACAATACGAACTAAAAAGCTTATCAAGATGGATGATGTGATCATCATTCCAACTTCCGTCGACAAATTTGTTAACAATGAAAGTTCAACGACCAATTTGTTACTCGTCCAGAATCTATTTTGACCATTTAGGGAGGGGACTATGTCAAAATTGTGGGCATGGGACTCTCTCTCTCTCTTTCTTTCTCTCTCACACACATTTTGCCCTTTTGTTTCCTTGTTGTTATTGGGTTTCTTAATATGGGAAAGTGATGGTGGAGGATGAAAAGGAGGCTGAAAAAGGCAGAGGAAAGAAGGGAGGGCATGTGAAATGCAATGGAAGGAAGATGAATGCATACGCTAAGGTGAAGAGAGAAAAGAGAGATCTTGCTTAGGAGATGTACACAATGATGAAGGGAGAAAGTTGTGAAGGAAAGAATGGCTAATCTCCTTCCTCTGCCATTAGAATTTTCAACAAGGTGAGTTAGTGCTTTGAATTTTGGCCGGTGGTGGCTGGCTCATATATTTCTCATTGCTTGCTGAGGGGATAACAAACGAAATGATTAGGGATGATTATGGGATAACAATTGTACGATATGAACTAGCTATTAGATAGATCAGCGTGAACTCTCTCATAAAAGATGCAAAGTAGAGTCTACCCCTAAACAAGCTCTTGTTGTAAGAGATCCTTACACTCGATCGAGTTCGTACGACAACTGTGTGTCGTCTTTGGTCATTAAGCATAGTGGACTCTAGCTCAGAATCATCTCATGGTACATTTAATTCAGACCGTAAACCCTAAAACCTAAACCAGAAACTAGTGATGTAATAGACTCGCCAAAATCCAACTTGATGCAATCCTCATGAAGGCGAGGGTTATAGCTCACAAGCAGTTTCGGCCATCGTATTTTTCACGAGATTCAGATCTCGTCACAAATTCTACAAGGGAAGCATATTAAGAACTTTGAATACATGAACTGAGCTAAAAGTGGAAGCAAAGCTTCTGTTTTAGGGTGTGCTCTACGTTCCGATATAGGTAGGGAAGGAGTCTCTTTAGTAGTCATTGGTCAACTATGTACTGCTCCCCCTCCCCCTAAATGATCCTAAGTCTATACACTTAAACAAGTCAAGTCAACATACATCCTGAAAATTACCAATAAAATTTGATGGACATGAAAAGCTGGCTAATAAGCTCATTTCACCCTTTACAAGATAAAAATCAATGATAATGAACTCACTCCACTTCTTCATGAGACCACCTCTTTACTACTACTTTGGTCAAGGATTCGACAATCGGTGGAGGAAACTGGTTTGTGCAGCATTGCCGTCCCTTCGAAGCACACCATCTGGCAGCAGTTCTTTCGGTACATGATTAGCTGCACGGGGGATGGAAGGATTAGAGGAGACGGACAAAGTTTCTGCAACGAAGGGAGGGAGGGAGATGGTGAGGTTCGTTCGTACCTGGTCTGGTTCGATTCTCTGGAAACCGAATTTATGGGTCCATATGGATTCTGCTTCCTCCGCGGCAGGGAGGATGAGGTTCTGCACATTCAAGAGCGATAACAGCTTCTCGATGCACGAAAATAGCAACTGGAAGTATCCCTGTGGAAAGAAGAGAAACGGTTTCCATTCATAACACAGCCTCTTTCTGCCTCTAAGGATATGCATGCATTGCTGAGAGCTCTCACCTTGCCATGGTTAGTTTTATTAGTCGCGACTAAAGGAAGCTCGGCAACTTCTTGTCCAAAAACTCTCAGTATTCCAGCCGACACAACGAAAGAGCTGCAAGGATTAGGGAATATAAGAAATGGGATTTCTTGGGACTCAATAGCAAACCAAAAAAGTGGATGGTTTATGTGAAAAATAGGGCCTACTTGACTGTTAGTAGTGCACAATACATTCCACCGTAATCTTGGCCTTTGGAGTTCTTCCTGAGAAACGAAGTTTGAAAGCTCATCAGGCTGAAGGAGGTTTGTAAGGGATGAAAATCGCAATCGAAGAATAATACAAAAGAAAATGCAGTACATACCCATAGACCATTAATGGAATCAGATCACGGCCAGTTGTTAAATCTACAATGGGGTCGAAACATTCCTGCCAAACATAAATCCAGAAATTGAAGTTAAAATGGATTCAAATTTTCTCCTTGTTTCAGCAGAACAAGAATTCAAATATAAGTTGACATATACACATTTCTTCCATCTAACTTTCAAGAACTATTCATCCGCTTTACAATATTAAGAACCAATACCTGGAATATCGCCAGAGCTTGAGACAGCAACAGCTTATTTTCAGGGGAAGCAAATTTTCCACTAACCACTCGCCATCTAACATCAAAATTCTCAGTGGTTCCCAAGCCTTTCTCCACGTACTTATTCTTCATAACATTCAAAACAGAGTCTTGGAGTGTCTCAGCACCACGACTTAACAACTTCTGCAGAGAAGAATGAATGCTGTTGCACTCCGAGCAACAAAACCATTCTCCTTTCGGCAATTCCTATCACATAAGCATGAGTATGCAGATTTTGAGTACTGAATACCATAATACAGCAGATAACAAACGGACAAAACACCACAATTTAGATATTACACCTTTAGATTGGCCATTTTGTGACTCCTCAAACAGCCAACATGAAATTCCTTCTCACACTGGAACAAAAAATGTAAAAAGCAGTTAAAAAGAAAGCCATGTTTCTATATCCATAAAGGAAAGTCGGTGAGGAGAAAGATTATAAAGTGAACTACCTGGTCACAAATTATGATTGTGCGTGGACCAAACCCCGATCTGCTGAAATCATAACCTCTGCAAAAAAAAATTGACAACAGATGCTCATTCTGAGGCACATATCAACCATCAAACTAGTGATGTTACTGTACTTTAGTAACTAGTCCACATTGGCTTTCTACCTGCATAACACGCATCCACTAAGGTCAGCTTCTATGTTTTTCACAATACGAATGCATCTCTGTGCTATTTCTTCTATTGGATCAGCACCCAGAATCCTTCCAGCAGCAAGAGCATTGGCTTTATGTGCAGCAAACTTTTCCTTTTCAAACATGTTCTGACAGTAATGGCAATACCAGTCGCCACGGGGAATACTCGACAAAGATGCACAGTCTACATAAAGCCAAAAAATTAAATTATTAATTAAGATGGAGCAAACGATGCAGGCACACAGGATTAACAATGTGGTAAATAAATTTACATTCTCATGGAAGTTTTGCACTTTACTTTTATGAAAGGCCCGAGGACATCCATCACAAAGCACCAGATTCCCACCATCTGCACATACAATGCAGAGGTCATCATTGTCCTTGGCAGAGTACTTGCGACGCTTGGAGAGAGATATCGCCAGTTCATGGAGAGACACACCATTTGATGTGTAAATGTATGCATATCTGTCAAGAAAGCCAAAAAAAGCCTCCAGCATGTGTAGGGTTAAAATGTTCTTAATATTAAAAGCTTGTACATTTAGAATAAAGCTTACGGTTTCTTCCTAGCAGCCCAGCCTGCATGAGCTTCAAATAGTGATGGGCTGACCTGTACATTTAGAATGAAAAATGTAGGCATTTCAATCCCTGCCTAAGAAACAATAAAGCTCTCAAAGCCCACTGTTACCTCAGCATTACAACATTGGCAGAGTATTCCAAAGCCCCTCTTATAACCAGCCAGCAATTTCTGTACAGAATACTAGTTAATATAAAGTTACGCGGTTATAAGGGAGAAGATATCTAAACAAGCTAAGAAGTGAGCATACTGACCCGGCCACGTGCATAGTATCCCACTTCAGTTCCATCAGGCAATCCATCCTCCTCAAAGACCAGTCTGTGCAACCTTTGATCTCTAGTCAAAGAAAAATCCAATAAATTAGCTTGTAGGTCCTGTACAAGCTTTTTGGGTGCTTCTAATTGATATTAAGGAATTTATAATTTTGAAAGATCACATTAAGACAAGAACCAACCGAGAAGAAAAATGAAAATTAAGAATTCGTGATCACTCCACTGACATCATAAAGTTTTGAGCTATTGATCTTTAGAAGACACTACAGATTCCTATTAACAAGTGCCCTTTTATACATAAGGTAAACTGAGAAGTATACGTAAGAAACAAAATAAGAAGGCAAGGAAAGATTTGGTTACCTAGAAAAACAAAGAAATTACGTACTATCATAAAAAAGGGTGTAAAAGCAAAGCAAGGACATAGATGAACAGAGACCCAGCAAAGCAGTGTGAAATGTACACACCTCATTGAGATCTTCTGTTGCTCCTTCTTATTAGTTGACAACAAGGTATTTCTGGAGTGCTTTCCAGCCGATTCCCGCATCAACTTCCTAAGCCAGACAAGAAGTTCACAGAAATGTCAAAGCAAGAATAAAACAAGAAGACTACATATTGAAGGGAGCCCATGTAATCATAGACCTCGTATGTTTTAGTAACAGAACTATAACAATTAGAAACTCAGTAACATGAATTGAAATGGCAACATGGAAGAAAGAAACCAACTTTGGAGTTATCTTCAATTGGCTCTTTTTTATTGAAGCGACACGAGCAGGAGTAGTCATGGATCTCTCTGCTTTTGGTTTTGCGCCTGATACTCTGAAAGATGCAACAGATAGGAAGAATGGAATAAGATAGAAAGAAAAATAAATGTAAGCAAGTTGATGATAGTCCATCCATATGCATTTAGACAAGGCCCAGTAACAGACTGACACAAGCAAAATAAAAAGAAAAAGGTGTCCTATAGCATTTATGTAAAAGAAGAGAACATAGAAACATAAAACAAAAGGCTACTGACTTTCTTTTCCCCTTGCTTGGAGTGATCTCTTGTGAGGGTGTAGTAGTTAGCACACTTCTAGAAGACTCTGACTTGAGAACAGGTTCAACAGAGCTGAAATCACACCCAAAAAAAAAGGATATTGGAAATGAAGTTACAGAGGCATATTTCCTTGAGTTACAAATTTAGTAAAACAAAAGAATAAAGAAACTGAAAAGAGATAATTTAAATCCTTTGCAAATCATTAGTTGAAGGCAGCCATAACAGATCATTCCATCTGAGTTTGGTCGATAGGATTCAAGACACTGAGTAAATTGGTTATAAATTAATTATTTCCCTAACCACCTCACAACTTCAAACCTAAGTAATTTGGAATCCTCGTATATTCTAATTATTATGCTCTTCAACAAAACATCACGACTTTGTTTTGATTGATGCTATTCAGATACTTATACTACATTTTCACTTAATAGTCTTCATATAATTTTCTCCACATAAGGATTCAATAGGAGAAAACAATTTACTAACACCTACTTACATCATGGCCATGGGGTCACTACTCAACCTATCATCTACAAGCAACTGTCACCTGAAAGCAAGGATTGAAAAACCATACCGTACAAACGGTTCGACCAGAAAAACCTCCTATCGGAAGAAAAACCGGTAGGCGGTATTTAGCGATAGGAAATGGTTGAATCACGGTTGAATCACGGTTAAACCACGGTTTCGGCATAAAATACCCTACCACTCACTTTTTGGGTACAGTATTCAATCCTTGCCTAAAAGTAAAGCTTAAAGCAGCTATCACCCTACAAAAATCTAACCGTCTTAACCAATGACCAGACTTGCCAAATCGACATCAAACGAAGAACTATTAACTACACATCAGGAAGCAAAAAAAAAAAACCCAGCAACTCAGGTACATAAAAATCTGAGACTGGAGACCAGAAAGAACTTGCATACCTGGATCTTTTACTCTTTTTGCACTTTAGGATGGCATGAGATGCCTTTGTTTCCGTGCATGAACTACAAAGTGGACCTATTTTGCCAACACAAGCTGAGGGGAAACTACCTGGAGCATCAGCAAAATTGAATCAAGGTAATTATTCCAACACCCTCTGTAAACACTATACACTTCACTCTGCTGACATTTCTATACATAAAAAGATGAAGACGAGAATGCACCTTTACATCTTTTACAAGTGAAAGTTCTCTCTACAGGGCTACCACTAATGGCTTCTTGAATGGTTGCTTCTAATGAATCAAGAGGAGAATATCTGCATGCATTCAACACATCGAGCAGGCTCTTTCCATTCTCAAAACAAATGTATTGAGATGCGCGCCTGTATAGGTTGATAGCATGTATCTCAAATTGTGAAGGTGGAACAACCTATCATTGTCCAAAAAACAAAAGGATACCAAACAAAAAACAAAAACAAACTCAATAAGTTCTCATCCCCTCCGAAAAGCACTTAACAAGTTCAACTGCATTACAAAGAAAATCTTCTACTTACTGTGACTCCATTGCAGATAGAGCAAAAGCATAGAATCCCCGCATCCTTAATTATCCCCCTTAGAGCAAATGCCTCAAACTAAAGAGTCCAAGCAGGCCAAAAACAGGGAAAACGACATATGTCACGGCCCAAACAGAAACGGAGAATCCAACCAAGCCACGAAAACCAGTAGGTTATACCAAAGAAATCGAACCTTCTTGCCACCCATGTAAAGAACGGGCACTCCCTCGAGAAAACCAGTCTCAAAGAGCTCCTTCACCGTCATCGGCAGACTCTGCGGAGCAATCTTCTTCGACATTTTCAGCTCCAAATTCTTCTTCGGCGGCGCTACTGCACTCCCTTCCACTCCGGCACCAATCGCCTCAACATTGATCGTCGAGACTGATCCGTTGCCAATGGATTCCGATCCACGCACCTCAATTTCTACCGTCTCTTCTACCTTACGCTTCTTCATAGAAGAACGCGTAAACCTCCTCATTTTGTTGTTCCTCTTCACCTTATACCCTTTCCTGACATAGATCCGCACCCTGCCGTTCGCCGCAACTCCCTCGACCGTCGACTCACTCGGCTCATCTTTCCACGGCGACGTTCCTCCAATACCGCACCTACCTCGTTCTCCATTCTCACTCTCAACTTCCACAATCTCCACCTCCCCATTCTCTCCCGCTGAGCACTTAATCCTCTTGCTGCTCCGAGCTTCCTCCTCCGCCATCGCATCACACTCCTCTGCTCTACTCTTCCTAACGCGAGAATAAACGAAGAAACCGTTTACCTTAGAAGCGCTGAACTCCTTGCATCCGACTTCCGTGAGCTCCTGCTCCGTCATCTCGTCAGTCAGAGTGCTCGGATGCAGCGCGAGCCATGTAGTAGCAGTAGTAGTTGCATCGGCGGTGGCGGCCAGCTGAGACTGAAGTAGCTCCGACGAATCAGCGAGCGCCATTGCTCCACCCCACCCGCTCTAATCGGCCCGAATCGCGGCGAGGACTGTAATCGGGACGCGAAGCATTGAATCCGAGGCGGATTCGCCTAGGGTTTGACGGGAGGAAGAGCGTCGACGGTTAGACTGACGGACGGCGACCGGATCGGAAGAGTCAGAGATGGTGGTGGAGGAGGAGGAGGAGGAGTGAGTGAGAGCTTTGATGCATTTCCATGGAGCTCTTCGTTTGAATTTTTCTTTTCTTTTTTTTTAGTCTTGTTTTAACAGATAAGTGAGGACAGAGACGAACTGACGAAAATGGTGACGGAGCGGAGAAGGTGGGATACCGATGGAGTAGTAATGGAGGAAGTGGCGAGGTGCTGTAAATACGTGCGGTTTTTAGTGTAATTGCGGAGAGTAATTTTGTGCTGGTGGCCGTGGAGTGCGGCCTGCTACTGCGGGTTTGTCCTAAAATGCGAAGACGATAGTCCATTATAAAGTCAAGCTGCCTGGAAATCCAGTGGACCTGTAATTGGGCTCACCAGAACGGCCCAAGTCAGCGTCAGACTGTTTCTATCGCGTATAAATTGACGGTGGTTGAACAACAACAACAAAAAAACGAGTATTAAAGGTTTAATTATGTTTGTGAAATTGTATCCTTCGATTGAAATCTTTTATGTTCTCGAATTATAATTTGATACTAGTTTGGTCTCCGACCTGTTGGTCGGAACGTCATTTCGGAAAAATTGCTCGAAATTTGTGATGATATACTTTTGGAATTTGCCAAATATGGTCTGGAAAAAATCTGCCCAAATCAGTGCTTAATGTACTTAATCATCGATGAAGAATTTCATTAGACCAAATTCGAGATATGCAGCCTTCAAAATCCAAGAAAAAGCCATTTCGGAAAAAATCACCAAAAAATATTATGTAAATGTCATCCGAAAATAAATCCGCCCAAAAATTGATAAAAATGCCATTTCGAAAAAAACGCACGAAAATCTGTGATGGTACCCCTCTGGTATCTGCCAAAAATGGAGCAGGAGGATATTCATCCAAATCGGTACTGAATGGAATTAATCATCGTTAAATAATAGCATCAGGCCGAATCCTTTTTCCGTAACCTTCAAAATCTAGGGGAAATGGCATTTCAAAAAAAATGCCCAAATAATTACCAAAATGCCATACGGAAATAAATTGGCTGAAACCGGTGCTTAATGGCTTAATCATCGGTGAAGAATAAGATCAGTAGACTACAATATCGGTGGACAATAGCCTCGAGCAGAATTCGTGTTCTTTAGCCTCCAAAAATGAAAAAAAGACCATTTTGGAAAAATCGCCCTAAAGTTGTGATGGTACACCTTTGAAATTGGAGCATAATGAACTTAATCATCGTTGTAGAATAGCCTCACGCCAAATTCGTGATCTGTAGCCTTCAAAATCCAAGGAAAATGGCTTTACGAAAAAAAACACCCAAATAATTACAAAAAATGTCATACGAAAATGAATTCGATCAAATCGGTGCTTAATGGGTTATTCATCAGTGGAGAATAGGATCAATAGACTTCATTATCGGTGGAGAATAGCCTCGGGCAAAATTCGTGATCAGTAGCCTCCAAAGTCGGCAGAAAATGCCATTTTGCAAAAATCGCTTGAAATCTATGATGGTACCCCTTTGGAATCAGCCGAAAGTAGACCTGGAAGATATCTACCCAAATTGGTGCTTAATTAACTTAATCATCGTTGAAGAATAGTCTCGGGACAAATCCTTGATCTGTAGTCTTCAAAATCCAAGGAAATGGCATTTCGAAAAAAATTGCTCAAATAATTACGAAAATGCCATACGAAAATAAATTCTCCCAAATTGGTGCTTGATGGCTTAATCATTAGTGGATAGTAGGATAAGTAGACAATATCGGTGGAGAATAGCCTCGGCCTGATTCCGTGAACTGTAGCCTCCAGAATTGAAAGAAAATGACATTTCATAAAATCGCTCGAAATCTGTGTTGGTACCCCTTTGGAATCCGCCAAAAATTGACCCGGAATAAATCCACCCAAATCTGTGCTTAATGGAAGTAATCATCGTTGAAGAATAGCCTCAGGCCGAATCCGTGATCTGTAGCCTTCAATATCCAAAGAAAATGTCATTTCGTCGCAAAAAAAATTACGAAAATGCAATACGAAAATAAATTGGCCCAAATCGTGCTTAATGGACTTATTATACGTGGACAATATGATCAATAGACCTCATTATCTGTGGAGAATATCCTCGGCCTGATTCCGTGATCTGTAGCCTACAGAATCGAAAGAAAATGGCATTTCGGAAAAATCACATGAAATCTGTGATGGTAATCATCGTCTAAGAATTTGTCAAAACATTGCACGGAATAAATCCATCCAAATCGATTCTTAATGGTGTTAATCATCGTTGAAGAATAGCCTCAAGCCGAATCTGTGATCTATATCTTTCAATATCCAAAGAAAATGGCCTTTCATCGCCCAAAAAATTACGAAAATGCCATCCGAAAACAAATTGGCCATAATCGGTGCTTAATAGACTTATTATTTGTGGAGAATAGGATTAATAGACTTCATTATCAGTGGAGAATAGCCTCGGTCTGATTCCGTGATCTGTAGCCACCATAATCGAAAGAAAATGGCATTTCGGAAATATCGCCCGAAATCAGTGATGGTACCCCTTTGGAATCTGCCAAAAATTGACCCGGAATAAATTCGCCCAAATACATGCTTAATGGACTTAATCATCATCGAAGAATAGCCTCAGGCTGAATTCGTGATCCGTAGCCTTCAAAATCCAAAGAAAATGGCCTTTTGTCGCCCAAAATTTATGAAAATCCCATCCAAAAATAGATTGACCTAAATCAATGCTTAATGGACTTATCATCCGTGGAGAATAAGATCAACACACTTCATTATCAGTGGAGAATAGCCCCGACATGATTCCGTGATCTGTAGCCTCTAGAATCAAAAGAAAATGAGATTTCTAAAAAATTGTCTGAAATCTGTGATGGTACCCATTTGTAATCTGTCAAAAATTCACCCGGAATAAATTCGCTCAAATCGGTATTTATTGGACTTAACCATAGTCGTAGAATTGGCTCAGGCCTAATCCGTGATCTGTAGCCTTCAATATCCAAAGAAAATGACCTTTCGAAGCCCAAAAAATTACGAAAATGCCATCCGAAAATAAATTGGCCCAAATCGGTGCTTAATAGACTTATCATCAGCGGAGAATAGGATTAATAGACTTCATTATCGGTGAAGAATAGCAGCATTATTCCATGATTTGTAGCCTCCATAATCGAAAGAAAATGACAATTCGGAAAAATCGCCAGAAATCTGTGATGGTACCCCTTTGGAATCTGCCAAAAATTCATCTAGAATAAATCACCCCAAATCGGTGCTTAATGGACTTAACCATCATCGTAAAATTGCCTCAGGGCAAATCTGTGATCTGTAGACTTTAATATCCAAAGAAAATGGCATTTCGACGCCCAAAAAATTACGAAAATGCCATCCGAAAATAAATTGGCCCAAATCGGTGCATAATGGATTTATCATCCGTGGAGAATATGATTAATAGACTTCATTATCGGTGAAGAATAGCCTCAACATGATTCTATGATTTGTAGCCTCCATAATTGAAAGAAAATAGCATTTTAGAAAAATCGCCAGAAATCTGTGATGGACTTAATCATCGTCGAAGAATAGCCTCAGGCCGAATCCGTGATCTGTAGTCCTCAAAATCCAAAGAAAATGTCCTTTTGTCGCCCAAAAATTATGAAAATCTCATCCAAAAATAGATTGGCCCAAATCAGTAGTTAATGGACTTATCATTCGCGGAGAATATAATCAATAGACTTCATTATCAGTGGAGAATAGTCTCGGCATGATTCGGTGATCTGTAGCCTCCAGAATCGAAAGAAAATGGGATTGATAAAAATTGCCCGAAATCTGTGATGGTACCCCTTTCGAATCTTCCAAAAATTGACCCAGAATAAATCTGCCCAAATCGGTGCTTAATGGACTTAATCATCGTCGAAGAATTGCTTGAGGCCGAATCCGTGATCTGTAGCCCTCAATATCCAAAGTAAATGAACTTTCGACGCCCAAAAAATTAAGAAAATGTCATCGGAAAATAAATTGTCCCAAATAGGTGATTAATAGACTTATCATTAGTGGAGAATAGGATTAATAGACTTCATTATCGGTGGAGAATAGCCTCGGTATGATTCCATGATTTGTAGCCTCCACAATCGAAAGAAAATCGCATTTCGAAAAAATGGTCAGAAATTTGAGATGGTACCCTTTGGATTCCGCCAAAAATTGACCCGCAATATATCCGCCCAAATCGGTGCTTAATAGACTTAATCATCATCAAAGAATAGCCTCAGCCCGAATCTGTGATCTGTGGCCCTCGAATTCCAAAGAAAATGGCCTTTTGTCGCCCGAAAATTATGAAAAAGCCATCCGAAAAAAGAATTGCCCAAATCGGTGCTTAATGGACTTATCATCCGTGGAGAATAGGATTAATAGACTTCATTATCGGTGGAGAATAGCCTCAGCATGATCCCATGATTTTTAGCCTCCATAATCGAAAGAAAATGGCATTTCGGAAAAATCGCCAGAAATCTGTGATGGTACTCCTTTGGATTCTGCCAAAAATTGACAAGGAATAAATCTGCCCAAATTGGTGTTTAATGGACTTAATCATCGTTGAAGAATTGCCTCAGGCGGAATCCGTGAACTGTAGCCCTCAATATCTAAAGAAAATGGCCTTTCGAAGACCAAAAAATTCGAAAATGCCATCCAAAAATAAATTGGCCCAAATCGGTGCTTAATGGACTTATCATCTGTGGAGAATAGGATTAATAGACTTCATTATCGGTGGAGAATAGCCTCGGTATGATTCCATGATTTGTAGCCTCCATAATCGAAAGAAAATGGCATTTAGGAAAAATCGCCAGAAATCTGTGATGGTACCCCTTTGGATTCTGCTAAAAATTGACCTGAAATAAATCATCCCAAATCGGTGCTTAATGAACGTAAACATCGTCGAAGAATAGCCTCAGACCGAATCCGTGACCTATAGCCCTCAAAATCGAAAGAAAATGGCCTTTTGTCCCCCAAAAATTACAAAAATTCCATCCGAAAATAGATTGGCCCAAATCGGTGGTTAATAGACCTATCATCTGTGGAGAATAAGATCAATAGACTTCATTATCAGTGGAGAATAGCCTCGGCATGATTCCGTGATCTATATCCTATAGAATCTAAAGAAAATGGGATTTCTAAAAAATTGCCCGAAATCTGTGATGGTACCCATTTGGAATCTGCCAAAAATTCTCCCGGAA